GGAGAAAGTACAGAATTTAAGTTCCAAATGAATATAGCAACCTTATTTTGGCAGCAAAAAACAAGGGGTTTACAGTTAAACCTGTTACTTCAATGACATACTTGATTTACAAAATTCATTGCAGTAATGTTTCAAGAAACGCTGTAAGCCATTAGACAAGGCAACAACATTCAAGATCTCGCAACATTGAGACTGAATATAGTTGAAGTCATAAAAGTTACTTGACATGTTCCCATTTTATCGATGGTTTTGTTAAAGCTACATTTTTGCTTCAAAAACCTACCAACTCGACCTGAAATACTAGAAAATCCGGCATATGCTACTAAAATACCCATAAATGAGAAAAAATTACTGACATCAAAAAAATTACCTTATTCTGTCTTGGCTAACTATATTCCAAGAGTGAGGAAATTGATGTATAACAGTGTTCTTAAGTTTTTCTAATAAATAAATAGTTTTTGTCTTCATGTCTATTATTTGAAGTTATTTAGTATATAGAATCGTGGTGGTCGTGGCCTAAAGGATAAGACGTCCAGAGCATTCGTGATGAAGCGGTGCACTGGTGTTCGAATCTCAGGCGGGTACCAATTTTTCTAATAAAATACGTAGGTACTCAACAAATGTTCACTATTGGCTTCCACGGTAAAGGAATAACATCGTGTTATAAAAATCAAACCCGCAAAACTATAATTTGCGTAATTACTGGTGGTAGGACCACTTGTGAGTTCGCGCGGGTAGGTATCACCACTCTGCCTATTTCTGCCGTGAAGCAGTAATACGTTTCGGTTTGAAGGGTGGGGCAGCCGTTGTAACTATAGTTGAGACCTTAGAACTTATATCTCAAGATGGGTGGCGCATTTACGTTGTAGATGTCTATAGGCTCCAGTAACCACTTAACACCAGGTGGGCTGTGACCTCGTCCACCCATCGAAACAATAAAAAAATAAAATAAAAAAATATATAAATTGGAAGAAGGGCATAAATCATATAATGAATAATATATATTTCAGCCAGATTAGTAAATAAATAAGAATTGATATTTTCTTCAATATCAGTGATGTTATGTGAGCCTTTAAGTTGAAAGTAAAAAGTTATAAAGTTTTTTTAATTATCTCCATTATTGTTTTTTTTGGATTTATTCCCTTTTTTTCAATTTGTGGTTCAATTAATTCATTTTAGAAGGTGATGTCATTTTTCATTTGCAATATGCTCCAAAAATCCTTTAGAGCATCGAACCGACTGCTCGTAACATTTTTCAAAGCCTTTGGAATCACTATCCTGTAAGGGAACAAAGATTTCATTATAAACTAACATAGTTTTCCAATATATTTTTTTACTGGTAGACTAACTCTATTCACCTTATATTTAGGTTTAGATATGTACTAAACAAAATCAAACTCCACTGTTACAACATTTTATAATTTGAAGTACTGTAAAAACTTTTAATTAACTTTCTTATGTATTTTTTATAAATACTCTGTGCCTGAATCTAATGTTTGTTTTGTTATAATCTTATTGATACATAACTTCAAAACATTTTTCTAATTTCAACTAAAAGCATGAATGTAGTCCTGACTTGAACACTATTAAGTCTTCTTTATTAATGTGGCTTATAACAAACCCGATATGTTTTGGAGATATTGTATCATAGGAAAAATAGATTAAATGAACAGGTGACATTGATAGAAGAATAAGGAATAATTAATGGCTAAAATATTGACGCCTTTATAATAAAATTGCAATTGTTTTCTAATGGTCGTTATCAGTTCTTATACAAACAAAAACCTCAAAAGAAACTTACATAGTATGGATCTCTTATGATTCGATCGCCTTGAGGGTCAAAATCTCCAAATAACAGTAGTTTCGCTTTACTCCCTTTAGGAGCTTTTTTGTTCAAATCTTTCATATTGGATTCATCCATACCAAAGATATAATCATAATAATCGAAGTCTTCAGAAGTTATCTATAAAAATAATTCAGTTTAATCTAAAATTGAAGTCCAAAAAGCCCTGTTTTTTACCGGATATCTTACAAATCCTGAATAAGGGGTCTAACACTATTTAGATAATGACTGTTCAATCTATTGTAGCTATATCTGTGTGTATATAGTTTGTTGGATCTTATGTTTGTGGTCTGTGAGTATTTAACGGAAGGCAGCAGCTTTGTTCATAAGTCATTCAACTTGTTATCTACTGGCCCCAGTAACAGCATAATGAGCTGATTAAGCCATGATACTGAGGCAATACAAATTATGTATTATAGTTTAAATATAATAAGTATAAATGTATTATAGCTGATCTGATAGACTCATAATCAAAATATTATACAGGCATATCAGATTGTAATCAAACGAGATACATAAATACGAAGTTGAACAAAACGGTACTCACTTGTCTTGCATGGTTGTTGTATGGAACGTTATGCTTCTTCAAAGTATCTAGTGCTCTCCAATCGGGAGGATTACCGACATGCCAGCCCCCGATNAAGTATAAATGTATTATAGCTGATCTGATAGACTCATAATCAAAATATTATACAGGCATATCAGATTGTAATCAAACGAGATACATAAATACGAAGTTGAACAAAACGGTACTCACTTGTCTTGCATGGTTGTTGTATGGAACGTTATGCTTCTTCAAAGTATCTAGTGCTCTCCAATCGGGAGGATTACCGACATGCCAGCCCCCGATAGCTGCACTATCGATATCCCAATGTTCACCCAGATTCATGTCATTTACGGTTTTCTGGAAAACAGCCTCAGCAATTGGTGACCGACATATATTACCTAAAATGTTTTTATTTGATTCTTTACAAAGTCCGTTTGAATAACTATTAAATTATTTGAAATACATGATAATTTTACCGAGACAAATAAATAATGCCTTTTTCTTGTGGTCGACCATTTTTAATGCTAGTTTAATTGATGATTCCCGTTAATTCCCGTCAATAACCAAAGAGTTAGTATTTTAATTTTGTAGGTACTCTTTAATTTTGTATTGCGTTTAACTTTATCTCCATGATTGATTATCCATTTACAATAAATACATAACCCTACTCGTGATTAGTAGTAGTTTTGTTTTTCCAAATGGAAAGGCAAAGATATCATACTATACTGCCTAATCTTTAATATATACATAGGTAATAGGCATTTTAATGTGAGACCCCTAATGCGGGTTTATGGCCTGGTAACGACGCTGTTATGCCAAGTCTTATAATTTCATCTTAAATTAATTTGTGCCTACCTACTGCTAGTAACTTCGAGAGACTTAAAGGATTTAAAGACATTTGCCGAACGTCTAGGTGAGCTCGCGAAGTTCAGCCTGGGAAACTTTTGCCCCATGCAATGCTTTGGTGAATCTACCACCGAATCGGAATAGCAGCGACCTACTCAAAATATCCGGCGAGAAACTCAGTGGGCTGTGTTTGTGGGTTAATTTACTCGTCGAACCCGTCGCTCCGGACGAAGGACTACGATACGAACGATAACCGGTGCTTGAGCATTGTACCTAAATGCACCGTTAGTGGATCGGGAGGATCCGAGATGACGTGTTTTGGGCGACGTCGACCGTGTACCATTTGGTCCGCAGAATCGGCAATGTAGTTACCGGCGGCCACGATAAGAGGGTTCTCGTGTCGTGCCGCTTGATCAAAATTGCTAAAAGCATTGAGAATGAATCGGGAGCATCCGATATGATGTGTTCAGAGCGATGGCGACTGTATGCCGTTTAGTCGTCCGGATCGGGTATGTAGTTTGTGGCGGCCATGATAAGAGAGTTATCGTATCGTGCAGGCTTTTCTATAAAGCGCTCCGACGCGGCGACGCTTTCTTCAGATACTTACGGATGTATACATAGAGTAAGTCATCGTAAAAATTTACGTTCTTCAAGTACCATGGTGCTTGACGCCTATTCTTCAAAAACGGAATTGATTGTCTTGTAGGATGTTCATTTTTTTTATTGCTGGGATAGGTGGACAATCTCACGGCCCACCTGGTATTAAGTGATTAGTGGAGCCCGTAGACATCTACAACGTAAATGTCGCTACCTACTTTGAGATATGAGTTCTAAGGTCTCCGTTTTTACAATACAACGGCTACCCCACCCTTCAAACTGAAATGCATTAATGCTTCAAGGCAGAAATAGCCAGGGCGATGGTACCTACCCATGCGAACCCACGTCCTACCACCGAAAATTACGCAAATTATAAATTATAATTTGCGTAATGTGAGTGCGGGCCGCGTGAGCGAACATTGCAGTTTCGTTAGTCATAACCAAACGTGTGTAAGATTTATCGAGTAACTTATTATCCTCATTGCGATTAAATTATAGGATATAGTCCACCGAGAATGAGCGCAGCGGGGTCGCAGACTTCTTTTATATGCGAATGGTATGTCATTCCTCTGTCAAGACTGACACAAAAGTACCTGGCTTTCGAGGCTCACTGTATGGGCTGACCCTGATGGGAAAAAGGGTGATGAGGTGAACTGCGCCACACACAGTGTGGGATATTTGAAGTGATATCGGAAGGGCAAACCTTTTTGAAGAACAGTTCTGGGCTTTTCGTCGTCAAACAAACGATAATTGATCAAAATTAATTAATCTGAGCGATAAAAATAAAGATATCTAGTAAGAGGGGCCGACTTAAGGGTGATCATTTGTTAAATTAATTATAAATAAATAAAAGACGAACAAACAATTTTTTTCGAACATTAACGAATAAACACGAACAAATAATTAAAATAAAATATCTGAAAATCAAAAAAAAGGGGGCCAAATTCAGTAAGTCGTCTGTGCCGTCGAAAAACCAAGATACGAGTTATTATGTTTGGTGCAATTTTTCTTTATTAGGAAAGGCAAAGGGATTTAAGCCCATACAGACTTCTTTGTTCTATATAATTTCTGAAATACGAGTCATAGATAATAAACATAAATACGAGTGTTTGCAATTTTAAAGCATACCTAGGTCCCATAGATAATTTAAATTGGGCCTATTGGAGATCATAAACAAAACAGTAATTTTCATCTTTGGTAAATAATAATGTTGCTGATTTTTTCAATGCGTGTAAATATCAAAATAAAAATTATATTATAATATTAATTGTATTAAGTTCAAACTGAGTTCATCAACTGAACCAATTTGAATTTTCTATATTTAAAACTTAAGCAAACTAAACAAAATGTCCTAAACTCTCGCTAGGAAATTTGCATTTGCGCAAAAACTTGCGTTGCAGTTAAACCGTCGACGGCTGCAACAAACCGAGACAAAAGATAGATATTGCACTCCTAAGTATCTAAGTAAGTACCTAGCCACTTTACCCGATTAGGTATCTTCGTGAGTGTCGTGATTAAGATGGTAATAAAAAAATACCGTGTCATTCCAATCAGCTGCCTTCGACTGCCTTTCGCTTTTGACCTGTTAAATTCAAAGTAATAAGATAAACAAGTCAGTTTTAATGTATGCGTTGCCAAACATTATGGCTTTGTTTTGTGAACTATTCAATATTAAATATTACTTTCAGAAGCTTCGATCAACTTCCGAAACTATATTTATTCAAAAATGTGTGAGCTACTGCAATCAGTCAAAGAACAAATAACAGAGATAGAAAATGAAATTACTGCAAATAAATATCAACTAGATGAACCAAATTTAATTGACATGCCTGTTGAAGTAAGCATTTATATCAGTTTATTATNTTTGTGAACTATTCAATATTAAATATTACTTTCAGAAGCTTCGATCAACTTCCGAAACTATATTTATTCAAAAATGTGTGAGCTACTGCAATCAGTCAAAGAACAAATAACAGAGATAGAAAATGAAATTACTGCAAATAAATATCAACTAGATGAACCAAATTTAATTGACATGCCTGTTGAAGTAAGCATTTATATCAGTTTATTATTTATTATTATGAAAGTAACTTTTGTTAAAAAATTATACTGGTTTAATTTGATTTCACTGTTTAAAACATTGGGATAAGTGTGATTCTTGTTTCTTTAGAATCTGTTAAGTTAGGCTTTAAAGTTTGTAAAATGTCAGACCACAAAATAGGAAAAATACTTTTGTAAATGTAATCAGAGTTTTCAAAGCAGATACAAAAACAAATAACTTTGAGTAAGTTTTATTGTAAATAGTTAGGCATGACAATAGCAACTATTCTTCTGATAGTTGTTGCTTATAGATCTTCTACTGTCAAGTTACCTAATTGTAGCTTTATCAATTTAATTATCAATAATGGACAGAAAGAAGAGAATCACTACATTAATTAAACATGATAAATGTTGTGTAAAATCTTCTTATGAAATCTATTCTTAGAACACATTTGTACTAAAATTTCAGATTTTCCTACAAATATGTTCATTTTTGGATGCATATTTTCTCAAAAATACACTCAGTAAGGTGTGTCTACGGTTTTGTGACATACTAGCCGACGATCAACTATGGAAGCATTGGGTACAGAATAAAATTAAGGGAAAATTTCCCCCAGTAGGTGATTTAAAAAAATGGAATGTTAATCCTGCAGACTGGCAGGATTTATATATTGCAATGGAAGTAGAAAATAAAACTTGGTGTAATGTTGAAGAAACCATGAAACATATGGTTGTAAAAGATGTACATTTTGCATCAGTTGATGCTGTGTTGTTAGTGAATGTAAGTAGCTAATCTTGATTGAAAATTAATATTTTTTATTTTTTATGGCCGTAGCAAGCAGCTTAAAGATTATGAAAAAGGGTTACTGCCACAGTGGGTCATGATTGCGGTTGGGTGGTAGATTCTGCACTACTCTTGCCAGAGCTAGTGTTAGCAAATTCTCTCAGATTGAGCCAGTAATCTCACCTACCAGTCCGGACATAGCTAGAATAACCTCTTAGGTTACCAGTGAATAGGTAGGAGAAAAAAAGGCACACTTCAGGATTGGTTTTTACTATAATACTACTATCAATATGTAATAGATGATGTGCTAGCTATTTCAATATATTACTATAGTTAAAAAACTAGCAATTTTAATTATATATAGTTTATTATTAGCATAGTCAATGTTTTAATTGTACTATCACATGATGCATTACCATATCTAAAAGTAAAGTAATGTAAAAAAAGTAAAATAAAGCGGGTATCCATAACTTATTGTTATATTTAAACTAACATAGATAGAGAAGCTCTTGTTTCATTGGTTATATGGATGGATGGATGAGCTCACTCCACCCCTGATGTTAAGCGGTTATGTCAGCAGCTATAGAAATCAAAACGTAAATGCTGCCACCCACTTTGAGACATGAAACATTAGCATGTAATGAAACTGAAACACATTACCGTTTCACAATAGAAATCATGGCATCAGTAAAAACTCACGACGCAACTGTCATTCAGTATTTATACAGATATCCCAATATGAATTCTGCAGTTCACCTAGAGATGTTTGGATTAACAGATGATGATGAAAAAATTATAAATGGATATTGATCTGCTGATAATGCCACTTAATTGTACCAATTTTAAAAGTTTATGTTTGAATTTCAGAATGGAGAATTGTGTATATCAGGAGGTAGGGATAGAGGAATGGCGTTGTGGAATGTTTCGGACATTAGTGCAAAAAGTGAAACAAATGACGGAGTAACATCACTAACGGACACCAAACCAAAACATTTAAGACATGATGCTCATGCAGGCTGGGTATGGGACTTGGCAGCAGATGTTGTGAACTCCGCTTCCAAAGTTTATTCTGCATCTTGGGATAATACTGTGAAAGCATGGGACTTAGCTACTGGATTTCAGTGTATCCAAACATTTCAGTAAGAATATTATAAAAAATATTTTTATCTCCTGTACTAATTAATATTGGAATGTGAATCAACAGGCTTGAATAATGTAAAAACGTCTTTGATCAAAAGCCTAACACTAATAATAACTGTGTTGTCTTACACACTAACAATAAATAATGTAAGAAAATGTGTCTGGAGTAATAAATAATGTAAATTAAAAAGTAGAAAATTGCACATTAGTTGATGTTAACAGGGTCATGCATGATTTGTTTATTGCTACTAATAATGGTGGACGAGCTCATTACCCACCTGGTTCACCTGGTTAAGTGGTGACCTGAGTTCACAGACACCAACCACGTTAATACTGCCTTGCCTACCTTGAGACATGAGTGCTAAGTCTCAGTTTTTACTGTATAACGGGCTCCCCATCCTTCTAACTAAAATGCATGATACCTACCCGGTGATGGTACCTACCCGTGCGGGTTCACAAGACGCCCTATCATCAGTAAATGATTCCATGGGTCGCTTGTTCTAATTATGTTACATTCCCTGCTGTCTAGAATATGTTGGTAAATATTATGTAGAGTGTATCAATCGTGATTTTATTTTTATAATAATAATACCAGGAATCACAGTTGAAAATTTAGTTTTTTGTATGTAATTTAAAAATAGTTTTTAATTGAATTCATTATTTACCGTCAATCTATATATATAAATAAAATTGGAGTGTCTGTTTCTAATATTGAAATAACCGCTTTTTACTACATGAATACGGTACATACACCCAAATAACATTTTTTACAATTTTTGTCTGTTTGTTCCGGCTAATCTCTGGAACGGCTGGACGCTGAGATTTTGACGAGACTTTCACTGATAGGTAGCTGATGATATAAGGAGTAACTTGGGCTACTTTCTTTAGACTAGCTTCGCCCCGCGGCGTCACCCGCGGTACGACAATAACCGTGGGTAACATCGCGGGACTCAGCTATCAATTATAAAATTTAATGTTTCCGAAACGAAGCGAGGGCGGGTCGATAGTTTAAACTAAAATCATCCCTTCTCACTACAACACCCTCTGTTGCTAGTTTTCTGACAGGCACTTGAGCGTAACGAAACGCTCCGGCAACGCAATGGATTCCTCATTTAGCTAGTCAAAGGATGTCCAAGCAACTTAGTCTTTATTGCCTTATTCGAATCCCATATTTCCGTTATCCAAGCATAGAGATACTTTTGTTAGGCGAGAGGTCGAAGTTATTACATTTGGCATTTGGACTAGTTTAAACCAAATTATTTAACATATTTTGTTTATAAAGATCGGCTTTTAGAAGACGTGTGGTTTTCGCTATTTCTTGTATTCTCGAATTGTGTCAGTCACTTACATTGGAAAAAAAATATATAATTTCATTCACTCCACTTTGTATGATGCAATAAATCCGATGACCTTATGTTGGAATACTTTATACTGGGGCTTGTGTTATTTTTTTCCTACCTAATCAATGAATGGTAACTGAATATTACAGCTGGTAGGTGAGGTCACAGGCTCAACCTGAGAGAGCTTGCTAACACTGGTCCCAGTAAGGGCAGTGCTTCGCAGAGTCTAGCACCGGGTCCCATGTTATTTGACCTTGTTAGAAGCAATCGCATCATTAATCTCCACTGTAAAACTTACTAATTTTATTACATTTCAATTATTTCAACTTTTTTCAGATGTGGAATGGCCGCATTATCCGTGGTAACAGTTGGAAGTGAAACTCTTGCTGGACTGTACTCAAAAAATATACTTTCTTTCGACTTACGTTCGGGCTCCGGTCCCATTTATGTTTACACACCGCACAAAGGCCCCGTGTTGGGTCTTGATGAGTACGACAACTTGATTGCTTCTATAAGTGAAGACAAAACACTCGCTGTTTGGGATAGACGCGCCGGAAAAATCTTAATGCAAGATATAAAAATACCCACTGGAAAAGCCTACCCGGTTTGTTTGAGTTGGGGCCCCGCCGCTCTGTATATAGGCGATTCTAAAGGCGCCCTGCATTTATTTAATCCGGAAACCCTGAAGTTTGTGCATTCGGTTCGAGCATGGCCGCAAAACCAACCAAATAATACTTACTGTAAGGTAACAGCGTGTCACCAGAGCGAAAGCAACTTGATTCTTTGCTCGGACAAAGGAGAAATAAAGTTTATGTACAATTGCTATCCGCCTCAAGAATTTACAACAGTCACTAGCACTACATCTGAAGTTACACAGGTACACACTAAAAATATATGTATATATCCTATCATAATTTAACTACATTTCAATTCATATACAGTTCTAAGGAGTGCCTTTTAATTAACTAACGATTTAAATTGTAATATATGTAGTAATTTCCAAGTCTAACCTATAATTGACAAATGTAATTTAATCTATAAAACGAAAAAGTTGTTTATGTTCGGCCCAGTATTCTTGGAGTTAAGCCCATGCAATTAAGTCATCAAATAAATCAGACAGAGAAAATAAGTTAATATTGATTATATGCAATCTATGTGAATCTATATTTAGACTGTATTTTTTACCACGTTTAACGTATGAATTGCTCGATTACGATACATAGATCTACCCCAAGATCTGTCAGCGGACTAAAAGGTCTCTTCGGAACAAGATGACCCTTTAAAAAACTTGGATAAGGCCCATCATGACTTACGCGAGTGTGGTGTTCGTTCACGCGGCTCGCGCACACATAGACAACACCCAATCCCGCTTTTGCAGTTTAGCCGTTGGAGCTCTATGGTTCGTGAAGAACATACACCACAACCTGGGCCTCGAATCGATCCACAAACACACGAAGCCAGCGTCGGAACGGTACTTCGATAAGGCTATTATGTACCATGATAATTACCTTATCGTTGCCGCCGCTGACTACTTCCCGAATTCTGATCACTTAGGAGTCGGTCACCGTAGTCGCCCTAGACACGTCATTACGAATCCATCAGATCCAATAATCGTTGCATTAGACGCCTTCAGCTCCAACACTAGGAAAAGACTTGGACCCCAGTAAACGTGCTATTTAACCCATGCATGAGCTTGTTGAGTTTCTCGCCGATTTTCTCAGCCGGTCGCCATTCCGATCCGGTAGTAGATTCATTCTCGAAGCAGCTGCTATTGAGTTAGGTCTCCATTGGAGGCGATCGGGCAGCTGTTAGCAAATCCCACCCCTCCTGGCTGAGCCTTTGCTCGCCTACCTGCCGTGATAAAACTGGAAAGGCCTTCGGGCCACCAGTAATCCTTGTCATAAAAAAGGCATTTTCATAGTGTTTAATATGTATTTTTAATTAGAAAAATGGGGACTTGTCTGTGCTGTTTAAACACAGCCATAGTCGTATCGCTCGAACGAATTGTAACATATCTTATTTTCACCTTGAAGTCGTAACACTAATATACAGGGTTTAGGTGAATGCTTCCCGAAGCGACGGTAATAATATAGTAATGACGTCATTATTATCGATGTAAATATTGTTACAGTTGCAGTATCTCAATGGAGTTTTAGTCATCGGAACCTGCGACTCCGCGTTAGAATTTTGGGTGCCGAAAGATAAATTTCCGTGAAATTTAGGACTACAGGAACATTACCAACATAATAAAGTATGTAACATACTAATAACAAATTCCTGTTTCCAATTCATTAATAACTGGCTAATATTAATTTTATGAGTTTAACTTGTATTTTTATATTGGTTGTCTTGCATAATTTAAAAAATAATAATTATATGTTGTGTTGACTAATTAGTACTATTAATATATAAATGTTACTAATTATGGAAGACTGACTTAGACTAAATTATATATTTGTATATTTAAAAGCATANAATAACAAATTCCTGTTTCCAATTCATTAATAACTGGCTAATATTAATTTTATGAGTTTAACTTGTATTTTTATATTGGTTGTCTTGCATAATTTAAAAAATAATAATTATATGTTGTGTTGACTAATTAGTACTATTAATATATAAATGTTACTAATTATGGAAGACTGACTTAGACTAAATTATATATTTGTATATTTAAAAGCATAGTTGGTTGTGATTGAGATGGATCTGAATATCATTTTATATTACAATGGACGCATTGGAAGGAAATAATCTTTCGACTCAAAGTCACAATAACCTGAAGTGAGCGCATTGCGTAAACAAGACTTCATTTATTATAAAAGACCACAACTGAATAATTAGATGTAGGCTCAACTCGGATCTATATAATTATTTAATATCCAAGTCGAAAAAAATTGTGTAATAGAATATGCAGCATAACTTATTGTAAAATAAACAAGTTGATTGATTATTTCTTTATCTGATGAAGATACGTAACGAAGGTCTCTCTAGAATAAATTGTGGAAACGGCTATTGGTTTACATTTAACTTTTAAAATGAGATTAAAAATCTAATAGTATATAGTCAATGAGTCATAAATAAGACATTTTATCAAAATGCACGTTTATACTTTTATATTGTATATAAAAAGTACATGTCCTGCTTTCTATTGTCGTGTATATTAATTACTACCTATGTTACGAAAAACAATTTGATTTTGAAATATACATACATATATTATTATTCTTCGATAGGCGTTAACAGAATTTAATAAAGTTAAAATAAATGTCTTCAAACTAATATTTCTGGCAGTATGGTAATTGTTAATGCATTTTATTAATTCAATACCTTACTCGCCAAATTTTGGCACTGAGTCAATAGCAGCTAAATGTAGTAAAATAGGAATATGTTCTGAAGACATCACTCTTAACTGTCATTAGATGGAGTCAAAAAACTTAGTACAATACACTTTGATGATGAAATGTTAAGTGATTATGTACATTTTTCTATGTAGATGAAATATGTAAGGCTTTTTGTAAATGATCAATTTTACTGCCTATAAAATTGGCATACTGGCATATTGAAATTGATTCATAATTAAGGATCTCAAAGAAATGTATGCCCTGGAAACTATCAAAATCCAGTTTGTTTTTTTGGCTACGTATGTCATTTGAACGCATAATTGTTTGCATAATTTTTTAATGATGTTATGATAATCATTAGACGAAAATAAATATTAAAGTCGTCGTGGCCTAACGGATAAGACGTCTGGTGCATTCGTGTTGAAGCGATGCACCGGTGTTCGAATCCCGCAGGCGGGTACCAATTTTTCTAATGAAATACGTACTCAACAAATGTTCACGATTGATTTCCACGGTGAAGGAATAACATCGTGTAATAAAAATGAAACCCGCAAAATTATAATTTGCGTAATTACTGGTGGTAGGACCTCTTGTGAGTCCGCACGGGTAGGTACCACCACCCCGCCTATTTCTGCCGTGAAGCAGTAATGCGTTTCGGTTTGAAGGAGTGGGGCAGCCGTTGTAACTATAATTGAGATCTTAGAACTTATATCTCAAGGTGGGTGGCGCATTTACGTTGTAGATGTCTATGGGCTCCAGTAACCACTTAACACCAGGTGGGCTGTGAGCTCGTCCACTCATCTAAGCAATAAAAAAAAAATTATACATTTTACTGAAAGTTAAAAAATTTAACATTTAAAACATGTTGTTTTCAGTCATGATAAAGTTTCAACTAAATTAACATTTGGTACCTAAATATAGTTTGCTATGTTAACCAAAATCTTTTACCGATTTAGCTTCAGGTTGATGGAAACAAAAAAATGCTTGCGTCACAAATATGGCTATATAGTCGCATTATACTGTTACGTTTGACATAGCGCATTTTTTTTATTGCTTTAGTGGGTGGACGAGCTCACAGCCCACCTGGTGTTAAGTGGTTACTGGAGCCCATAGACATCTACGACGTAAATGCGCCACCCACCTTGAGATATCTTAATGTCTCAGTATAGTTACAACGGCTACCACGCCCTTCAAACCGAAACGCATTACTGCTTCACAGCAGAAATAGGCAGAATGGTGGTACCTACCCGCGCGGACTCACAAGAGGTCAAGTTTAGTACCAGTAAAGTTTTACTGAACGATTGCAACTCTCTTTTTTGTTGGCGCTAGTTTCTAAAGGATTCTTTGCAATTGTGAAAAATGATTACATTTCGTAAAAAAAAATACCAAAGGATTCTCATGCAAAATCACATTGTTTTGAACTTTCGTGGCTATTTACATATTTTTTTTTGTTTAACGGGTTTTTACCATGCTTTCTATCTATTTCATTGACTTTTCGGGTTTTCTAGGCTGTTGTAAGTGCCAAAATGACGAGTAAAGACAGCGGTGATATATTACCATGTTGTTCTGTTCCTCCACTCCATTCATAAATTTCAAACCCAAGTTTCAATTTTTACAAAATATTTTCATTGTTAAAACCTACAGTGAGTGTGCGAGTTAATCAGTCTTCCCTCGCACATAGGCTGGTCGTAGTGTAGTACTGTCCTGTGTGCTTAGTGCGAGTTTTTTAACTTTCTCGATAGCGTAAAATTTACTCAAATTTGTAGGCAGTTGGAACAGCGCCCCTAGCGGCAAATGTAAGCAATCGTTTCGACTCCATTCAAATTTGAGCTAACTTTCTCGCTATCGAGAACGTTACAAAACTCGCACTAAGCACACTGATTTCAGACATATTATGCTTATCGTTCGCGTCAATATGCAATATGAACTTCGTGATGATTTTTATTTTAAAAATGCCTGATTCGATTTTATTTATTTATTTATGATCTGCCAGTGGTCCTCGTTTTTTCGTCACAAATATGTGTCTTGATTTATAGTCAAGAACGGTGATTGGCAAAGAATTTTTCGATTTGTTGTATGCTGAAAAAAGGAGGACAAGGAAACAACTTTTTACTTTGCGATTAAAGGTTTCTTTCAGCATAACTGGTATTTAAAAAATAAAAATTTTAAGTATGCTGTAAAAAAATACTAGATACCAATTCTTTTTTTTTTTGGAATTGGTCTACATTACTATCGGCTACTAGTTAGGCCGCAACCCTAGCGGACTATAAAATATGTCTTTTTGTAAAGAAGTCTAATTTCATCAGTACTCAACTACTCACTCACATCGCTTTTGCTATTGAGAAACTGGTACTAAAGACAATAGCTCTGACTGAAAAGTAGTTATGAATCAGCTGCTGACCGTATTTACACTAAAACTGCAGCCTCGCAATCAATTCAGTTTTTACAATTATTATTTAGCTCTCAAGTAGGGCGTAATTGAACACCGCAAGGTTGGACGCCACTTTATTTCTCCACGAATGTAATGTTATTGAACTTGCATTTCTACCTCATATCATCACCACCACGTACGGGCTCCCAAATTAACAGTTGATGGAACGTGAGGTCTTCTATGGCAAGAACAAAAATAAAGAAGCTTAAATCATCCAAATTGTCTGTGAGATATATTTTACTATCACAGAATGAAATGTTTAAATGGTATATGAGGTGATTTTTTTTTAATAAACATACATTTTTTTTCGCATTCGCAATATCTTAGTTAAACTAAGATTTGCTTGTTCTATCTTTTTCCTACGGATAACGATGTAGGTATCTATCTATACTGCGATCTCTATTGTAAACTAAAAAAGTTAAATAAAAACATTAACAGAAATATCTTGTTTCATTAAAAAACTAGCTCTCCAGTCGCCGCGGCGCCGCTTTGCTCGCGTGGATTCTACATTATAACTACGGAGGGAGGGTATAGTTTTTTTCCTTTTTTTTCTTTTTTTTAGGCTAAATGTTCTGCCAGTAGTGGTGGTATTTGCTAACAGCTGCCCGAGAATCTCCAAAATTTGTAGACCTAACAGTTTAAGAGCAGCTGCTTCGCGAATAGATCTACTACCGGATCGGGATTGCAATCCGCTGATAAGATCCGGTGAGAAACTCAGCAGGCAGATGCATTGATAAGTTGCAAGTCGAACTCTTTGTCGAGTTCTACGAGCACGGTTACTGGGGTTCCCAAGTAGATATGTGTCGTTCGCGAACGAACGAATCAAATGACCCGGGTCTCAAAATCTGCGCGAACGATAGGGTCACTTCAAAAAATATGAGTCGTTCACTAGATCGACTCGTTTAACAAAACCTACGAATCAGATGAAAAGAACCATACGACAGTCATTCGGGTCATTTCGGGTTGCCGGGTCTCGACCCGCGCCCGTCTCGGTTAGTCGGTCGTTGTCGCATAATGACGCATAACGCATTTGAATTGTTTTGATCTCACGTAAACAATCGAACTATAACAGTTCCTCTAAACTGTTATTCAATACTAAACTTTATATTAATATTAATTACGTCATAAATTGATGTGATAAACGTTCGACTGAACGGGTCGTACGAACCGGATCATTTTGTCAACAAGTCAGTATTGATCTGAATCTCTAAAATTGAACGAACGACACATATCTATTCCCAAGCCTACTCCTAGTGTTAGAGCTGAAGGCTTCTAATGCAAAGGTTATGGGATCTGATGGATCCGTAAGGACGTGAGAGCAGAGGTAAGGAGAATCATCTCATATGGGAGAAAAATTTAAAAAGTGTCGCATCTGTATGCTGTAAATAACAGTACAAAAACCTCTCATAATCGTGCTGGTGTAGACAAAGGATATGGTATGAATGTAGCAAATGTAGAACGAACTGAAGTACGCCGAGTTAAAAAAATAATCATTTCGACTACAGTAGTGAAAATTTCATAAAGCATGTATTTTATAAAACAAAGCAGTAAATATTGCCATAAAGAATTATTACAAGAAAATGTGCACCTAGAGTGATTTTATTTCGTAAAAATATATTAAGTGTATAATCTATGCTGTGAATGGTACGATTATTGATTTATTAACATTTAATTTTATGAAAGAGTAGGTATTTAACAAACCTACCTCCTAATGTTAATTATAGTTTAGTTTAAAATGTACCCCGATGCTAATGTGGCGCCACCCTAATTTAATACATTTCGACGGAGACTTTTCTCACAGTTGATTCTCCTTATCACTACTCACCATAAATTTAACGCGAAGGCAGATAACCAGAATCTGCGATTCGAACATGAAAACTTATGAGACCGGCAGAACTGCTTTGGTATTAATAATGTTATTTGTTAAACAACTTAAAATCTAACAGTATAAAAATAAATACCGAAAATTTGGCTTGCCTTTTTGCAATATCTTCTTTTATTAAAAAAAGCCTTCAAATTAAACTCTAGTTACCCGTAAAAACTACATAAAAATCTATTGATTAATTCTGAAAATGTACGCGAACAAACAGATGATGATTCTAAAAAATTCTCGTTTGTATTTTTTTTAGCAACTACTGTCCTTTAGTATCTTTTAAAAATACTAAAAAATGTGTGCGTGTACTAGTGTACACACGTAAGAAGTGAAACTTCTTTATGGCCTTATTTTTCGAAAAATGATCTACATGCAACTTTCTAGAAATTGGTTAAATAAAGTTAAATTAGATAAAGTTTAAACAAAAGGATTTTATTATCATAGACATGAATACAAAAAAGTTAAATTAGATAAAGTTTAAACAAAAGGNGTTCCATTTTCATTTCATTCTCTATTATTTCGCCTTTCAACAACATCTTCTCGAACTATACGCCATTTCTACTTTATTACACTCCATTACTATTATTTCCTCTAATATCACCTTCTCGAACTCCACTAACTCTCCATTTCTTCCTATTTCACCTTCTCGAACTTCATTAACTCCATATCTTCCTCTAGCACCTGCTCGAACTTCGTCGACTTCGTCTTCACGATTATCTTTATTCGTTACTTATGTTAGTGTTCTCCCTTTCATTACCTTATCTCATGCTCTTATAATAATTTTCTGTTTTGAATGGTTTTATTTTCATTAAATTCATTACATATTGGTTGCTAAGAAAAAAATTTTACAAACAGTTTCGTTTCCATGGTGATGTTGTAGGCGTAGGTGATGTTTTAATCAGCAAACTTTAATAAATATTACCTTATAAATTCTGGTCTGGGCCCATAACCTGCTGGACGGTTACATTTGAGGGATTGGGTTCTGTAGGTGATGAGGGGCTATTTAAAAACACAACTGCTTCATTATAATTATATTGCAGATTGCTTGAACACTTTTACACCATTATACAATTATTATCTTTATATTTTTTTAATGAAACTATTACATGTTTTTCATGCCGTGTCTAGATGAGAAGTAAATACATTTTCTTACGAGAATACAATGATCTGTTTTTTAAAACATTTAAAATAATTCCAATATTCGAAATCTAATCAAGTGTCAAGTGTTGCCTGCCATTACATTTAATAAACAAACTCCAACAGAAATACGTACCAAACAAATGTTCACGATTGACTTCCGCGGTGAAGGAATAACATCGTGTAATAAAAATCAAACTCGCAAAATTATAGTTTGCGTCATTACTGGTGGTAGGACCTCTTGTGAGTCCGCGCGGGTAGGTACCATCACCCTGCTTATTTCTGCCGTGAAGCAGTAATGCGTTTCGGTTTGAAGGGCAAGGCAGCCGTTGTAACTATACTGAGACTTATAACTTATATCTTATGGTGGGTGGCGCATTTACGTTGTAGATGTCTATGGGCTCCAGTAAGCACGTAAGCCCAGGTGGGCTGTGAGCTCGTCCACCCATCTAAGCAATAAAAAAAAGCACATTGACGATATTAATATGTTCATGCAATACACCGTTCATGTTATTGTTTTTCTGTCACTAATGGACATCAGATAAAATCGAATTTCGAACTTTAAGAGTTCTAAGTGTCAACTGAATTAATGATAAATGTTTGAAAGAACGTTTTTCGAGGGTTTGTTTTTGTTGCTTTGCTTATTGGACATTAGTAGTGTATTGCTTATTTTCAAAATACCACATCGCATCTGTGGCCATTGTTCATAGATTATACACTAATATAAAATATAAAAGCACTGTGGCAGCGTTTATGCCGCCGTCATAACGTCTTGCAGTAATGGCTGACAGAAATGAAATTGTTGACGATCTGTCAGTTTTGTGAATTTTATTTTCGCCATTATCAGTGATTTGTGACTCATAGTTTTGTAATGGGTAGTGTTTAGTAAATACTAGTGTTCACAAACAATACCGAAACAAAATGAACGGATTAAGTTTCAGCGAACTTTGTTGCCTGTTTTGTTGTCCGCCATGCCCAGGAAAAATTGCGGCCAAGTTAGCATTTCTGCCTCCAGAACCAACGTATGCATTCACTCCTGATGAAACGGGATCGAAATTTTCTTTAACGCTCACAGAACGCGCTGAGTGGCAATACTCAGAACGTGAAAAAGAAAACATCGAAGGCTTCTACTCCAGAACGACGAGGGGCAACAAGATAGCCTGTCTCTTTGTTCGTTGCAGTCCAAATGCTCGTTTCACTATATTGTTCTCACATGGCAACGCTGTGGATCTCGGACAAATGAGCAGTTTTTATTTAGGATTAGGCACCCGAATAAACTGTAATATATTTAGTTATGATTATTCGGGTTATGGTGTAAGTGGCGGGAAGCCCTCAGAAAAGAACTTGTATGCTGACATAGATGCTGCGTGGCAAGCGTTACGAACCCGATATGGCATTAGTCCTGAAAACATTATTTTGTATGGACAAAGCATTGGAACTGTACCAACAGTAGATTTGGCAGTGCGTTATGAAGTTGGAGCTGTAGTGTTACATTCGCCCTTAATGTCCGGAATGCGTGTAGCATTTCCAAACACCAAGAGAACTTGGTTTTTCGATGCATTTCCCAGGTATGTATNAGTAATGGCTGACAGAAATGAAATTGTTGACGATCTGTCAGTTTTGTGAATTTTATTTTCGCCATTATCAGTGATTTGTGACTCATAGTTTTGTAATGGGTAGTGTTTAGTAAATACTAGTGTTCACAAACAATACCGAAACAAAATGAACGGATTAAGTTTCAGCGAACTTTGTTGCCTGTTTTGTTGTCCGCCATGCCCAGGAAAAATTGCGGCCAAGTTAGCATTTCTGCCTCCAGAACCAACGTATGCATTCACTCCTGATGAAACGGGATCGAAATTTTCTTTAACGCTCACAGAACGCGCTGAGTGGCAATACTCAGAACGTGAAAAAGAAAACATCGAAGGCTTCTACTCCAGAACGACGAGGGGCAACAAGATAGCCTGTCTCTTTGTTCGTTGCAGTCCAAATGCTCGTTTCACTATATTGTTCTCACATGGCAACGCTGTGGATCTCGGACAAATGAGCAGTTTTTATTTAGGATTAGGCACCCGAATAAACTGTAATATATTTAGTTATGATTATTCGGGTTATGGTGTAAGTGGCGGGAAGCCCTCAGAAAAGAACTTGTATGCTGACATAGATGCTGCGTGGCAAGCGTTACGAACCCGATATGGCATTAGTCCTGAAAACATTATTTTGTATGGACAAAGCATTGGAACTGTACCAACAGTAGATTTGGCAGTGCGTTATGAAGTTGGAGCTGTAGTGTTACATTCGCCCTTAATGTCCGGAATGCGAGTAGCATTTCCAAACACCAAGAGAACTTGGTTTTTCGATGCATTTCCCAGGTATGTATAGATTTAACAAAAAAATAACATTCAACAATATTTCATTAGTAAATTAAGTATACGTGGTGTATTAAAATTATTCCCAAAAACGAAGTTAAATGATTGTGATTTCTTGAAGACTGGTATTTATGGTACTACTAATAACATTAGTGCTAGTACCATTTTTACATTGCAATCCTTAGTTATTAGGGGTGGTGTTGACCACCTACTTTCTGTCTTGTAATGTTGAATCACAGATTTTGTTCTAACAAGAACTATATCTACTTATTACCCACTACTGTAATATAATGTAAATGAATATCATTTTGTAGTCACAATATGGTAATAGGTCATTTTTGTTTTACCTCATAAAATAGGTAAAGTAAGAGTATAGTGTAGTACAGTAACACTTTGTAAATGGAGTAGAGTGTAGTTCCTTAAAGTTTTTTTTTTCAAACATGTTTTAGTAGAAGTTTAAAAGTGGCTTTGGGTTGACTTTACAATCAAACTTAAGCACTACTGTGATGTTTAGTCATTTCAACCAGTCACTGTTTTATCAGACTTTTTACGAGATACGTAACCCATAAACACAATTTACTAAGTTTCACACTGCACATTCTTACTGAGTCGCGATTCCAATCCAGGTAAATTTAGTAAAGTACTACTTGTACTAGAGCCATTTTTAGCNAAGTGGCTTTGGGTTGACTTTACAATCAAACTTAAGCACTACTGTGATGTTTAGTCATTTCAACCAGTCACTGTTTTATCAGACTTTTTACGAGATACGTAACCCATAAACACAATTTACTAAGTTTCACACTGCACATTCTTACTGAGTCGCGATTCCAATCCAGGTAAATTTAGTAAAGTACTACTTGTACTAGAGCCATTTTTAGCGAACTGTCTCAGTAGAGATTGCCTATAAAAACTGGCGAATCCAGAATAGCCCCTCTAGGATACTAGCAATTAGGTAGGGAAATAAAGTTGATTTTTTGCTAATTCAAACTCTATTTTCTAGTATATAATGGTTTTGTGCTATGTATCAACTAAGTTAATATTCTGACTCTTCTATTTTTATTTCTCAAAATAAAATAAGGTAATTATGCTTTAGTATAGATCAAGATTATTCAAAGATACAGTAATGACTCAGAATATTGATTTTGCCTTAACACTTTAAATTCTTTGATAATGATTTATCTCTACAAAAATAAACAAAAAAAGAAAACATTAATTTTGTATAGGATTTAATTGTTGAATAAGCACAAATAATTCCTTAAACACTGTATTTCTCTGTTCTTTTCACCATAATTTTTATATGTAATTGATTGGAACTTACACACTATCATTGAGATAAGTTGAATTTATCATCATTGTTTACAATTCAATAACTGAATTGCATTTCTCCTCAGTTTGTTACAATTGTTAATTCTTTTAATTTTTCATTGATCCACACATTGATTAACACAAATTACCTTTTTTTAAATCAGGGTTGTAACACCTGTTTCCACCACATGCTTAATATGTCTTTTATTGTTTTTATATAAAATGGACCCAGGTCACCATTCTTCATGTACATTAGCAATGTTTTTTTTATTATTGTATATATGGGTGTACGAGCTCACAGCCCAGCTACTGTTAGGGTTACTGGAGCCCATAGAGATCTACAACGTAAATGTGCCACCCACCATCAGATATAAGTTCCAAGGTCTCAAGTATAGTTACAACGGGTGCCCCACCCTTCAAAGCGAAACGCATTACTGCTTCACGACAGAAATAAGCAGGGTGGTGGTACCTACCCGCACGGACTCACAAGAGGTCCTACCACCAGTAATTACGCAAACTAGAATTTTGCGGGTTTAATTTTTATTACACGATGTTGTTCCTTCACTGTGGAAGTCAATCGTGAACATTTGTTGAGTACGTATTTCATTAGAAAAATTGGTACCCGCCTGCGGGATTCGAATACCGGTGCATCGCTCAACACGAATGCACCGGACGTCTTATCCCTTGAATGTCAGAGAAATAGCCAAGCTGTTGCCTATTGCTTGAGTGATGGTTTTCCTTATTTAAAAAAACAGTTTATTACATGTTCGGATGAGTAAGTTCGCGGACCATCTGATACTAAGAGAGAAATTCGAAATTTAAATAATAATAAGAAAATCTCGGATTACGCAAACTTTAGGTTTTAATTGTCTTGGCTAAAAGATCTCTTATTTCCCACATATTCCCGTACTACGACTACATTCACTTGCTTAATTGCTTAATATAAACCCAAAACAAATACAAAAATACAATGGACGGACTTATCGCTAAAAGCGATCTCAACCAGACAACCATGCGATGCATCGGGACATGAAAATGAAAGCCGCAAAATAATTATGTATATAACGTAATTATTGATTTTAGGGCATATGTATTTTGAACCCGCACAAGTAGGTACGAGCTTAGTTTATGCCGCAAATCAGCGAGCCGTTCTGGTCTGAAGGACAGGACTACCGATAACAATGTTATTTGGATTTTTTTTTTCGTTTCGATGTGAATGGTAGCATTTATGTAAATAGATTTTAGTAATAAATACACAATTTCATTTGCGCAAAACATAATCGAATGACATTGACCTTAACGTGTGAACTTATTAATATTGTTTTCAAATTGCTTATCGGGGTTTGTATCTTCTTCACATACCTATTCATTAATGTAACGTAAAACGTAAATATAATGTTATTTTATAACAGTAAATTCAAATTTTATAATGTATTTCTGGTTTATTCAAATTAAATAATTTATTCCGTACCAAAAGATTAGGAATATACTAGGAAAAAATCCTTTTTGCACTGGCAGTATGAGACGTCTTGTGAGTTCGCATGGACTGGACTATAAACCCGTCTATTTCTGCCGTGAAGCAGTAATGTGTTTCTGTTTGAAGGCTCATAATGGGTAGCGACATTTTCATTATTGTCTATGGGCCTTGGTAACTACTGAACACCAGATGGGCCGTGAAATTGTCCACCCACCAATGCAATAAAAAAACTGCCTGTTGGGAGTGTGTAATACTCGTATTGACTGAAGCGATAATACAGTGATTTCAATCTCACAAGTGGGTACCATTTTCTCTCAGGAAATAACTCTAATGATCTAACATATGTTCACGAACGACTCATGGTGTAGGCATAATTTACAAATTCGCATATTTACTAGTGCCCCAATTTTTTTCGTTTCTACCGCGAAATAGTAGTAAATTCCTGTTAAGGGTGCAACAGCCGTTTTGAAATAGGCGTATTGTGAGTCGGAAGTGAATGGATAGTTACCGCTTTCCTGATTGTTACTGCCGCAAAGCAGTCGTAGGAGCAAAGGGAAGGACAGCCCTAGAATACAACTAAGTCTGGCCTCATGTCTCAGGGTATGTAACGGTATTCACATTGTAATATCGATAGGTGCTGGTAACGTCGCATACGCAACGACGCAATTGCGATATTCGTTAACGGATCTGGCGTGGATTTAGAATTTATTGTAGGCAGCGGCTTGGCTCTGCCCCTGGCATTGCTGAAGTCCATGGGCGACGGTAACCACTCACCATCAGGTGGGCCGTATGCCCGTTTGCCTACAAAGGAAATAAAAAAAAATAATAATAATTATATACCAACCATATGATCAACCCTCAAACATTTTATAATTATAAAAAATACCTTTCAAGTAAGATCAAAACTAAACATTGTATTTTTAGTGGTCGATTACTCAATTAAACTAATATTGTTCAGCTCTATAAATTCCATTTGTTTTATAATCAGTAATGTCGAGTAATCGCAACTGGTTACATCAACTGGGTGTCGTAATTACATTATCGACAATAATTTCGTTCATACTTGGCACTCAATCTGTTAACGTTATGTTGGTACATATTAAATTTTAGTATGATTTATGAGAACAGTATCCATGTTGTACCATAATATATTTTGACATTGAGAGATGAGGGCGGTGTTTGGATTAACTTCTTGATAGTACCTACTAGAAAATGTTTGTGCTAAAATTGTTACGTGTCGTGTAAGCCAGAAAATCAGCAGTTTCTGTTTATAAACTCAAACAAATATTATTCTTCGGTTTATTAGAGTTTGTGACGTGATGTCTAAGTGAGCAGCCAACTAGTATATCGAGTAAGCGATTATGCTTATCAGTATTAGAGCGTAGCGTGAATTCGCACGGGTGGGTAGTTATTAATTTATTATTTTCTCCTATTTTTGCCGCAAAGAAGTAAGTGTAGGGTAGCCATTATGAAATACAACAAAGACTTCTGATTTTAACCCATCTTCACTGCGAAATTATTGCCATGTATGTGGGCTCCGAGGATTACTTAAAATCAGGTGGGCCATGAGCTCGTACGCCTATCAAGAGCATTATAAAATAATTGTATATCTGTGATTTGAGCTAGTAAACGTAGTTGAACATCGTTGTAATTAAAGTGCTGATATCAAAATGATAAAAACGGAACCTTTACAATTGTGTCATGGCCGTATATATTATGTACATTTTTCATAGCCAGTCTCTCGAATATTATAAATTACTAGCCGTACGGATGTATTTAGGGTTTCGTTGCAGTAAGTAAGTATGCTATACGCGAGCTACTTTATTAATAAGAATTAGACAGGCGAATGTGAATTATGATTTTGTTTTAAACTATGTAGAGTTGAACTGAGTTACTTATTTTATGTAAATTTTCTTAACAGTATTGACAAAATACCCAAAGTTACTTCTCCAGTTCTTGTGATTCATGGAACCGAGGATGAGGTAATTGACTTCTCCCACGGACTCGCCATATATGAGCGGTGTCCGCGTGCAGTGGAGCCACTATGGGTAGAGGTAATATATGATTTAATTTATTAAAATATTTTGTCATCGTTATAGAGTATTTTATTGCCTAGTTCGAGGTTAAATTTCGCTACAGCGAAACACCATCTTCGAAATTTGTTTGTAGAAGAATGAATCGACACATATATATTTACAGGGTGCTGGGCATAACGATGTGGAACTGTTCAATCAGTACCTCGAGAGACTGAAACGTTTTGTATCTGTAGAGTTGCTCAACTGACAAAGACTGCAGGCCACTGGCCAGACAACACAAGGTATTTAACTTACAAAACTATATNGTTAAATTTCGCTACAGCGAAACACCATCTTCGAAATTTGTTTGTAGAAGAATGAATCGACACATATATATTTACAGGGTGCTGGGCATAACGATGTGGAACTGTTCAATCAGTACCTCGAGAGACTGAAACGTTTTGTATCTGTAGAGTTGCTCAACTGACAAAGACTGCAGGCCACTGGCCAGACAACACAAGGTATTTAACTTACAAAACTATATGAAACCAAATATCAAAACATAAAATAAGAGACGAATGTAAGTAAAAAAAATTGTATTTGTAATCCAATAAATTACATATAAGACTACCCACAACTATGCATAGATTTTTGGTATTCTTGCATTTAGAGAATGTTAGTAATTATTAGCTATGTCAGGGGTCGGCAACGCGGCGTCATGGCGCCCCCGATCGATTTTTAATGCGCCCTCGCTGGACTAATGTAAATGTATGAAAAGTAATCCGAAATAATTATTTTCTTTCAATACCGGACAAAGCTTAATGACTCACATTTAGATAATTGTTTAAGGACCGGGAACTCTAAATATATCCCACCAATTATAAAAAATTAGCTGAAAATATGGACACCCAAGTTTCACACTGAATTATATGTATCATGATGTATGACACTAACAAAATAAAGTTATAAATAATTTGTTTTTTAATGCCTATTGATACCTGTTCATTATTTGTAAAATATGCGCCCTCGGTGATTTTCAAATTTAGTATTGCGCCCTTAAGGACAAACAGGTTGCCGACTCCTGAGCTATGTATATTGTAAAGTATATTTCTGGACAATCTAGCCGATATACAAAAATTTAGCTTAACATTCTAATGATTTTAATTCATTTATGACCGTAATAAAATACCATTTTAAAATTATTTTAGGTGATGAACAAAATCCTGCATCCACATTGAGTTCCGGCACTTCCAGTTCGGCCACAGAGAGACTCCTCTAGCTAGCGGGGGCCGGGCCTAGCCGGGCCGGCCCCGATAAAAATTTAGTAAAAGTCGAGGGTGCGAACCCGCCCGCCCCCGCATTTCCATCCGGCGAACCTAACAGTGATCCCTGTCCTACCGACGAGCCCATAACCGCTCACAATATCAGCATCAACGTGACTGACGCGGACTCGCCGGCGGGCGTGCGTCGTCGAGCCCACTTGCGCTCTCTCAGCGACGTGACCCCCGCGTGCCGGCCGGCCTCAGGCCGCGCTCGCTCGCATTCCGAGAGGCCTCGTCCATCGCCGGCAGCCTCCCTGGCACCCTCGCCCGCGCGACCTCGCCACGCTCTCACTCCGCGTCAGGCACGCAGCGAGCGCTCGTCGCCCGACGTGTCGCTACTCGCACTGGACGACACTGTGCGACCGCGCGACTTTCTCGACCCGTGGCGTAAGATGAGCGACCTGGAGTTGCCGGCATGTGGTGACCCCTGGGTGCGCAACAAGTCACCGGGCCGGCGCGGTCGGCTGGAGCGTCGCTCGGCGGTGCGGTGCGAGGCGTGCGGCGCAGAGAGCTGCGAGTGTTGGCGCTGCACGTGCGAGCCTCGGTCAGCTCGTCCGTCGCCGGCCCGCCTGGCGCCTCGGCCGCCCGCTCGCGCCCTATCGGACGACAGCGCCGCGGAGAGACCTCGGAGGTTGTACAAATCCTCGTCGCAGCGTTTGCTGGGAACGACGTCGACTATCGATCCGCTCCTCGAGACCACGTGTTGAACGGAACTGGATTGCATTCTCCGCGAGTATTAAATTCTATTAGTGCGAATTGTGTATCCCCTCTTAGTTTTAAGATTTCAAAATTATATTTGTGTCGTGATGACCGTTCGTGTCGAGTCTGCGTTGCGACATCATGTGTGAACGATATATAATGCGAGTGTTTTGTCAATGTCCGGGTTACGATTGTGCTGTGTTCGAATTGCCTCATTCGAGGCCCCGAGCTTTGAGTAACGTAGTGACGTTCAGAATTTCAATCCCTAAAAATACAAATATATTTCCAAAAACTATCTAATAGCACAAACTGAAGTATCGTATTTTGATTTTTAATATCTAATATATTCAATGCATGAAATATGTTTTTTTATATTGTACTTATTATTTATTTAATCATCATTATGTACTGTTAATATCAATATGTTATAAATACAATAATATCACGTACTGTTAGTAACAAATGTACCTACATTCCAAATTATTACATATTTGAGTTGCTACAATATCGAATTCAATCGATTCGTAATTTTATTGAAGAGCATTAAAATCAGGAGGAATTGAATCTCTCGCTAACCTCAATTGATTACCATGTACAGTAAATTCCACATATAATGACCTCGAAGATATGTCCAGAACAAGTTAAAAACACAGACACATCATCTTAAAAAAAGTAAACTTCCTATTTTTGTTACACATTTTGTTAAATAAAGATAGAAATATAGAAGCATATACATTGTATGTATCCATTAATAATAAATAGTAAAAACTGACACATCCATATCTACATAGAATTTTCACTGCTTTTATTGTTTACATTTGGCCTTTGTTTTTTATTTAAATTGTAATAAGTCTAAAGTTATTGTAGACAGAAGAGTATAAAGAAGAATATTCTGTTTTATTATTTTGGATAGTCTTGCTACGAAGAAATAATGATAACACTCCTGCACTTTTTAAAGCTTCTTCTGTGAAATGTTTTGATTCACCCGAAAATCGTTATATGTATTATATTCAAGTCATATTTCAAACGGATTTCGCTGTACATTAAATTTGTTAAATATGTTTAAATTATACTCTAATGATTAAAAGTCATTTGATATCCTCAACTTTAATTATAAATATACTCACATACATTTTTCATATAACAATAAAATAATAAAAAAGAACTATAGTGACCCAAAAGCAATTGCTACTTGAAGCTTGGTGAAAAATGTAAATTTAACATTGATAACTGTAAAATGTTTTATATCATGTACTTCCAATATTTCAAATATGTATTTATTATAAAAATATATTGTGCATTTGAAGAATCTTATTCATTTTATGTTTATTTTAATTTTTATAAATTTTATATTTAGATATATTATGTAAACTTAAGTCATTTCATCCTAAAACATTTTTATGGAATTTCTGTGCCATTTTACAGTTTCGGATCAGATTATTCCCTAAGGTATTATTTCAAAATGCTATGTACTTATTATTTATACATACTATTAAACATTAAATAGGAAGGTTGATATGTGTGATTGATGTCTCAACTGTTATTTACTTATTAAAATGTAAAATGGTTATCTTTAACTTGTAATATAAAAGAAAATTTTTATTAAATTAAAGTGCACATATCTTTAAAATGTCCATGATTTTTCCTAAAATACGCGTATTTCATTAACATTAAAACTCTTTGGTGATCAATACTACTAAATTTCTCATTTTTCACTTAGAAAACTTACAGCTAACTTAAATATCGTCGGCTTATTGCAAGAACTCATTAACTGCAAAAAGTCACTAAATGCGTTTTTATCTATAATGGGCTCATTTTTGCATACTCTACAAAATGCAAAAACACACTAATTTCTAACTGGCCAACTTTGGCCGTTACGTCTTTGGCAGAAAGTTGATAATTGCAACTTTGGAAGTCAGGCATTTACAAAGGTTCACTAAGCAGCACTAGTTATTTTTATTAAATGGATAATTATTTGAAAACAGCATACATTACATTACAGAACTCATTTGCAGCATCTAATTAATTTTATCAAAACAATGTAGTATAATATAGCTTAAAATTGTATTTCGATAAAATTCATTATTTACATTTAGTTAGTTTCCGTAATGAATCATTTCATCACAAATGCACAATAAGTAATCTTAATGATTTTTATCGATATTAATATAATATAAATCATAATATTAAGATTCCCATAAAATCATTTATTCTTTTACATTATTTTTTCATTTTGATGATGGCATGATTTTAATAAGTTAACATCGATTAAAAGAACATAGTAACTTCTTGCAGGCTATGTGGTTCCTCGATTGTAGTTTAGTCAGTTAAATAGGGTTTGGTGAAATGCGACAAAAGAGCGTTTCTAGGGAACATGGGGCATAGGACGAACCCGGGCGAGGGTGGGTTTGCGCGGGACGAAAGAGTACTGCTTCGCTCGGTCAGTTTGCGGTGAGATACGTTGATTACCACGCCTGTTATACAAGTTAATGATTTCTGACAAAATGCAACGAAATGGACGAGGAAGCAATATGTTGGAACAATTGAAAATCCGAACAACCTTCGCACAACCTAGCAAGCAAACGCCTGACCTACAATAATATCATTCTTTCCACGCCTGTAAAAGACGTTAAATGATACACTGGAGAACGGGCAACATCGTTATCTGAGAATCATACCAATGGACTACGAATGCCAACTTGTATTTACTGATAGGATGGTTGGTATGGCGTAGGGCAAGCCCGTACGAGTTGGTAACACCATCGAAGAGAAGCAGCCGTGCGGTTTGGTTTGAAGCGTGGAGCAGCCGTTATATGGAACAATTTAGATTTAGATTTCGGGTCTCAAGGTGGTGGCATTCACATTAACACCAGCCTTTTTTATATTTTTTTAGAATTGAAGGGTTACTGGTGGCCCGGAGGCCTTTCCAGTTTCGCCAGAACATGTGGGGTAGCAGAGGCTCAGCCAAGAGGGGTGGGATTTGCTAACAGCCGTCCAAGCGCCTCCGAAGAAGAACTAACAACTCAAGAGCAGCTGCTTCGCGAATGAATCTACTACCCGATCGGAATCACGACCCACTAAGAAGATCCGGCGAGAAACTCGACGAGCTGATGATGCAAAAGCGTAATCAGTTTCTGTTATGCTTAATGCTATACTTAGTTCAAGTTATCCACCTTGAGGTGATTGAACATAAGTATTTAGAATTGGGCCACACACATATTATTATGGAGGTCGATAGTATGCATAGTGCTATCGAGAATGAAATGCGTCTTATGCTAATTTTTTCTCTGATAGACCTCTGTAATGTTTTAAGATTGGCTAGATCGAACAGAAAGCTAAACAAGAAAAAAACAGTAATGAAGCCGTATGAACCTATGTAATGAGCCACCTTGATATCTTGAACCTAAAAGAGTTGAGAAACAAATTAATGTTTAATAAGTCAATTGTAGGACAGAAGCTACAGTGGTTGAAGGTTAAATGCTTCAAGTTTGGAAAAACCGGCCTAACATTGTTCAATTTAGGTATGACTACCTTTCCAATTTTAAAGACCTAGCCTGCAGAGCTACACCATTGATATAATAATATACCTGATAAAGAAGGTCCAAATTATCTTAATGAAAAAGAAACCTCTGATACATATTTTTTTTTACCTAGATGTTTTTTTATTTGTTTTATATTTTTGTATGGTGTTTAAGCTCAGTTCCTAATTTTTCCTAATAATTCCAACTAAAATGCCGTTTTCCCAAAAAAAAGAATATGTCACATAATGACTTCTTGCAATAAGCCGACGATATAAGAACAAAGTTATTATCTTATCTATACTAATATTATAAAGAGGAAAGATTTGTTTGTTTGTTTCGAATAGGCTCCGAAACTACTGGACCGATTTGAAAAATTATTTTGCCATTAGAAGCCGACATTGTCCCTGATGAACATAGGCTACTTTTTTTAATTTTTATTTTATTTTTTTGGTTTCATGTGTGTTTTAATGTTTCCGAAGCGAAGCGAGGGCGGGTCGCTAGTTTTATTATATTATTAGTAAATGACCAATATTATAAACGGGCGCTATGAGACTATAGACATAGCCTGTTAAAATGATATCTGAAACGAATCACGGTCACAAAGACTTATAATGGAGTGTAAATAATCTTTCAGCATATTTGATTACGTATCAAAAAAAAAACCATGGCCTAATTGATAATACGTTTTCAGCTATACGACTGTGCGGACAATCATATTCTACGACAGGTAGCAATTACTCTAAGTACAAACCAAAAACGTTCATGAACGCAATTTAAGAAGGGGTGTAATAAAAATTATACCCGGAAAGTAATGTACCAAAGGTTTATTGTGATTTAGTATTTAACACTATCCCTACAAAACATCACTGCCGCTAAAGTACTCTAATATACTGCCGACTTCCTATTCGATTTTCCTTCAAATTTTCTATCTATGCTGGTAGTTTCGAGGAGCTATGCCAGCCTCGCAGAGCGAGTAGGTGATGAGCTTGGGGTATCTAAAAGCTGTTTGCCTTTCGGTTAGCGGTATCGGGTATGTAAAGGATCTGGGATCTTACTCTAATAAGGGTTACGCTGACAGCCTCTCAAAGCTATCAGTTTAGGTAGGAAAAAACTTGTTAGGATTTTTGGTGCAGTCGGGGTTTTTTATTCATTTAGATAACACTGCGAAAGTTATTCAATATAAGACTCAAATTAAACATTAACCTACTTCCTACTAATATTATAAACGCGAAAGTTTGAAAGGATGTACGGATGGATGTTTGTTACTCTTTCACACAAAAACTACTGGATGTTTTATTTTTTATTTTTTTTTATGATTGAAGGATTACTGGTGGCCCGGAGGCCTTTCCAGTTTCACCAGGACAGGTGGGCGAGTAAAGGCTCAGCCAGGAGGGGTGGGATTTGCTAACAGCTGCCCGAGCGCCTTGGATGGATTTGGATGAAACTACAATAATATAGCTTACACAACAGAATAACACCTAGGCTATAATTTATAAATATATATTGTGAATTATCTAAAATATAAGTTCTAAAATAAGTGTTAAGTAGGTAGGAAAAAAAATCTGTCAACTGCGAGGTACTCTGGCGTGCGCCGCAGTAACCGTTACGTATTTAATGTTTAATGGAAATGTTTTTCTTAAATTTTAATAGTCTTACAAAAAACCCGTTACAGCAAATATCCATCTTTTATATTTAAACCATTATCGCCAAAATAGTAAACCATAAGTACAATAAAAATGATAATTTATTTGTAACGCACATTTGAGTCGACTATTATCAAAGGCGGCAATCTGTACATTTGGTAACAAATTGATCCTTATATCAAAATAAATACTTTTATCACATCTGGTATTTAAAGTAGATAAACTTTAAATACCTACGTTTACACTACCTACATAATTTCGACAAATATTTGAATATTTATGACAACCGAGTGCGAAATGTTATGAAAGATAAAGTATAGAAAATTCAATAAGATCAATAGGTAATAAATGGTTAGGTACAGTTCCTGAAGCGAAGCGGTACTCCACGCGAGGTCGGACCTGCGCTTTATAAAGCGCAAGTCTCTGTCCAGGCCTGAAATACCGCTTCGCTCTGTTGAGGACTCCCAACATTTTAGAGGCCAATTTGGCTTTACCTTCCAAATTACTCTGAAACTGGACATCGCTTGAAATATCGACCCCCAGAATCCCGATACTCGGGGAAAGCTGCAGGGATACTCCTTGAAATTCCGGCACCATGACAAAAGGGTCCTTCTTCGCAGTGAACGCGCAAACCTGTGTCTTCAATGGGTTGAACTGAACTGAATTCAGTTCACCCCGCTTGGAGACCCGCCCCAGGGAGTTCTCCACTTCAGACACAAGTTTTAATCGCCTTTCGTGTACAACGCTTCGAGAGAGACTGTGATGGCCGATATATCGCGCATCCCCCGTGCTATCATCCGCATAGCAATGCATGCCATCAATAGATAGCATGTCATTGATATGCAGTATGAAAAGCGTGGGGGAGAGCACCAAACCTTGTGGAACACCAGCGTTGATGGTCATGGTATCGGAGCACCAGCCGTCGACGACAACTGTGATGCTCCGTCCATCCAAAAAGCTAGCGATCCACTTGCAGAGTCTCTCAGGGGTCCCGTATGGTGGAAGCTTCGATAGAAGTGTAAGTAAGTATATTAACAAGCATGGAATTTTGAAATAAATACAATTGACTGACTCGATCGTACAGTAGATAGCGCCTCTGACTATTGCGGCCGAGTGTCGTGGTTCGATTCCCACATCGGGCAAACCTTGTATGATAAACAGGTTTTTTGCTGTTTGTTCAAACAAAAACAAACAAACAGCAAACCCTGTGATAAACATACCTAAGTATGTTTATCAGTCTCTGGTGCCCATAACACAGGGATTTCTAATTTGGGGCCGAATGTCCATTCGTGATTTGTTAATAAAAAGTTATTATTAATAAAACAATACACCAATTGTTTGTAAAAAAAAGGCATCAAAATACATAGGCATTTTGAAAAAGCAAGAGGACACAAAGAATTTAAGTTTATAAATAAATTAAAAGTAAATTATAATAGCTAACTGAAATGAATAATAATAAATAAATATTTTTGTACCTGTGGTGATCCAATTTGGAAATTGGTAAACAAATAAAATAATTGTACCATCGGCATTCTTTGGTAGCCGCACAAATTTTAAGTTTAATCAAAGGTTTTGATGTTTGTAACATTACATAGATTCAGGTCAAACTGTTAAAGGTGTTATAAAATTTATAATCTGATTTTCCAAGTAAACACATACTTCTTCAATTGTGTATGTTGCCAGTCTTACATTTTAGAAGTTATGAAATCAATAGCCATTTCTGCAACTTCTTCGGAGGATTTTAGAACAAATGAATGCTCAATGTCTACTTCTTTCATGGCTATTAGAGGCTGATATTGCATTAAATCATTCATGCAATGTGGTGGTACCCAATTATCTCTATTATTGTATATTATCCTCGTCAAGTGCTTAATTTTATCAATCATTGCAAAGTTCAATAAGTTTACCTTATCCATTTCATTGTAAGCTAAATGCAATATTTTCTCACCAACACGTGGATTACATAATTTTAATATTCTTGAACTAAAATGTTTGGGTAATGAATTTAACTTTAAGTAAGAGAAGGCCAAATATGTGCGAATGCTTTCAGGCAAGTAATAAACTATTATGAATAACAATAAAATGAAATAATGCAGAGGACGTAAAATGTTATTCAATAATTTGCCATTTTTTGATTCAGACATTTTTTGTAGTGTAGGAAACAGCAAATTCACAGATGACAATCTTTGTAATATGAGTTCATCCTTCTGCAACATTTCTAAAATCATCCAACATCCAATAGAATGTCCTATTAGATGAATTTTACTTTTCTTTTCAATGTGATTGTGGATAAGGTCCAACTTATGAAGCACTTGACCTTCCAAATTGAATAAATGTTCCTGACCCTGTAATTGGTTGGACTTTTGATCTGGCATTTTCTCATGTCCAGCTTGTCCTAAAATTAAAAAAAAATTTGTAATACCTATCAAATGGGATGTCTTAGGTTAAATTGGCTTTAAACAAAAGTTATCTTCCACAAAGTTAGTGTGGCCCAAAGAATAAAATGGTGTGTTCATATTCAACATGATTAGATAACACCACAGTGGAGCAGCATCAATACTATACATTTGAGACTTTGATCTCACATCTCAAGGTGGCATTCAGGTAGTAAAATCTACCAGTACCAGTAGAGCTCCAGTACCCACTCAACACAAGCTGGGTCGTGAGCTGGTTTAATCGTCAAAGCAATAAAAAAACCGAAGTTACCTATTACACATACTGGTAATCCAGTGTTTGTGTGTAGATAAGAAGCAAATTCAATATAAAAATCTGGTACTCCAGGATTTCCAGAAATACAGATAATGACATCCGTTCGATTATTTTGAAACGGGTCTCCGTAAGTTATTAAATGTGTTTGAACATTATTTAGATACACTAAAACACTCTTCATTGTATGTTAATTGTTAATTAATGGATTAAATGTTAATGTAACAAGTAAGTTATTCACATATGTTTATTAAATTTTATTTGGTAGGTAAATAAGAGCTTGTATCCAAAGAGTATGTAACACTACGTGTTGTATCTTGTCGACTTTTTTTTAAATAAACATCATAGATAATTAGATACACTTAATAAACATGTGTCCGCTATAGCGAAACGTAACTGAAAAGTTGAAAAACGTTGTTAGTTAACGTTATTGGCATCGATAACAGGCAGTTATCAGGTATTGAGATTATTTCAGATAACCGAATGAACAATAACCAAAATAATTATGCCTTTGAGGGAGTCCGTATAGAGTCACTTCTTTATTTCGCCGTAAAGTCGTGTTTTATGTAATTAACACCACAGTTGAAACAATAGAAATTCTATTGTTGTAGCGGCATAAACAATACTAAGTTATTATATTAAATTAGATATTAAACACATTAAAAATTATTTTTACGTTTTAAATTTTCGGCGCTAAACAGGTTTTTTTTTAAAGAGATTTTATGACCTGGTAACTAAGATCTTTAAGTCATGTCTTATTTTAATTTATATTCATATTTTTATGAAAAATTATATTATAGAGTGAAATGAAATGAAGATGATTTATTTGAGACACTAATCAACTGGGATGAAATTAAATGAAATGAATTGAGATGATATGGGATGAAATATAATCTCAGTAAACTGGTGGTCATTTACTAAGATTTTTTCAGTGGACTTTTTGGAGGATCCCGAGAAGCTACGTCCAGCGGCTTTATTTCATTTTCCCACATTTGCGCACTTTCACAGATATTAAACAGTTAATAAACCACCATTATTACACATTTAAATCCGAAGAAACACTAAATAGACAAAATAAAACAAATCACACAACTTCACATCTCGCGTTCCCGCCAAAAAGTCCCGCTAAAAAGGTCCCGTGTCACAGACCATAGATTATACACTTAATATATTCACAGACTATATTCTTTTTTCCACCTCTCGTGCGTTCCGGCTTAAGCGCTTTATTCACGATCCATCACGGCTGTACGTCAGCTCAAGGCCGCGGTGCTGGATGTAAAGCGCCTTATTCACGATCCATCTTGCTGTACGTCCCGCCAAGGCCATACACGATGCACGATGCAAAAGGATCATGAATAGGCTTGACGTACGTCGATAATTATTATTATTATTATCAATATTGTCGTCCATAATTATTATAAAATATTTTTTTTGTGTATCTCAGGAATATGGACAAGATAGGACTAACATAACAAATTACATTATTATTTTAGCAACGTTTCGGTCTTTTATTAGACCTTCATCAGGCATCTGAAAATTACACATAATTGATAACCTACAATACAAAAAACAACAATTGTCGAAACTACCATATTTACCATAATATGAATTTAAATAATCCCTATCTTACACTGCACAGTTGTCTCAGACATCAGAAACTGATACAAATCTACAAAGCCGCTAAATTAATTAATTACTATTTTTGATTCCGGAAACAAAGCCAACACGACACATAAAAATTGCTAATTGCGTGACAAATGTTAGCCCACTATCGAATTATTTTTTTTTAATTTATTGAAAGCATTGGCAACACGGCCATCAGCTTAAACTAATTTTACAAAAAAATAGAACATGAACTAGAACTTACAATAAAAACACAAATAGAAGAAACAAACCAAACCAAGAAACAATTACAAATCATTCAAAACCACAAATTAACGACAAAATGAATTGCAAGAACTTACTATAAAAAAATACAAGTTTTCTTTCAACAAACAACAAAAAAGAACATGAGTCGTTATAAAAAAATAATTAAACCCCCCCCACTATCGAAACTTCAGTACATAGACTATACTTTACAATATTTTATACTAGCGCCAACCACGCTAAGTATCAAATTCAAATATATATGAAATAAAGGTTATTTTTTTCTATTAGATTTATACTCGTTTAATATATCATTATATAAAATACTTAAATTGTTAGTGTCTGTTCGTTTGTTCACAGCATCATTAGTTTTTATAAAGATCATTTCGCTAACATTACGTTTCCACCAATTCATTTCTTTATCTAGGATTTCTATTTTGTCAAACTCAAAATTATGATGTTGGTCAAAGTGGTGGGTTGCTAATGCTGTTTTATTCTCTTTTAATATATTAATATTTTTGCAATCATAAATATGTTGTTTTACTCTATTACTCAAATACTGCCTAGTTTGTCCAATATAGCATAAGTCACATGAACAAGGTGTGGCGGGTAGCCATCATACAACGCAAGATAATTGACAGATGCCTGAATCTTGCTTACGACATTTTCAAGATAAAGCGCATATATACAAGTTCCGAACAACAACATTAGGACCGTCGGTCTACCGAGCAATATCACCCGCTCGGTGGAAGATCTTCCCTTTGTCGTATGTATTTCCAAACTGGTGACCTGCGACGAGATGTGAACACGCAACCTTCTGATTCATCATCAGCGCATCATGAACTTCAGCTACCACAATCCCCGCATTCTCGCAGATAAAAGCACGTCATTGACAGTCGTCCCACAGCAAGCCAGCATCGCAGCCTCAACAGGACCATCGCAGCCGACTCACCGCGCTTCCTGGTCCTACGGCACGCAACTTCACTGTCTCATCTCGACACTACAGTTCATCGCAGCCCACGACCGGATCATCAACGCTTGGGGTCACACATCTTCGGCGTGGCAGCTCTGCATCACATGGACTACGCACGACACGCACGCAACATTTAAGCTCAGTCTCGACTCACCGCAGACTTCGAGCAGCACTGGCGACAATCACGCAGCATTCAGCTCAGTTTCGACTCACTGCAAACTTCGAGCAGCACTGGCGACACGCACGCAGCATTCAAGCTCAGTCTCGACTCACCGCAGACTTCGAGCAGCACTGGCGACAATCACGCAGCATTCAAGCTCAGTTTCGACTCACCGCAAACTTCGAGCAGCACTGGCACTTGCAAGCTAATCTCAGCACGGACAACGATAACTAAAATGACACGACCTCCGGTCTCGGAGGGGAGTGATGTGGCGGGTAGCCATCATACAACGCAAGATAATTGACAGATGCCTGAATCTTGCTTACGACATTTTCAAGATAAAGCGCATATATACAAGTTCCGAACAACAACATTCGGACCGTCGGTCTACCGAGCAATATCACCCGCTCGGTGGAAGATCTTCCCTTTGTCGTATATATCTACAACTGGTGACCTACGACGGAACAATCGCAGCCTTCTGATTCATCATCAGCGCATCAAGAACTTCGGCTACCACAATCCCCGCATTCTCGCAGATAAAAGCAAGTCATCGACAGTCGTCCCACAGCAAGCCAGCATCGCAGCCTCAACAGGACCATCGCAGCCGACTCACCGCGCTTCCTGGCCCTACGGCACGCACCTACACTGCCTCATCGCGCAGCATTCAAGCTCAGTCTCGACTCACCGCAGACTTCGAGCAGCACTGGCGACAATCACGCAGCATTCAAGCTCAGTTTCGACTCACCGCAAACTTCGAGCAGCACTGGCACTTGCAAGCTAATCTCAGCACGGACAACGATAACTAAAATGACACGACCTCCGGTCTCGGAGGGGAGTGATGTGGCGGGTAGCCATCATACAACGCAAGATAATTGACAGATGCCTGAATCTTGCTTACGACATTTTTAAGATAAAGCGCATATATACAAGTTCCGAACAACAACATTCGGACCGTCGGTCTACCGAGCAATATCACCCGCTCGGTGGAAGATCTTCCCTTTCGTCGCTTATCCCCAAAAAGGTATTTTATACACTATTCCAGTTTGTTGTTGTTTATTTACTGGATCTTTTAACTTAGAATAGATGGAATTAACTCTTAAGATGTTATAAAATGCTAATCTTACATGAGTTCCTATAAAAACTCTATTTAATTTATGTGATAATTCTGCCATATAAGGAAACCGACAATATCTAATGTTATTATTATTTGAGTTGACCAAACTCCTTGTTTTATTATTTAAGTTCTCTTTAAATTTATTTATAACACTATCTACTAATGGCATTTCATAATTATTATTCAACAATATGTTACGAATCTTATTAAAATTAACTTCATAAAAATCCTTACTACTTAACTTTGTCATTCTGTCGAGTAAACCTTTTATCATACCTATCTTTTGAGACCGAGGATGATTTGAATTCCAATTTAATAGCCGACCTGAACTAATGGGTTTAACAAACCAATCAGTTATCAATTTATCATTTGATCTTTTGACTAACACATCTAGAAAAGATAAACTATCATCTTTTCCTACTTCCATGGTAAATTGTATATTATTGTCAAAGCTATTAAATAACTCTAAGATATTATTTACTTCTGACTCCGGTATGGCTGCGATGGTATCATCCACGTACAACTTTAAGAAGTGAATTTCAAACGGTAGAATCTTCAATATCTGATCGATGACATAGTTCATAACGATGTTAGCTATAACTGGACTTGCAGGGTTTCCCATACTGCTGCCCTCCATCTGTGCATAGAACTCTCCTTGATATACAAAGTAACTTGAATCATAACAAAACGTAATGAGGTCAACTAACACACTCTTAGGAATTTTTACTAGATGCTTCATGTTATCCCAAGTTTCCTCAATTACTTTAAGAATCAAGTCACGACGTACATTCGTGAACAATGACACTACATCCAATGAAATCAGTACATAATTCTTCGGTAAGCTAACCTTTTCACTAAATGTCACGAAGTCAAATGAATTCTTTACATTATATTGAAACTTCTCAATCACTGGAGTCAGTATTTCATGTAGGAACCGTGCCAGGTTGTAACTCGGGGAATTAACACAACTGACCACTGGACGCAAACAACAAGTCTCCTTGTGTGTTTTGCTCAAACCATAAATCCTAGGTGCAACAGTATACTTTGCTTTCAGATGTTTACCTTGTTGTTCCTCAACAATTTTTGCTACTACTAACTTGTTCACTAAACTGTTTGCAACTTTTTGCCATTTATTTGTAGGATCCTTTTTCAATAATTTATATGTCACCTTGTCATTCAACATCTTTCTCATTTCAGTTTCATACTCAGTTTTTAACATTATCACTGTTGTGTTCCCTTTATCCGCTCTTGCAACTATTAAGTCAGGTCTCTCTTTTAGAAATTTTCGAGTAATATATAAATTTTTGATTAATACTTTATGATTTAGTCTATCATTCTTATTGTAATAGTTAGAAATTACATTAATCGCTTTAGATCTCAAATTATTCTTAACAATATCTTTTTCTTCATTGTTACAATCATTCAACTGTACAGCTTCAATTCCAAATTCTAAATCCTTAATCACAGTTGGTATCACCTTCCACTTTTCTTTTATTTCTATACCAAACTTAGGTTCTAAGTTCAATATCATTTCTACTTCAGTTGGTAGCTGTACATCTGTATAAATGTAATGTAAAATGGGAGTCCTTCTGATGTTGTCAGCTGCAGCAGCAGAAGAGAGGCAAAAAATTGCATGAGGTTTTGGATGATTTTTATAAACGTGCAGAGTATACTTAAATAATTAATATCATTTTTTACGCACGCTATCAATCCTTGCAGCTTCCCCTAAAATGGGCCTAAAAAATTTTAATACGTTTATTATTTTTTGTTTATTCATATAGTCTGCGCTTGAGACATTCCACAAACATGTGGAACTTAAATCTTTCAATAAATCTTGAAAGTGTTTCACGATCTATTTTGACGTGCAGTCTCCTCTCGAAGCAAGCTCTAAATATTAAATCTGCTGTACAGCAAGTCTATATACGATCAAGCACGCACGACGCAGGACCGCTCTGACGTACGTCAGCGTTATTCACTCAGTGTGGTCAGAGCGCGGAGGGCCCAATCTCGGCGGTCCGTGCTGGAGGCATGGTCCAGGCGGCTGGCCGATCCTTCGGCTGGTCGTAGGACCGTCGAGGCGATTCGCCCGATTCTTGTGGATTGGGTGAATCGTGACAGAGGACGCCTCACTTTCCGGCTCACGCAGGTGCTCACTGGGCATGGTTGCTTCGGTGAGTTCCTGCACCGGATCGGAGCCGAGCCGACGGCAGAGTGTTACCATTGTGGTTGCGACTTGGACACGGCGGAGCACACGCTCGTTGCCTGCCCCGCATGGGAGGGGTGGCGCCGTGTCCTTGTCGCAAAAATAGGAAACGACTTGTCGTTGCCGAGTGTTGTGGCATCGATGCTCGGCAACGACGAGTCGTGGAAGGCGATGCTCGACTTCTGCGAGTGCACCATCTCGCAGAAGGAGGCGGCGGGGCGCGTGAGAGACGCACAAGCCCGCCGCCGTCGAGCGGGGGCCAGGGAGGCGGATCTCGCCCTAGCCCTGGCCCTCTAAGTGTTTCGGGTCCCCCTCATATGTCGGTCTGGGGCCCGGCGAAGGGGGCCTAAGAAGACGACGTGCAAGCTGCTCTGCACGCGTTTTACGCAAGAGCATCCGGGTGATGGAAGGCCGGCTATCCTCGACCCACGCTGGTTCTGACCCAGCGGGGTATTTCGTAGGATAACCTATTCAAACCGGCGCCATCTAGGCGGGCTTCGGACAGCCTGCCGACCGAGAGGGCTGGTGGTCGTGGCGCCGACGATCGCTGGCCCGGCGTCCCGAGGGGGAGGGTGATGGGAGAGATGTGCTCCGCACTAAACGCTTCACTCTCCTCCCCTTGCCTTTTCATGAGTTCTGTCTCATGCGAGGGTTGGACGTTGGTTGTTGAGCGACAGGAGGTTTTAGTCGGTTCGACTCCGACATGCCCCACCCTCCATCCCCAGTGGAGGGTGGGAGTCCGGCGATTTCCTCCTGACAAAAGCGTTATTCACTGTCTATCTGCACGACGCGGTGGTGGGGGCACTCGCTGGATGCAAAATCGGTCGTGCAAATCCAGCAAACAATCTATACTTAATATTATAAAGAGGAAAGATTTGTTTGTTTGTTTATTTCGAATAGGCTCCGAAACTACTGGACCGATTTGAAAAATTATTTTTCCATTAGAAGCCGACATTGTCCCTGATGAACATAGGCTACTTTTTTTTAATTTTATTTTATTTTATTTTTTTGGTTTCGTGTGTGTTTTAATGTTTCCGAAGCGAAGCGAGGGCGGGTCGCTAGTTAATAATAATTATCGACGTACGTCAAGCCTATTCATGGTACTCTTGCATCGTGCATCGTGCATGGCCTTGGCGGGACTTACAGCAAGATGGAACGTGAATAAAGCGCTTTACGCATCATAAAAAGGTGCGTTCTTAAACGACACACCTCCTCTATCTTTTTAAGTGATTGTTGAACGTACTTAACAGAGAGGGAGCGAATATCTTCGTTTTAGGAATATTGATACAAACCAAAGGCGACCTTACGTCTATTAAGCTAAGGCTACTTCTGATGTTGACAAACAAAAATATTAGACACAGAGCTTGTTTTGTTCGAGCGGTATAAAGCTTTTTTGCTTAAATTAGAATTTGTATGATATTGAAGATTGACTTTAACTGTAGGTATGTGAGAGTGTTGATACGTATACGTAGAAAGCGATTATAAACTTTATTTTTCGTAATAATGAAATAACACTTTTTGTACATTTTATCCGCAACACGCTTCGTCAGATTAAAGAAACAGTTGGCAACAACATGCTTCGTCAAAAAGTACAATACTTACTTTCAGCTACAAGCGTCATCATAATTAACCTATAGGTCCACGCCAACAGCAATGTGCACATAGCCATCGGCTAGCCAAACAAGCCACTCTGCATCACATCTGCCCCGAAAGTACCCATTACGCTAGCTTTTTTTTTCCTACTTAATCTGAGGGCTTTGAGAGGCCATATCAGCGTAGCCTTAACTAGTAAGTGAGCTCACGGGGCTCAAACCTGATGACGTTGATAGCACGAACCCTAGCAAGAGCTGTGCTTTGCAGAATCTACAACCGGATCGGAAACGCGACCCACTGAGAAGATCCGGCGAGAAACTCAGTGGGCTGTGTCTGTGGGTTAATTTACTCGTTGAGCCCTTCGACGCAAGCGACGGGTACGATGACCGGTGCTTGAGGTACGTACCTAAAATCACCGTTAGTGGATCGGGAGGATACGAAATGACGTGTTTTGGGCGACGTCGACTGCTCTCCATTCTTACACTACACTTGCAACCACTCACCATCAGGTGGGCCGTACGCTCGTCTGCCTACAAGGCCAATAAACAAAAAACCACGTAACACCAGGTGGGCTGTGAGCTCGTCCACACATCTAGGCCATAAAAAAAAACGATACGGCAAATTTTTTATCTCAAATACTTCAGATGTAATCTGTGAATTTGAGGGGACTTTATAGCGGGAACGCGAGGTGTGAAGTTGTGTGATTTGTTTTATTTTGTCTATTTAGTGTTTCTTCAGGTTTAAATGTGCAATAACGGTGGTTTATTAACTGTTTAGTATCTGTGAAAGTGCACAAATGTGGGAAAATGAAACAAAGCCGCTGAACGTAACTTCTCGGGATCCTCCAAACAGTCCACTGAAAAAATCTCAGAAAATGACTACTTTTACTGAGATTATATAATATTTTATCCCATATCAACTCATTTCATTTAATTTCATCCCAGTTGATTAATGTTTTAAATTAATCATCTTCATTTCATTTCATTTCACCCCATATTATCATTTTTCATAAAAATAAGAATATAAATTAAAATAAAATATGACTTAAAGGTGTCAGTTACCAGGTCATAAAATCCTTTTAAAAAAAAGTGATATGATTCAGTTGTCAGTTGACTGAACTTTATATTTACTATGTTGATTGATTGAGAACATAGAAAATGAGTAAATGGGATTGCCAATGAGACTAGAGACACTGATTAAAAAACTTGACTTTGGCGAAATCAAAAAGGACCGCCATTACAAAAGAAAATGAATGAAATAGAGACACTGAGCAAGTAATCACTACGTTATAACTAGAGAGAGACAGTGTACCCTATCGGACTATCTGATTCTGTTATTCTGTTAGTAGGAAATAAAATCAGTAGGTACCGTACGTAAGTTATTCCTTTAATTTACTAAAGATTTTTATTACGTGTGGTGTAATTCATTATTGTTGTTATGGAGTTTGAAATTGAAATTGAATCAAAAAGTGTAACTCAGTCTAATGCAAAAGATCCCAGTTTTGGTGTAAAAATGGAATTAGAAAAGGAGTTAACAAAAAAATTTTTATGTGGTGAAATGTCGTTTGCTGATTATTCTAATGAATGGTATTATAACGATGACGAAGACGGTGAAAATGTTGAGATCGATAAAGAATACGAATATGAAGAAGGACATCAGTCTACCACATCCAAAGATAAACATCAACAAAGAAGACGGCGTTTCACTCATCTGCCTCCTGCACTCCTGGGTCTTATGGGCGAAGCTAACTTGCGCTTTGCTAGAGGAGATAAAGAAACTGCCGAGCAAATGTGTCACGAGATCATAAAACAAGTTCCAACAGCCTCAGAGCCATATCAGACTCTAGCTCAAATTTATGAATCTGATGCAGATAAAACACTACAATTCTCTTTATTAGCAGCTCATCTGAGTCGTTCAGATGCAAACGAGTGGCTTAGGCTTGCCACTATTTGCAGTCAGAGACAAGAAATTAGACAAGAAATGAGCTGTTACAACCAAGCGATTAAAGCAGATCCACAGAATTTAAGCATACATTTAAAAAGATTAGAACTTTTAACTGAAATTGAGGAACAAGGAAATATTCCAATTCATACTTTAAGTATTACCCGAGTGAAATGCTACCATAAAATAGTATCTTGTATGAAAGCAACTGATGGTGATACTATCATGAAATATGCTAGACTAGCTGCCAAAATATACCACAGTAATAATGAAATAGAGCGAATGCTACAGGTTTTTGGTATTGCATATAAAAAATGTTCATCACTTTTCACTTTAGAAGATGTTAATATATTTCTAGAAGCTCTAATTAGTCTTAAACAGTTTGAAACATGCTTAGAGATATTTGTGGCCGTTCTTGGTGTGGTGATAGAAGCTGAAATTAATACAATAAAGAATTCCAACGGAGTTGTTGAAGAACAAACTACCTACACTAAATGTCAAATACCAAATGATTTACCAATCGATTTAAAAACTAAATTACTTGTGTGTTTTATTCATTTAGGTGCTACTAATTTAGTAAAAATGTTACTAGATGATTTTCTTTCACATGATGTCGAAAAAGCTGGAGATCTGTACATGGACATTGAAGAAGCACTCTCTTCTGTTGGACATCATGAATTAGCTATGCAAGTTTTAGAACCATTGGTGAAGAACACTAGTTTTGATCTTGGAGCAGTGTGGCTTAAACATGCAGACTGTTTATACAATTTGGGCAGAGAAGATGATTCTATTCATTCTTATTATAAAGTATTAAAGCATGCACCGCAGCATCCCGATGCCCGCTGTAAATTGTATTCATTATTGGAAAAAAAAGGATGCATAGACGAAGCATTGGATATTTTGCAGCAAGATTATAAATATGTAGTTAGTGCTGCATTATTTTATGAACATTGTTGTGCCCTTAAAAGGCATGGTAGACTTTTAAAATACTTGGAGGTAGGAGAAGCTTTGCTATCGAAAAAGTTTGTGAGATTTAGGCATCCAGGGGAATTATCTATAGCTTGTAAGCTAAGAGGTGGAATTGATCTTGTCCATGAATTTCGGACACTAAGAGGGGAAAATCCTTATCATGAGATGGATTTGCATTTTGATGAGGATGAATCTTTTAAATTAACTCCACAACAAGAATGGGATTTATTTGTTGAATTGTTGAAAATAGCATTACAATTTAAAAAGTATACAACTATGATGAGACTGAGTTTTGGAGCGATGATGTCAAAGAGCTTAACACCATATCGCTTGGATATGGAGTTTTACTGTTTACAAGCTTGCATACTGAATAATGAACAACAGTATGCAATTAAATTTGCTAGAGAATTTACACAAAAATATCCTGGTTCCCGTTCCTGGAATATGTTAAACTATGCTATAAATTCTGCAGAAGAAAGTATACCTACAAAATTTTTGTGGAGACTTTTTAACAAAGATTATAACATTGTGAAGAATTTATTTTTGGGCAATAACTTTTTGGCATCTGGTCGGTATCTGGTAGCTTTAAAATATTTTCTGGAATACCATGATCAGTGCAGAGAACCACTTTCTGCCTTGCTGATAGCTGTCTGTATATTAGCAATGGCAGTACAAAAGACTGTTGATAAGCATCATAATTTAGTGCTTCAAGGGATTTCATATTTGTTAAAATATAAAAGTCTTAGAAAATGTGACCAAGAAGTGTATTATAACTTGGGAAGAGCATATCAAATGCTAAGTATAAATCATTTAGCTATAGAATACTATGAGAGGGCACTTGCTTGTAAGGATGTTACCCAATGTGATCAACATGGTGTAATAGATTTAACAAAAGAAACTGCATTTAATTTGTATTTGTTATATAGAGATCATTCTCCAGATATAGCCAGAAAGTACATTTTAAAGTACATTGTAATTTAAATAAATCTGTTTTTATTTTATGGTGTATTTGCTTATGTTTAAATTTATTTTCCTTACTATTAATATTAACTAATGTCCGACTTACGACCAGAATCCTTGACCCTTAATAGAGAAATTCACCTAAATATCCATATTTGTAGAACACTCTCAATAGCTCTAATATACAAAATAATAAAAGAAAATATGATTTAACAAAGTAAAAAACTTTTAGCTGTCTTTGAAAAGAAAATTACTATTTTAATTTTATCGTTGAAAGCACTAAAGCTCTTCAATAGCTACTAAATAGAAAAGTTGATATACATAGGAGAAAATTCTCCCTACACAGTTTCGTCTTTGGCAATTTAGATATAAATTCAAAAAACCCTAAAACAACAACATACTTATTTACTCCCATAAGGACAAGGCAAGGTGACAAAATAATTTCACCAAATATGGCTTACTTAAATTACTGTCCTTAAGAAAAATGTCATAAACAAGTTTGGAGTAGCCAGGTATTTTTTTCTTAGGTACATATTGGATAAATGAACGCATGGTCTACATAGACCAGAGATCAATGACAAGCTACATGCCGCCGGTTGAAGTCTCGATTGAAAGCACTGTTTAACTGATACATATATGTTTCAGGTGGATAATCGGTATTAAACGTAATAAGCATAAATAATTACACCAAATATGGCATCAGTTTCTATTACTTCAGTTGATTCTGTAAAATTTCTCGATTTATGTAAAATTCTTAAGCGAATGAGCGATACGAAGAAAAAAGCGGATCGCTGTAATGTGCTACTTCATTATTTGCACGATTTGAAATCGAAACTCCCAAAGACAACGGACGGAAAGGTAGTACCTATGTCAACATTGTTATTATAATTTGAAAATTAATTTAAGTCGCCCTCAATATACGTAGCAATTACCATATTATGCCCTACAAGTATAGTTTTGAAATCGACGTGGCCTAAAAAAGATACTCGATGTATTCGTATCAAGCGATGGAACAATAACGGTGCACTAACGGAGATCTACTTCATCGGTCAATGGATAAAAAAAGCTTTTTTACCCTACAAACCTGGACCCATGACAGCTTCGCGGCAGAAATAGGCAGGGTCGCGATACGTCCCCGGTCAGGAACTAAGTAGAGCAATCGTTTAAATCTTAAAGTTGTGTAATAAACCTTGTACAGATTAAGTTAAAGTAAAGTCATAGTTTTACGAACTTTCCAATAATATTTTTCTTAACGTGAACTATTTTCAGAACACTACATTGTTCGCACTTCTGAGGTTACTTTTGCCAAAACTGGAAAGGGAGAGACCAGCGTACAATTTAAAAGAAAAATCCCTTGGTTCATTGCTGGTGCGAGTTTTGGCACTAAGTAAAAAGTCGCCGGATGCAAAGCAGTTACTACATTTTAGATCTGTTAGCAATAGCCAGGAGAGCGACTTTGCGGGCGTCGTATATTTCATATTGAAATACAAAGTTGGCACAGACGCTGAAGAACTTACTATCGGTCAAATTAATGAAGCCCTTGATAAAATAGCTACACATGCAGAAAATAGAAGTGGTGAGATTTTTTTTTAAATTAGTCCAATTTTTTAATTCCCCACAGCAAATTTTCTATTCGAACGAGACTGAATCAGACGCTATGCGGATTACAGACAGTATGGGGATATATCTTCCATTTCTGATAAAATGTTGAAAGTGTAAATTAAAGCATAACCCTATTACTACTGGTAGGACCTCATGTGAGTTTACTGGTGGTAGGACCTCATGTGAGTCCGCGCGAGTACGTACCACCGCATTGCCTATTTCTGCCGTGAAGCAGTAATGCGTTTCGGTTTGAAGGGTGGGGCAGCCGTTGTAACTAAACTGAGATCTTAGAACTTTTATCTCAATGTGGGTGGCGCATTGACGTTGTAGATATCTATGGGCTCCAGTAACCACTTAACACCAGGTGGGCTGTGAGATCGTCCACCCATCTAAGAAATAAAAAAATAAAAAAATGTGGTGGAAGTCCAAAGTCAATTGAGCTTAGCCTTATTTTTATAGCATATACCTACTGTGTATATTAGCGAATTCACGCTCAGCTTGAGTTAACTGCTTACGAAAGCTCGTAGACATCACAATGCCAATGCCGCCATCCACTTTAAGAGGTCTACGTCTCAATTATTTAATGTATCGACTGTCCCACCCTTTATACCCTCGCTGCAGAAATAGGCAGGGTGATGACGCCTAACTGTGCAGACTTACAGTACGTACGCAACTAATATTAAATAAATAAATATTTACTAACAATCACGCCACGTTAACTGGTCCAGTGCTAAGTTCGTAAGAGCTTGTGTTACAAGTACCAGATAACGGAAATAAATGTAAGATTTTTATTATACACATATATTTCATATGGGCAAAGTAGAAGGAAAGAGACCCCGCGGCCGATTACCTAGCCGTTGGTGTGATCAACAATACAACAGTACAATAACCGCTCTAACTGGGCTGCCAGTCGCAACCGCCATTCGAGAAGCTGAGGACCAGACGATATGGAAACAGCTCACGAGACAGACCACGGTCAAGTTTCAGGGACACGACCTTCAGTAATGAAGAAAGCGACGAAGAAGAAGATATTTCATATACATCCTTAACCCTAGAAAATACATTTTATATTTATCTTACAAATATCCTTCCCATGGCGGGATTCGAACCCGCAACCCTCTCGTGTAGTGACCATGTCACTTACCACTACACCAGACGGCCGTTAAACTATTAAAATAAGAAAAATAAGTTGCAAGTACCGACAGATACAATTATTTTTCTTATTACAGATATATTAGATCAGACATTTAGTTATATTCTTAGAAAATTGACCGCTGAACAACTGAAATGGTTTCTCAGGATAATACTCAAAGATATGCGGCTAGGTGTAAGCGACAATCACATTTTAAGTTGTTTCCATCCTGATGCCCCCGAAATCTACAAAATGACGAACAGTCTTAGTAAGGTACGCTTTAATATTGTTTTTAAAGAGCTCACGTATTTTATTGTTACTATTGGGCAGACGAACTCGCGACTCAGTGGCGCTCAGTGGGATATGAGCGTTAATGCTGCGACTTCTCAGAGGAGAGTTAACGCGGAGACATCGAGTCTTAGTTACAATTGTATCGTATTAACTACTGTTCTTCTTCTTTTTCTCCACCTTATCCCACTATGTGGGGTCGGCACAGCTAATTTTTCTCTTCCATTCTCTTCTATCAGCCGTCATCTCAACACTCACTCCTCTCTCTCTCATATCGTCATTCACACACTCCATCCATGTCTTCTTCGGTCGACCTCTTCCCCCTCTACCTTGCACTACCATTTCCATACATCTCCTAGTCACATGCATCTTCTCTCTACGCATCACATGTCCATACCACGCTAACCGTCCGCTCCTTAATTTGTTGTTTACCGGGGCCACTTTCACACTTCCTCCGATATACTCATTCTTTATCTTATCCATTCTTGTTACTCCACACATCCATCGTATTAACTGCTGTTATACCAATTAAACAGAAACGCAGGGCGGCTTTCTTTTGCCAAATTGACCAAAAATATACACGATATTAATAAAATACTAAACAAATTAAATAGTTTACATATTAATGCTTCGACTGTGAGTAAGTACATTGCGCTCTCCTATTGTATAAATTTTGATAAAATTCTGTTGCAATTTTTTTTCTTATATTATAAGACAAGACAATACAATTATACATATTTATTTACACGATAATTGTCCGCTTAGAGCTATGCTGAAATGTTGTTCGTTTGATAAAAAATGCTAAAATGGTTTGACTGAAAAAATACTCAATTATTCCATAGCAAAGTTTTTTTTGTATCTCAAAATGGATCCAGAATTCATTTATCCAAACATAGTCTTAGTTAAAAACACCCTGTATATTTTGGCGCCGAACAAAACATCGCTCGTTGCATTTATGCAATTTGTTTAATCTGTAAAATCCTTGTGTTGTTGTTGATCAATCAAATGAATTATAACTGTTTAGGTATGTAAAGAGCTTGAAGAAGACGAAAGTCGCCCTACGGAGCTAGGGTTACAGCTAAATTACGCTGTAACTCCGATGTTATCCGAACGTCTAGACGTAACCGACGTGCCGCAATACTTGTCCCCCGATAAGACATATCATATAGAGAAAAAGTTTGACGGCGAAAGATTTCAGGTAAAAAAACGACGAGTGCATTTTAAATTGTATACAAATATATATATTTTATTGCTTATATGTGTGGACTAGCTCACAGCCCACCTGGTGTTAAGTGGTTACTGGAGCCCATAGACATCTACTTGAGATATAAGTTCTAAGGGTCTCAGTATAGTTACAACGGCTGCACCACCCTTCAAACCGAAACGCATTACTGCTTCAGGGCAGAAATAGGCAGGGTGGTGGTACCTATCCGCGCGGACTCACAAAGAGGTCCTACCACCAAGTTACCACTAAGTTTATTTTAGGACAATAAAGGTAAGTGACCGTTACAATTTTTATAAATACTCAAAAAACCATCACGTTTCAGATGCACATGAAAGACGGTGTATTCAAATATTTTTCGAAAAAAGGTCATTCAGAGAGTTTCACAAAGACATACGGGGAAACCTACAAAGAAGGGTTGCTGACACCGTTTTTAAAAGATAGTTTTGGTAGTGACGTGAAGAATTTCGTTATAGACGGTGAAATGATGGGCTGGCACAAAGAATTACAGAGTTTCGGTAGCAAGAGTAAGTTAATATTTAGATCCCTGTGTCTGCACGTGACTTTTTAAAACTGATTTTATTATCATGCTTTTAAATTTGACTGATGATGAGTCTTTTTTTATCTATGTCCCTCATTAGTTTTTGTAGAATTTTCACTGAAGCGATGATTTAGAAAAGTAATAACTAAGATTATAGTAAATTGATACAATTTTCGTACAGAACAGTAATTGTGCTATAAAATAAGAGCGTTTCTCTGTAATTTTTTTCATGAGATGATTTAATTCTGGTGGTAGAATTTATTAATACTAATTGATTATAAATACTTTGCTTCATATGTTCAGACATGTTTTCGATAATTTACCAGATCGAAATAAGGCTTTGCTATAATAATATCATCTGTCAAAATGATAACAAATATACATTCAGCCATCTTGTTCCAGGCATGCCTTATAATATCAAAAAAATAACGGAAAATTCGAAAGTCAGGCCGTGTTTCTGCGCTTTTGATATCCTGTATTATAATGATAAATCTTTGGTGGGACCTCCGGAACACGGGGGCCTACCTCTTGACGAGCGCCTACCGTTGCTTGATAATCTATTCAAAGATATCAGAGGTGTAATACAACATAGCGCCAGACGAGCTGTTCATAAGAGGTTAAAATCGTTTACATTATATTAAGTTTACATTATATTTACATAATATTAAGTCATTTTTCCCTACATCACTCCACCGGTGTGTGTTGGAAACGTCAACGTATCAACATGAACTGGTATGAATAAATAATGTCAAAATTTAACCAAACAGACAAACGACTGCAGCAAAATAAAATGAAAAAATCATCAATTAAATCGAAGTCAATTAAAAATGCACTACGAAGGCTAACAATAATTATAATCTGCTGGTCAACATTTGATACAATTTAAGTGGCAATACACATGAATTTCAAATAAAAAAGAATCATCAGAATCGGCTCAACAAAAGAAAGGTTCTATGGTAAAAAATATAACAAAAAATACGTCTGAACTGATAACCTCCTCCTCTTTGAAGTCGGCTAAGAATAATAAACTGCGTAAGCCACAATTATAACAGTCTGCAGAAAATATATCTTATTAGAATTTTCTTAGTAGATTGAACCTTTTCACGATCTACATGGTGTTAAATGGTTACTGGAGTTCACACGCATCACCGCGTGGTTGCCGCCACTTACCTTCATATCGACGTTTGAAAGGTAAACGTGACTAAGCGACAATGCGTGAACTTTACAATAGACTAATTTAAAGTTGAAATACCTGAAAAAAAAATATTTTAACGAATCTAGCTGTAGGATTGGAATGATTTTAATAGACCTAGATATATTTTCTTTGCGCATCGAATATGGTTATTGCCTATCATTTATGTACAAAGCAGTTATTGTCGCTTAGTCACGTTTGCCTTTCATGCGTCGATATACAAAAATATATAAATCAGAAATCAGTCCAGCTGTTTAGGAGTTCGGTAGCAAACACGCGTCAACAGCAATATATATTATTGCAAGATTACAAGCTAGTAGTATAAGCGGTATATAAGTAGCTTAAACGGTAGGCAGCGGCTTGGCTCTGCCTCTGGCATTGCTGAAGTCCATGAGCGACGATAACCACTCACCATCAGGTGGGCCGTATGCTCCTCTGCCTCAGAGGCGGATTACCCGTAAGGCAAACTAGGCACGTGCCTAGGGGCGTGTAGTAACAAGGGGCGCGCGAGCTCAGAATTTTTAAATAAATAAAGAAAATAATATATTGACGATTAAGAACTAAATGCTGATCTATAATCTAAATCTATAATAGATTATATTGATCGATATACTCGTATTATGCAATATTGCGGGTTTGTTTGTATTTCATTCGCGCATTAGCGTAAATACAAGGGTCCTGGTCTACTAAAGTCTAGGAATTGATGATACAACGTCATCGTAATTGCAAAAACAACTAGTTAAAATTTATAGTATTATGATGGCCATTTATGGCCGGTACAGGGGTGCCGATAAAGTGATTGCCTAGGGCGCTCTGGACCTTTAATCCGCCACTTCTCTGCCCACACTAGCAATTAAAAAAAATCAAGGTTGTCAAGTGTCTATAATAAAACATTCCCGCTATAAGTTCTGACGTACTGGACGCCCTGAACGAAGCCATGCAAAACGACGAGGAAGGCATCGTAGTGAAGGACACAAAATCATATTACATCTCGAGCCAACGCAAAGCCGGCTGGTACAAGATAAAACCAGAGGTTTGTGAGAAGAATTACAATACATTTACAATATTTACTGGCGGTAAGTCGTTATATGGGCCCGCACGTGGAGCACTAATACATTTACCAAAAAAACATTATTACTTAACGACGCAAATAGGCAAACGGTGATACCTACCCGTGCGGACTCACAAGACGTCCTACCACTACACTAGTTAGCAATAATTTTTCTTCCTTTCTCGAAAACCCTTAGGTACCTGCCTATTAGAGTGACATTATACATATTTAAATGAGTGAATACTTTGAAATTTTAAGCAGTGCATTTCAGAGCCTGACTCTTCGAAGCTGTTTTGTTTTATAGTGATAATCATCTTATTTTCGTAGTACACAGAGGGAGTTTTGGCAGATTTGGACTTAGTGATAATTGGTGCTGACGAAGCGGCGGATAAAACGCATGGACGCGCGAACAGTTTCGTGGTTGCTTGTGCGGAATTATCAAGTACCGGTGTGTTAAATTATAATAATTATAATAATACATTACTTTACATACATTATTATAATAATATAATAAAATTGGGTTCGGAGCTATTCTATAATAATGTCGGTATATTTGTAAGCTTGCCAATTATAGGCGACATTTTCAGTTGATATTTCAGGGCTTCCTGTTATATTTTATTAATTTCGTGATTCAACTATCATCTTTATTTTAATCTTAGAATATTTTTATATAAATTAAGAATAAATTCGCGATTTCTATATCCTATGACATGATCTTTAAACTTTGAAAATCCCTCGGTAAACAGCAGTTTGTTTATATCCGTGGCATTTCTTGATGTCCACGAGCAACGGTAAACATTGACAGGGGAAATAGTAGTACAATAAAGTAGAACTTAGCCATGCTCACTACACTACAGTCAGCCCTCTCGGTCGGAATATTAATGCATATATTCGGTGATATATTACCGAACACGTTTGTTAGGATAATTCGCGTGACGCGTTAACTTTATTTCCACAAATCGTTAGTGCACGTTCAATAACCGCGTCACCCGGGTGCATTCTTAACATTAAGATTTCATTGATTTACTTAATATTTTAACAATAAACATTTTTAACCAACATAACCTTTAAATACCAAACTCACAGTGCACCCTACATTTTGGTCATTCGAGAGACCTTTACGCGTCGGTGAATTCTGACTTGAATCTACTGGTATTTGGGACATATGACTTCGAGTTATGTGATAATCAAAAAACGTATTATGAAAGGTCGTCCACAACGTTGGCTATCGGTGAGCCACGTGTCGAACGGACTAACCCACGAGGAGCGAGCGGGGCTGTGTGCGGAGCTTGAGTTGCACTGGAAGAGGACCGCCGACCATCCCCCACCGGAGCATCTGGTCTTCAATGAATGCAAACCCGACTTTTGGATCGAACCCGATCATTCGGCTGTGTTACAGGTAACAAACATTGTAGATACATTGTGCTTAGTGCGAGTTTTTTAAAGTTCTCGATAGCGCAAAAGTTACCTCATATTTGTATGAAATGGGATAGCTTGCGTACATTTGCCGCTAGGGGCGCTGTTCCAACTGCATACAAAATTGGGTTAACTTTTACGCTATCGAGAACGTTAAGAAACTCGCACTAAGCACACTGATATAGAACATAGACTTGGGTTATTTTATTATTTATTATACTGATGGTTGAAACACATTCGTTGCCTGACTTAGGAAGAGTGAAGACGTCTCGAAAGTGCATTGTTTTGTGCTGCGCAATCTCTTTGCACGATACCAGACGATACGTCCACTATGTCAAGTAATAATGAAGATATTCTTCTTTTTTTCTTCCTAGCTATGCTGATAGCCTTGAGGGGCTATTTCAACTTCGTCCTAACGTGTGTAGGTGAGCTCACGGGACTCAAACCGGAGTGTTGCTAACACTGACCCTAGCAAGAGCAGTGCTTCGCAGAATCTACCGCCGGATCGGAAACGCGACCCACTGAGAAGATCCAGCGAGAAACTCAGTGGGCTGAAGATATCGACCCATTCTGCGACATATATATAAAAGGCGTTGTGGGTGTGTGTGTTCCCTACAGGTTCCGAAATAGCTAGAGCGATTTTGATGAAATTTTCAGGAAATCTTCATATTACAATAGGTGATCCTGTACAATTGGCAGCGATTGAATTAAAGTCCAATCAAAAATCGATCAGGAAAGTCGTTCGGTTTTGATTAGTAGTTACATTAAGATTTTAATGACGCCGCGCTGTCTGCGATCTGTGTCTGTGATGAAGGCGCATCATCGATGAGAAGCTATCTGTCTTTGAGGGAGCCATGATCCTTAGAAGAAGAGGTGGGGAGGAGCATATTATGCCCAATATTGAGAGAGTTAATCTCTCATTGAGGGAGTCACGATCCTTAGAACGATGCCTCCAATGAACACTACTCTAACTCAATAATTTGAAATTTTCGTTTTTCACGCAAATCGCTTCACTATGTTAAAAGTATTACAATTAATCATTATCAATGGGGTTCGAAGCAAGAGTAAATCAGCTAGCTACACAAAAAAAAACACAAATATATCTGCAATAATAAAGATTTTATCAACTTTTTTCGTTTAAATGCTCCTCCTGTAAATCTACGAATTTGGAGTTAGAATAGTGTTCATTGTAGGCATCGAGAAGAAGAGGTGGAGCATATTGTGCCCAATATTAACAGAGCATAACTTCAATAACAGATTCATGCCACGGAATTGGTTCGTACCTCGAAGTTCGGCACGCCGTACACGCTACAGTTCCCGCGCGTCGAACGCCTGCGTCACGACAAGCCGGTCAACGACGCCATGACTATTGACGAATTCAAAAAACTGATAAAGGTTAGTTGTATTAACTCGTATTTATATATTTCTTTCTGTAGCAGTGGTGTCGTTAACGTGTGAAGTATCCATCTTTTTTATTTATTTATTGCTTAGATGGGTGAACGAGCTCACAGCCCACCTGATGTTAAGTGGTTACTGGAGCCCATAAACATCTACAACATAAATGCACCATCCACCTTGAAATATAAGTTCTAAGGTCTCAGTATAGTTACAACGGCTGCCCCACCCTTCAAACCGAAACGCATTATTGCTTCACGGCAGAAATAGGCAGGGGGGTGATACCTACCCGCGGACTCATAAAAGGTCCTACCACCTTAAAAATCTATTGTCCACCTAAGAAATGAGGATTTTTAATATCAAAGCCACCGTTTCAACTAGAACGCAATACTGTTTCACTATATAAGCTGGACAGTGATACTCAACCGTGCGGTCTCACAAGATGCCCAATAATAAATTTATTGATTTCCATTTTTAGAACACAATTGTTATTCCTTCGTCATAGAAGTCGATCGCCAATAAGTTACATATTTACTTAAAATTTGATAGTAGGTACCAGCATACGGGAATCGTTCCTCCCTCCTGGCTGAGCCTTTGGTCGCCCACCTGTCCTGGTGAAACTGGAAAGGCCTCCAGGCCACCAGTAATCTTTCAATCATAAAAAAAGAGAATCGTTCCACGGATCACTTATTTATTTTTATTGCTTAGATGGGTGGAGGAACTCACAACCTACCTGGTGTTAAGTATCCACTCGATATGATGACATGATGAGATACATCGACATCTTATAACGTTTGTCTGTTCTTTAATGCGATATTTTTTTATTAAGTCGAATTTCACAGTAGGTACAATAAAATATATATTTATTTTGCGATGTATTTCTATCACTACCGTATTGTTGATTCTAAACCATATTTCTTGGTTTCAGAATCACAGTCCCGTAATAAAGTTGGCTGTTAACGCAATCAGTGAAGACCAGCTAAACAAAACGCCAGCTAAATCACCCAGAAAACGGCAGAAGAAAGTTCTTCAAGTTGCCGAACAATTCAGAACTGGAATACAAGATAAAGTGGAAGTGATATCGAACGCTCTCGCCGGTCGGAGAATATGCATTCTGTCAGACGAAGAAGACTGCAGCCGCACTGAGCTAATCAAAATCGTGGAGTCTCATGGAGGACAAGTGGTTGCTAACTACGGTATTTAATATACTTTTATCTTTTTTTATATTTTTTATTGCTTCGATGGGTGGACGAGCTCACAGCCCACCTGGTGTTAAGTTGTTACTGGAGCCCATAGACACCTGCGACGTAAATGCGCCACCCACCTTGAGATATAAGTTCTAAGGTCTCAAGTCGTATAGTTACAACGGCTGTCCCGCCCTTCAAACCGAAACGCATTGCTGCTTCACGGCAGAAATAGGCAGGGTGGTGGTACCTACCCGTGCGGACTCACAAGAGGTCCTAACACCAGTAATGACGCAAACTATAATTTTGCGGGTTTGATTTTTATTACAAGACGTTATTCCTTCACTGTGGAAGTCAATCGTGAAAATTTGTTGAGTACGTATTTCATTAGAAAAATTGGTACCCGCCTGGGATTCGGACACCAGTGCATCGCTCAACACGAATGCACCGGACGTCTCATCCTTTAGGCCACGACGACTTCCATACAATACTATATACAATGGAAATACGTATTCAACATGAGTGTTCATGTTGTGAATGATGGCGACGGGTTCTGGGTGGGTTGTGAAATTGTGTATCCTTCCTTGCAATACAAAGAATTGGCTTGCATTTTCGATATTGAGATCAGAGGCTTTTTTTTAAAAGCTTAGATGGGTGGACGAGCTCACAGTCCACCTGGTGTTAAGTGGTTACTGGAGCCAATGGACAACTACAACGTAAATGCGCCACCCACCTTGCGATATAAGTTCTAAGATCTCAGTATAGTTGAATGGTCTGCGACAGACGAGTCGTGCTGGTGCTGCGTGTCGGGGCGCTGCACGAGCGCGGTGCGTGCGTGCGTGCGGGCGCGGCGCGTGGACGTGCTGCGCGCGAGCTGGCTGCGCGCCCTGCGCCCCGCACCCGTGCCCCTCCCCCCGCCGCACCCGCTGCACGCGCTCGCGCTCTCCCCCGCCACGCGGCTGCACCACGCCGCGCGCTACGACATCCACGCCGACTCGTACACGGAACCCGCTGACAAAACCACCCTGATCATGTGCTTCGAGAAAATGGACAAAGTGAGTTTTACTGTCATTTCATGCACACATACATACCTATATAGTGTTTTTTTTATTGCGCTGACGGGTGAACGACCTGACGGCCCACCTATTCTTAAGTGGTTACCGAATCCCATAGACATCACAACGTAAACATCGCCACCCATCTGGAAACCTGAAGTTACCTGAAAAATATTTTTTTTTTGTTGCTTCGATTTTTATTACACGATGTTATTCCTTCACCGTGGGAGTTATTCGTGAAGAAGATTTAAACACGTATTTCATTAGAAAAATTTGTACCTGTTTGCGGTATATCTAAGATCGCCAGCGTAGTCTTTCCTTTGGGCCATGACGATTTCTAATTAGTATTAAATATGTAGTAAAAATAAATCATAAGAATAATAATAATAATAAGATTGCTCGTGAGGTTCATAACATCTGCCCGCAGCAATGATATTGAAAGACGACCACGACCGCTCTGACAAGAGTGATACGACAAAGAACAATAGAAGTTCATTATATGTATTTGCTTAGAACTCAACGGAAGTCCTAATTTCAATGTATCCTNTTTTTTTTTTGTTGCTTCGATTTTTATTACACGATGTTATTCCTTCACCGTGGGAGTTATTCGTGAAGAAGATTTAAACACGTATTTCATTAGAAAAATTTGTACCTGTTTGCGGTATATCTAAGATCGCCAGCGTAGTCTTTCCTTTGGGCCATGACGATTTCTAATTAGTATTAAATATGTAGTAAAAATAAATCATAAGAATAATAATAATAATAAGATTGCTCGTGAGGTTCATAACATCTGCCCGCAGCAATGATATTGAAAGACGACCACGACCGCTCTGACAAGAGTGATACGACAAAGAACAATAGAAGTTCATTATATGTATTTGCTTAGAACTCAACGGAAGTCCTAATTTCAATGTATCCTTGGTACTGTCGATATCTATGGCACTATTTGATAATGGTAACGTAGTAGTCTGTACATCTGTCTTAGTCAACAATAACAGTTTACATAACATATAGGATCCTATAAACATGCTATACATCCAAATCTGTTCATCTAGAAGGTGATGAGTCGATTCAAAAGTTTCGTGGTAAAACAAATAAAAAAAAAAGGGAATAGATAACCTCCTCTCTTTTTTTTTTATTGCCCTTGTAGGCAGACGAGCACACGGCCTACCTGATGGTGAGTGGTTACCGTCGCCCATGGACTTCAGCAATGCCAGGGGCAGAGCCAAGCCGCTGCCTACCGCTTAATACTCTCCACATGCCTCGTTTGAAGAAGGATATGTCATAGCGCTCGGGTAACACCGTGGAGGGGAGCTCATTCCATAGCCGGATAGTACGCGGCAAAAAAGATCTCTGGAAACGCACTGTGGACGACCGCAGTGGCTCCAAGTAGTATGGGTGAACTCTACTCCGGTGGCGGGCGGTGCGATGGTAAAAACGAGATCCCTTTTCGAAATCGGATAAAAATGACATCAATTTTCGTCTCAATTCATTCCAGATGCCTCAAATCCATTTAATGCCCGACGAAATGCTAGAATTGGATAGAACATTATTCGGAGGACATACCCCACTCTCGTTCCTGCGGCCATGTGTTATTCATTTCGTTGCGTTGAACGACTTAAATGTACTCCTCGCTAAAATGTATGGAGCATCCGTATGTGATGCGAATGATACTAGTTTGACTCACATCATTGTTCCGGAGTGCATCGCTTCTGAAACATTAAATGAAATGAAGAAAAAACATGTCGATACCATATCGTTTGTAGGTATGAGGTGGCTCGAGGAATGTTTTTCGCAAGCTAAAATTATCAACGAAACAGACTATTTGTTTTGATGCGCTGTCTAAACGTGATTTGAAATTAATTTTAATAATACAATAATCCCATAATAATACATTTTTTGATCAAGAATTGAATATGTCTATAACATTGATCCCAGCACTAGGACCCACCGAAATCAGGGATAACCGTAGTCACGGATAAAACAGTTATTTTTATATATTTAAAAAATTGCAATACAATCCAAAGTGACATCAAAAATCCAAAATATAATGTTTATATAATGTGATATCAAGTATATTTTAAAATAAATATAATGTATTTTCGATTTGCGCTTGAGCGGTAAATAGTTTGGTGAGTTTTAATATTCGTAATTGTATTAGTAAAACAGTTACTCATTTAAAACTAAAACACGAATCTATGACTTTATTTATCGTTTAATGTTTTTCTTCTACGCCCACAACATCTTTCTGCTCTTGTTTAGTTGCGTAATTTAATTTGTTTATGTTGTAATAAGACAGCGCTGATAAAACGAATGATCCATAATTACCTATTACTAAATTGTATTGTATAATATCGAGGGATCGAAAGACTATTTAATTTTGGTTTAAACGATATTTTGCAACTTTACAGGAGAGTCATTTAAAGTTTTAAATTTCAAAGTAAAAATATAACAAAAAAAATTCAAAAATCAATCACAAAAAAAATACAAAAAGTTTCTTCAGTTATTTAAATGCAGTATTTAANGATCCATAATTACCTATTACTAAATTGTATTGTATAATATCGAGGGATCGAAAGACTATTTAATTTTGGTTTAAACGATATTTTGCAACTTTACAGGAGAGTCATTTAAAGTTTTAAATTTCAAAGTAAAAATATAACAAAAAAAATTCAAAAATCAATCACAAAAAAAATACAAAAAGTTTCTTCAGTTATTTAAATGCAGTATTTAAATAACTGAATATACTTATTTGAAGTTCTATTAAAAACAGCGAACTGTTGATGTCAATACCGAATTAAACGCACCTATAATTACATGTTAAATGTATTAAGCGAGTATGTTGCTTAAACCAAATAGCATTTCACGCCTAGATATAAGTTGTAAAATTTATTATACAAATAAATAAAAAGTTCTCTTACATTTTATTGTTTATTTATACGCCACGTACGCTGTAAAGTGTTCGAAATATTGGCAATAACAGAATTAAAATAATAAACGGAATTAAAAAAAATTAAAAGTATTTTTAATCAGGTGTAAGGCTTGCGAAAATACTATAATAATTTATTCTATTCTATTAAAGTTTAGCTAAGTAGCAACTGGTTTAATAAATACGATATCAATCAACCACCGCACTTGGTAATATCCTATGTCGTATTTTAATCCAGATAAATTCTTTCCGTGGTTGAAAAATAAGTACGATGATTCCACAATGAATTAATGCACTCATACATTAAATGAATTAATTACACGCGTAGCGGAATCATTGAAATCCGATACGTGTGTTTGGTGTTCACTGCAGGAGCACTTCTGAGGGCGGCTTTGTGATATCCAATAACATCAATTAATAACAAATGTAAACAATTAAATGCTTTTCAATGATATCTAGCAGGGTTAATTAAACAGTATGTATATAATAATAATAACCGTCTTATATGATTTTAACATTTGAAATCTAAACAAGTTTATATAATCATCTACGTTACTGCAATGTTGTAAAATCATATTAAACGGTAGCAATGGAACTAAAAAAAACCCTAAAGCTTATAAAGTATTTTTTATAAAAAAAAATTAACTTCAAAATGACAAAGATGCTCCGTTAGCAAAGGTATTGCATAGAGAGGCAATCTAATTGTTCGATCGCATCGGTGACATTAAAACGAAATGCTTGCATTACATAAGAATGTGTTTTATTTTTCGCTTGTTCCTTCCTCAGTCATCATTCCGCTCGTCACTAAATATTATAAAAGAAGTTAAGCAATAAATAAAGTTGTCGTAGTCTAAAGGATAAGACGCCCGGTGCATATTCGTATCGAGCGTTGCGACCGTACCGACGCTCAGTCGTTGTCCTGTAAAACTGAGACTTAGAACGAATGTCTCAAGGTGGACTACATGAAAAAAACCTACTGATGAGCGTTCTTTCATTCGATTTTCAAGAATGTTTGAAGATTCTGTGTAAACTGACTGAAACGTGACGATGATTGTTCAAGGTGTCTGAATAATTCACGCTGATTGGAGTTTTCCTAACATGCGTCGCGTAGACCAATACAGTTTTACATAAAGTGCACAATCACAGAAATTGCTTTTAATCATAACTTTAAATTAAGTAAGTAGTTTTATCTGTAGTGTTAGTGGCATTCACATTTTTTCCTGACCTATTTGCTGGTAGCTTAAGAGGCTATTCCAGCTACGCGCGGACGGGTAGATGAGCTCACGGGTTCAACCTGAGAGAATTTGCTAACACTAGCCCTAGCTAGAGCAGTGCGTCGTAAAATCTACCACCCAATCTGAATCGCGACCCACTGAGAAGATCTGTCGAGAAATTCAGTTGGCTGTGCTTATGGGTTAGTTTGACGAGGACGAGGACCGGTGCTTGAGAGGCCTAAAAGCACCGAGAGTGAATCCGGTGCATCCGACAAGACATGTTTCGGGCGACGACGACCTTGCTTTGCCCCGTTGCGGCCGGATAAGTAATTAGCGGCGGCCACGATAAGATGGTTTTCGTGTCGCGCCGCTTTGTCGAAGTAACTTTCTGATGCTTCCTTAAGATACTATTATCTTACCTTAAGATACTAGTATCGAAGTTCACACTGTTGCCTGTGGGCTCCGGTAACTACTTAATGATAGACGAGTCATGAGCCCGTTGACCCATAAAGTGAAATAAAAAGATCCAAAGCTGACATTGGCAACTCAATTTTTTTTTTGAAATTATAGATAGGTGATTCTGCATACACAATCTATCATCTTAAAATAAGATTAGTATTGGTAATTACGAAGAGAAACAATACAAGTTAAATTAATTTGAAAAACATGAAACTGCTTCGTTAGGTAATAATTGTAACAAGATCGGGGTAGTGGACAGGGGTCGTCGCAACCGGATATCTTATTGGCAATCGCCAATCGGTGATTGGATTTGTATTAGTTTCTTCGATATCATTAGATATTCTTATGTCATTTATTTTAATTCAATCTAATAATCCTAGAGGCTTTTATGTAATTACAATTTGTTCACTGATGGATCACCGTTTTTTCGTACACTCCTACAACCTCACTGTCCAGTAGTATGTGTAAGTATATGTAGTGATTGCCGTCAATCACATGGACAAATTAAGTCGAATTCTCAATTACATTAGGTATAATAACGGCTACCCTTCGAAGAGGAACTTAGAAATAGACACGACGATAATCCTATCTTGAGCTGGTACTGATGTTAATGCTTTGACGTTTTGGGAGAGCTGAGTTATTATCTACACTGGTATTACTACAGATAAGTATAAACAATGGGTGATTAAGTTTTATAATATTATTAAGAACTACCCTTTATTTAAGAGTAGTAGATATCTAGTAGTACCTACCTAGTAGCTCGTGGTGGCATGACTAAATCATTAATAGTTTAATATTTGGAAAGTTTAGATTAATTTCTTAGGTATATTGTGGTGGACGAAAGAGCTATCGTTAACCACAATATGATATGTTGGACATTCTACGAGGAGGATACTGCTTGCAAGTAAATTTAATACGTCATTTCTTGTTTATATAACAAAAATTATAACGATATTTAAGGGTAAAAATCTAAACTGACTTAGCTTGTGTGCTATTCTAGCCTATAAAGTGCCTACTATAAATCATCAAAATCTATCTCATTCCAAAGTTAGTCGGAAATTTTTTATCGCCTGCTTAAACTGATTACTAAGAATAATATTAATTATTTTAAAACATTTAGATTTTACAATTCTTAAATGTTAGAGAGTCAATAGTTTTCTAGTTAATACTCATAAAAACATTTCTTCTTTGACTGGCGACATCAAAAGCATAATCCACAATAGATATGTATAAAAAAACAGTTAAATTTGATCTCTCTAATGTATCACTTTACCATCCATGAAAAATATAACTTTTTCAATAGAAACTGTTATACTCGTGAAGCCGCGGTTGCCGCCCGCCCACATCAGTGTCCACCAATGGACGCTCGGCTAGGGCGGAGCATTCCAGGCGTGAATTAAACTTTAAAACTTCTTGTTACACATTTATCCCATCAATCTCAGTAGGGATTTCAACGGGGGAACATGAGTGGAGCTGTCACGCTTGTAGTCCCCAATCATTGTGGCTGATTTATGTTTTGAATATCGAGAGACCTGACAATAGCGATGCAAAGTGAAATAAGTGAAAATAACAATAGCACTCGGAAGGCGCTGAGGACACCGAAATGCGCTCGTTGCCGGAATCACGGAGTAATCTCGTGTTTGAAAGGACACAAGCGGCTGTGTCGATGGCGGGATTGCCGTTGCCCTGGTTGTCTTCTGGTGCTAGAAAGACAGCGAGTCATGGCTGCTCAGGTTTGTATTTGAAAATATTGTATTACTCGTTTATGTTATGGAAAAATAGTAAGTAATTTTTTTACATTTTTCTAAATTTTAATACAGTAGTGGAGATATTCAGATATTCTTGGAATGTAGCGTTCTTGGTCATTTAGATAATGGTATTTGCGAAATAAACTAAATAATAAGCTAGAGTGTTTTCGAATGTTAATAAATACTTATATAATTTAATATTTTAATCCTGACAACTGTTTGGCAAAATAACCCAGCGTAATTTATGAGTGAAGCTAAGATACTTCTGAGATCCTTCTCGCATGAGGCGGGGAAGTTTGACCGACCAACGATCGACAAGTCTAGCTGTGAGGGCAGTTGATTGCTGTCAGGATAAACTCATAGCCTTCATCCTGCGGGTGTTACTACGCTTACTCGAGGCGACGATAGATTTTAGTGCACATGCTCAAATTCTATCTTAGGGCAAGACGACAGAGGAAGGTCAATCTCAAGTACTTTAAAGCCTGCTTAAATTACATAATTAAAAATCCTAAATAATTTAATTTTTGAGCGAGTCTTACAAGCGTCGCAAAGCGTTAGATTTTAATTCTCCCCAAGACAATCTAGAAACCGCGGATAACTTCCTCTCCCTCGGACGTAGAACACTGCAACGTCTTCCAACAAATACCATACAATGACATGTTATATACAAAAACTTTTCTTTATTTATTTCTGATGAAACAATAAATCGCAAAGTCCATTATTTCATTTCTTTTCTTGCTCCAAGTGTTCGCTTATGATCAGACAATTGCTTTTTCCTCACAACTGTTAATTTATAGTAAATATTATTACATCATAAATAAATCAAAAAATTTGTTTTTATATCCTTCGTAGAATATTAAAGCTTTTCAATTCATTCAGGTCGCGCTTAGGCGACAACAAGGGGCTGGTGGTCCAGAATCGCGCAATAGCGAGGCTGCGGCACTGGCAGCTCGCAAGCGTGCCTACCGTGCAAGGCTTCGTTGCATGCAGATGTCGAGGACATATACAGTACAACCCCCTAATTTCGGTAAGTACTATCCCTTTCATTGTTATTAGCCGAGTTGTGCAGTCGAATTTAAGGCCCACCTTATGTAAGATCGTCATCAACATTGGGACATCAGGTCGCTGTATTAACAACGGCCATTATATCCCTAAACCATAAAGGCATTATTTGTTTCATGACGGAAATAGATAGGACAATGCACTTATTATGCTAATCCGTGAACCCATAATACACTATTACTACAACCATGACAAGTAAACTGAAACTAGGTAAGAAAATAAGGTGAGAGGTAGATAGGTAAAAACAGCGGAAGGTTGTTTGGCCAGTAGTAGAAACAACTTTAACTCCAGGTGTCACCCGTACATCTGAACCTGTGATCATGATCCCTCGGCTTTTTTTTTCAATTTTCAATTATCAAGACATTGGTAGTTAATGATTCTAATAGGCAAACGTATTGCAGAACGCCCTTAGGTTCGGCGTTGTGACGATTTATGCAGGGCAAGAGCTGGATGAGAGAAGCCGAGGATCGTTCTCAGTGGCGTGTAATTGGAGAGGCTTAGATGTGGACTGCTATAGACTGATAATATGATATGATCTTAATTATTATTATTTTTCTCTACCTATTCGCTGATAGCCTAAGAGGCTATTCCGGCTACGCCCGGACGAGTAGGTGAGCTCATGGGCTCAACCTGAGAGAATTTGCTAACAATAGCCATAACAAAAGCAGTGCTTGCAGAATCTACCACCGAATCGGAATCGCGACCCACTGAGAAGATCCGGTGAGAAACTCAGGAGGCTGTGTCTATGGGTTAGCTCGCACGAGGCCTGAGATCGGTGCTTGATGGTCCTAAAACCACCGACAGTGAATCCGGGAAATCCGACGAGACATGTTTCGGACGACGCAGCCGCCGCGCCGTCGCGACAGGCGGCTTTACGTTACCCCGTCGCGGTCGAATTATAATTTGCGTAATTACTGGTGGTAGGACCTCTTGAGTCCGCACGGGTAGGTACCACCGCCCTGCCTATTTCTGCCGTAAAGCAGTAATGCGTTTCGGTTTAAAGGGTAGGGCAGCAGTTGTAACTATACTGAAACCTTAGAACTTATATTTCAAGGTTGGTGGCGGAATTACGATGTAGATGTCTATGGGCTCCGATAACCACTTAGCACCAGGTGGGGCGTGAGCTCATCCACAAAGCTAAGCAATAAAAAATAAAAAATCTGAATGAAATGCAACTTCGATAAAGACCGGAAAGCCGTTTTCAAATCACAATAGAATCAATTTTCGAGCCATACTTTCCAACGTTCTGTTTACTGTGGTCGAGTGCAAGGATATGGCATCGTCCACGCCACTCGGGCGCTTTGTTATTGTTGTAACCGAGCCGACACTGTCGAGTGTTTCGTTTCTCATCCGTGAAACGCTAAATGCGAATTAGCTGGATAAATATTTATTTAAGAACATCGAGAGTGAGTTAAATTTGTATATTTTGAAAATGAGAGTGGATTGTCAGTCTTCTTATTTCGAAAGGGATTTTTTTCAAATGCCTTCTATAATAATAAGTTATGGGTTACAGCGTGGTATAATTCAGCTACATAAGTAATACATAAATAGTCAGTAGGTATAGTTCAGTAATATTTAACAATGAAAATAAGGCTCTAAGGCAAATATATTTTTGATTATATTTAAATAGGTTTCATCGGTAATTGTGGTATTTAAAACGTCGGAAGTAATAAAAAGAAAAAATTCATTGTTGGATTATAAGTATTTTTAACATTTTGTCTGAGTTATCTCGAGAGAAGATGCTTTTTCCATAGAATAATAGTAATTTCTAAAAAAAAAAGTAGATATTAGTGAATTATAAAATAGAATAAAATGAACAAAATATATGACAAATATACAATCGGCCCACAAATGAAAATTGCTAATATTGCTAGCCTTAGCAAGAGCAGTGCTTCGCTGAATCTACCACCAGTTTGGAATGGCGACCCATTGAGGAGATACTGCAAGAAACTTTGAGGACTATTAGCCAGCTTGCACGTCGAACTCTTTCGACTCGATTCAACTCGACGAGTTCAACCAAAACAGTGACCGGTGTGTGGAAAGCCTAAAAGCACCGAGAGTGGATCCGGATGATTCGATAAGACATACCTACTTAGGACGACGGCGGCTTGCGTTGCCCCGTCGTCTGGGTCGGTTATGAAACGACCGCACACAATCTTCGATCAATAATAGTACTGATCGAAGCACACAATGCACGTTTGTTTGAATCCTGAAACTCGCACGCACACACACATAGAAAGAGACAGAGTGATGAGAGAGAGAGAGAAAGACAGACTATATCATAGAAAGAGACAGAGTGATGGAGAAATAAGTTGTTTAAAGGGAATATACCGCCTAACGCTAATTCCTTACGAGATTCACTAGTTAATTCTTACTAGCCACCTTCGTCACAAAATTGATTAATTTTCGGTTGTTCTCTAATTGCCATCATCATATAAATAAAATGTAGAAAGGCTTAAGTTTTAAATGCTAACATGAAACTATAACCCAATTTATACACTATTGCATTCATTAACGGGGAGCAGGGCGGATTTATTTTTAGTAAAAAATCGTTATAATCCGGAAACGGGAGCATCAATTCGTCAATNCCACCTTCGTCACAAAATTGATTAATTTTCGGTTGTTCTCTAATTGCCATCATCATATAAATAAAATGTAGAAAGGCTTAAGTTTTAAATGCTAACATGAAACTATAACCCAATTTATACACTATTGCATTCATTAACGGGGAGCAGGGCGGATTTATTTTTAGTAAAAAATCGTTATAATCCGGAAACGGGAGCATCAATTCGTCAATGTGGAATATAAAATGCAGTCACTAATCTGGAACCGATTCTTACCAAATAAAAAAGCCGAATGAAAATAATTTTATTCAATTAAATATTTGTACAGTAGGTACCATTGTAGCATTTTTTTATTATCATGCGACGTTTTTACGATGAAAATACACTTTCGTAAACTATATACTTGGAATGTCTCACAAGTAAAAAAAAATGGAGCACTACCGGCGCGACGCAATAAAATCTGAATGTCTGTTGAAAATGTCACCGCTTCATTACAGAACAAAAGCAGTCATCCAACACTCAGTAACATTTCACTGTCTATTAAAACATAAAAAAAGACTAAAATTTCTTTCAACTATTTTAACGGCCACTAAAAAAGTGTGAAGATTGTTTTACAACAGAACGTAGAGGCGGCTCTTTGTGCAAGTGTCGGGTTACAGCGATATTGTTGACTGTAAACATGTCTTTCCGTCCTGCTGAGTGATAGCACAGCGGGTGCCAAACGCCATTCATACTACTAATTTTTTGTTGGCAATGACACAACAATAATCCCTATTTAAAATAATGATATTTTACTAACATCACTTAAACAGACTATCGAACAACGGTTCGAAATTCGCTCAAGTGCAGTCATGCAAGAATCATAAGAATAAACACTAACGTCAAAAACTGTTTTTAGATATCAGATATACCTAATATTTAACATTATAAATCACTAGTAACCTAGAGTAGCCTATTGGGTATTATACTTGCCTAGTAATATTTTTTTACAATTTATTAGTAATTGTTAACAATTGGTGTTATATGGGATAAAATTACTTTTTTACGTTTATATTTTTAATCATATTACGTATTTTATTACCTTTTTTCACACACCGCAACTATTTTCGCATTCGAATCGGAGAACATGATTGTTTGACGGTAGAAATAGACAGAACAGTGGTTCAAGCCATAGCGGGCTTACATCACGCTGTCACAAGATTTTACTGGTGGTAGGACCTCTTGTGAGTCCGCGCGGGTGGGTACCACCGCCCCGCCTATTTCTGCCGTGAAGCAGTAATGCGTTTCGGTTTGAAGGGTGGGGCAGCTGTTGTAACTATACTTGAGACCTTAGAACTTATATCTCAAGGTGGGTGGCGCATTTATGTTGTGGATGTCTATGGGCTCCAGTAACCACTTAACACCAGGTGGGCTGTGAGCTCGTCCACCCATCTAAGCAATAAAAAAAAGTCATGGCACATTTTCATCAATAAAATATATTCTTGCCTGCTTCTCAATCAGACCTTGACGTGGTATTAAAATCGATGTTTAAGCCATTTCGCGACGCTAACTTTAAACACAACGCAAACAATTCCACTTTGAATTTGTTATTCAATGGATAAAAAGATATGATTTTATATCCTACTTTCGTTCACTAATTCATTTACGAGCAAAATTTATCTGCACTAAGTCTTAGCATTTAACTAACTTTAAATTTAAAAAAACTTTCAGAAGACTTTACTAGTTTGATGAGTATATTACATTAATATTATTATTTATCATTATAACTGTCTATACATTTTTTTGTTATTCCCACTAACAAACAAATTTTTATTTAAAAAAACTAATAAAGACTCATGTATAAAGGGTATCATTGTTATATTTTTTTTAATTAGGAGGCAATGAGATCCTGTTTCCAAACGACCCTGCATGGAATGAGCGAGTACGCCGGCGCAGGGCTTTCGCTGACGCAGAACTGGAGCGCGGTGTCGGGGGTACGAACATGGCGGCACCTCCCGCGGCGCTGCTCTGCAGGAACCTCCTAGCGGCTCTCCTCACGACCTATCAACCGGCAGTCCAGGCTCCGCCGCAACGACAGAAGCTATCATTCTCCATAGAATCCATTATTGGGGTACAATAGACTGATAAATACCTATGTCTAAAGTTTAGAGAGAACAATGTAACTTTTTGATTTTATCATTGTGACTAGATATATTCACAAAAATTCAAAACTATCCATTCTATTTTGAATAGTAATAATCAATATATAAAAGGATAAATACACAACAGTTAATTACCAATTTGTCTTCTGTTCGTCAACTAATTTCCTTTTTATGTTTTTCTGTTTAGTAGCTTTTACCAACCTTTATTTAATGTTACTATAATAAGATTTTTTTTTAAACCAAGAGGGAAAATGTAGTACATACGTAAAAGTTTCGATTATTTCGATATAGGCGAGCACTAGTAATAATAAAATAGCTATTTAATCAAAACACATAGGTATTATAAAGATTAAAGAAAGAAAATTAAGAAAAATATCGAGACTGAAAAGGTTACTGGCTCAGAAATATTATACCAAACAGTAACGCATCAATCGGTACTGCGGCGATATCATCCGCCGGCGTTCGCGGAGCAACGTACGCACAAACATCGGACTATTTTGCTATTCGTTTAATAGTATAAAACTAATAGTGACATATCTTACGGAATCCCCAAAGGACTCTGCAAGTGGATCGTTAGTTTTCTGGATAAACGAAGCATCACGGTAGTCGTAGCCACAAGGTTCGCTGCTCTCCCGCACGCCTTTCATTCTGCAGACCTATTATATAATCTATTGATGGTATACATTGGTATGCCGATAGCAGTAAGGAAGTTGCGCGGTATATCGGCCATCAGTCTCTCTCGGAGCGTGGTGCAGAAGGGACGATCAACTTGTATCTGAAGTGGATAGCTCTCTGGAGCGAGTTTGCGAGTGTGGTAAATTGAATTCAGTTCACTTCAACCCATTAGTCACAAGTTCGGACATTCATTGTGTATTCCTGCAACCTTCCATAAGTATTGGAATACTGGGTCCGATGTTTTGAGCGATGTTTAATATCAGAGTCATTTGGAGGGCACTTATCCGACCGCGACGGGGCAACACAAAGCCGCCGTCGCCCAAAATATGTCTTGTCCCGTCCCCCGGTCACCGTCCACGTCGAACTCGTCGATTGCGACGAGCGAACTAGCCCATAGACACAATCCACTGAGTTTCTCACCGGATCTTCTCAGTGGGTCGCGATTCCGATCCGGTGGTAGATTCTGCGAAACACTGCTCTTGCTAGGGCTAGTGTTAGCAAATTCTCTCAAGTTGTACCCGTGAGCTCACTTACCCGTCCGGGCGTAGCATGAATAGCCTCTAAGCCAGTCTTTCTCAAAGTGGGCGATAACGCCCCCTGGGGGGCGTTTGAAACCTAGAGGGGGGCGTTAAGGGGCCCAGGAAAAAATGGGGGGCGTTGATGTGAGTTAGGGGGGCGCTGTAAAATTTGTAATNTTACTCCCTCGCTTAAGGCCGGGGCTTCTGAATATCAGCTACTTCCATTTAATTCCATATAAGAGGGCCGTTCGGACTGTCGATAATCCTATTGTCACGAATTGTTTGAAACCTCTGGGTCTACGTAGGGATTTAGGTTCTCTCTCTATTCTCTACCGTTTGTTACATGGTGAGTCATTCACGGTGCGTTTTCAGAGATATTTTTTGCAACGTACCATCCGGCTCAGAAATGAATTCACCTCCAGCGTTTCCCGAGCGCTATGGACATGTCCTACTTCAATCGAGGTTTGCGAAGATTAATCAACTGTGGACAGCGGCTTGGCTCTGCTCTTGTCATAGCTGACGCCCATCAACGACGGTAACCATTCACCATTAGCTGGCCCATGAGCTACCTAAGGGTAACAAAAAAAAGATTCAAGTCAGTTACATAACTTGAAAGATTAATAAATAATACGTATAGGCTCTCGACTTGGTATACTGTCCTAAGAGGCGCCATCTTATCTTGTTCATTATCATCTTAAGGATTCACTTTGAAAACGAATAATAAATAAAAGTCTCTGTAGAACAATGAGTAGTTTATTAACGAAACATAGTTTTGTTAATTATTTCTATTGTGAGGTCATTTTAATACACTCTCCTTTAAACTTTTACAAACAATGTGGTCTCATGTCTATTATTAAAGTACTAATATAGAGATTATTGAAGACGCTAGTTCGCAAAATTATCCCTCAAATATTTGCGTTTGAACAAATTAGCTCTCACATGTTTTTAAATAAAGTAAAAGTACCAACTTAGAAACAATCGAATACGAACTAAAATGAATCGTTTCATAACAATCTATATGGTTCTCAAAGGCAAATTCAAGTGGAGATTAGCCATCAAAAAGCCAATATATTATTTAGACTATAAGCCTGCCGCTTAACTGAGTTGTCTCCAGAGTTAAAGTGCAATCCGGGAAGGGTCTAACTATAGAGTCCTCAAGTGTCATCCGAAATCAAACATAAAATACATAACATTCGGTTTGAAGGGTGGGGCAGCCGTTCTATACTGACCTTAGAACTAATATCTCAAGGTGGGTGGCGGCATTTACGTTGTAGATGTCTATGGGTTACGGTAACCACTCATCACTAGGTGAGCTATGAGCTCGTTCACCCATCCAAACAATAAAATAATAATAAATAAATAGTAATTTACGAACTGTACTTTTCTGTACAGTAGCTTATTTGTCATCCTTTTCCGAATTTTCGATACATAAACATAAAAATAAATTAAAGCGTAGTATGACTTACGAAGAGGTTAAATAAATAACTCCGTAGTAAATAAACATGAACAAAACCGGACGATGGCAACTAAACAAAACATTGAGACAAACAGGTATTACGAATATCGAATAATTTCAATAATAATTTATATTATTATAATTTCAATAATAATATTGACTACCGTCGGAATAATCATTTGTGGAGCGTTTTCATTTACAGTTTTACGTCCAACAAGAATGGGGCGTTTATTTGTTTTATTAATGAAGAAATATTCTCGAGTTAGCGAAAAGCTGATTATGTTCTTTCACATTGCACAATATACATATTATAATCGGGACTGTTAAATAAGTATTATTTTAGATCGCAAATCAAATATTTTGGACTGGTTTTGTGGTATGTTGCATTTCTCCCTTAATAATAATATTCACGGTAAAAGCTCTTATTCGCGGGTCATATGTTCCATGAACATGCCGCGAATACAGAAACAGTGAATAAGGGAAAGGGAAAGCGCGTTTACAAGGGATATTCGGTTGGATACCTACATATTGGAATACTTTATTTTTTATTGCCCTTGTAGGCAAACGAGCATACGGCCCACCTGATGGAGAGTGGTTACCGTCGCCCATGGACGTCAGCAATGCCAGGGGCAGAGCCAAGCCACTGCCTACCAATATGTATGAACCGATGTATCAATGTGTAGGTATGTACCGATGTACCAATTAGATCTGCGAATAAAGAAATTTATTGCGAATAAAGGAGCTTCTGCTGTATTAACAATTTTGACGTAGACGGCTCCGTCGAATCTCGGGTCAGCTACAATATACTACTATACAACATACTGTTCCACTTTTATGTATTTTAGAGAATTTTAAATAAATGTAACATAGATTACAAACTAATGTTACAATATTGAGCAAATAGGTTTCATTTAAACTAAAAAATATATTTGTATTTAAATGTACCAAAACTTACTGTTACCGCGGAGTCATCTCAGAAAGCAACTCAATCAATCGGTAGGCCTATATGTGTGAGTAGCCAAATGTCGAGCGCGAATACAACATGTACTATCACGTGTACTCAATAACATAAACGAACATTTTACATTAGAAACATTTTTATTTGTATTTATTTTCATGTTATATATACATACTATTGAATTTATGAAAAATCTTACGGCGTGTCACATAGTGAAACTAATAAGGTCACAACAACATTTTGCGGGTTCAATACGTTCATTGGTACAAATACGATATGGTTTGATGAAGGTAAAATATTACGAAACTCATTCGGGTCATGTACAGAGTACATGTGGTCACACAGCCGAAAGCATCGAGAGATGTTCAAAAAATAATTCCTTGTCATTTGAAAACCATATCGTTTTCAATTCCACATAGTCTCAAACTGTGAGAGCTCTATATATATATTTTAAGTAACACTAACTAGGTGGTATAAAATATTTCTTTTAAACGTTTTCAACGTTCGCCACTTCAATGTAACATTGAGAAAAACATAATACACAGAATGAAGTAATGATGTGATTTATAAAGTATAACTACTTTTTTTTTATATAAATAAATAATATTATGCGTCTGTATAATCAGATAAACTCATGTTTCATTAAAAAATATAACTATTAAAAAATAATAAACAATATAAGGATGTTTTATTGCCAAATATCATTACAGGTTTTCATTGGTGACATGCCAACACTGGACTGTATAAACTGTGGATTATTTATTTTGTAATCTGTAATATAAATATATTTGTATCATAATTTAAATAAAAATAGCATACATTTGAATTAAACATACCGATCAGTAATAATAAATATATAATGCAATTTTAAACATTAATAATACATAATAAAATATCATTAACATTTTGTGAAGGCATATCAACAACGCGGTTTACATTATATTGCATGTTTACATATTTCACATATACTTTAATAATATGCACAACACAAAATCGAAGTACTACGCGCGACGCAAAGTTCAATTATATCGACATTATACATCACAAAAATCGTTCACACGACAAGACTACATATAATTATAAGATTTCAATAACATATTTTTATGCCTCAAGGAAGGGAGTGCCCCACGATGCCGCCTCAACCACTCAATCATGCAGCCACTTATTAAAACTATTATCACTGTTTCTTTTCAGAGAAAAAAAAAACCTATTTTTTTTTTATCGCGACGATAAAAACCAACTAAGCCTTACTATAAAAATTACGAGCAAACCCGTAATACTTTGTAAAAATCGATTCTACTTAAAAAATAAACAATGTATCTCAAATTTATATTAAAAAAAAGAATAATAATATATAATACGCATCACTATTTTTATTCGATATGCCGCAGGGCGTACCGAGAAGCCGGAGTGACGACCGCGACGTCTCCGCGCGGCCTCGTTGGCACGTGACAAGGAACGGGACTAGACAGGACTCGGGATAGGAACTGCGGGGAATTTCAAAGGACCGGGGCCGCGCACAGCTCGCAACGAGTGTGCTCTACGATCTATAGCGCCCTTTAAACGATCAAATTGTTTGTCATCGGTCGCGTTTCCGATCCGGTGGTAGATTCTGCGAAGCACTGCTCTTGCTAGGGTCAGTGTTAGCAACACTCCGGTTTGAGCCCCGTGATCTCACCTACACACGTTAGGGTGAAGCTGAAATAGCCTCTCAAGGCTATCAGCATAGGCAGAAAAAAAAACGTTTGTCAAGTTTTACGTGTTTGTCTAATTATTTGACAGCAGCTTTGTTTGACGCATTTGTCAGTCAACGTGTTTGATGGAAATCTTGATTGACGGCGTGTTTGACAAACAAGTTTGAACGTGTATGGGGGGGGGGGGTTGTCAAACAAGATTTCCGTTGTTTTTCAACACGACATCTTGTTGTTACGGCAAGAAGAACCGAATCTACGGGCAAGTTAACAAACTTGTTTGATGAAAACGTAAAGTTTGATAAACAAATTTGATCGTTTACAGGAAGCTAATGGAGATGTTGAGAATTCTTCGAAATAATACTAAACTAATACGACTAATTTACTAATAAATCTGCTATGGGAGGTTACTTACAGCACGAAAAACCATACCAGGCGGTATCAGTGTCTATTGCATTCTGATGGTGATATTTGACATGATAATGAAATGTCCACTTATGATTATGAATAGTTTCGAAATGTTGTCAACATCCCCGAAATGATAAGACGTTTATGCGATCAAACAATATTTCAGAAGTATCAATGATAAATTCAATCGTCTCAACAAACAATACTATAATTTTGACGAATCGGAATGTGACATTTTTTTCATATCCCCGAAAAACCACAATGTTACTCTGAACACTAACGCTATGATAGCACTTTGTAAAATAAACTAACGTTCACACGAACTACAAAATTTTCAGATCAATCATCTGAAAGAACTAAATGACGTATCATAATAACAAGTGTTTTAAAGTCAGACTTTTAGTTTTTCATTTATAAAACAAAGAAAAATAATAACAACTTTTTTTACTTGAACATAATAAATATACATGGTATTTACACATACATAATAATATATAAATATATAATATAATTAAATTTGTAAAATATACACGTCAATAGTATCGTTTATAAATCGAACGAGTCGTCGACGTTACTCTACATATTCGCATTACAATCTAGTCGAGTTCAACACGGGATGGGCGAGTGCGGTCAGTGCGGCGACCCGGCGGGCGAGTGCGGCCAGTGCGACGACCTGGCGGGCGAGTGCGGCCAGTGCGGCGACCTGGCGGGCGAGTGCGGCCGGCGTCGCTCACACAAAACGATCATCGAAATAAGAATACTATTTGGTATGTCACATAGCGAACACCTAGCCACCGTAAGTCTATCAAAAAGCTGTATATCTACATTCGATACATGCATACATATACACGTACATATCATATTATATTTAAAATAAATCACAATCACAGTTTACATAAATTCTCGATTTCACGAAGTCTTGTTCATCGAAAGAATACATTATTTAAAACGTAATATTTTATAGCTCTAAATTAATAGAATATAATGTAAATGTAGCGGAGGAGAGAGTAAATGCTGATTATGAACGAATAAAAATTAGACATCGGAAGATAAAAATTTACAATTTGCAACAAAAAATTTAGTGTTAGAAACAAGATAGATTACGTGCAACGTGTTTATAATATTGCCATTTTCTAAAATGGCTTGTTACATTTACATATAATTACGTCGACGACGCCGACCATTAGAGCGATTGCACGAGTCTTCAGGAAGGAGCTAATTGCATCGAGCGAACACGTCCTACTCCGACACAACATAAAGGATGTTTAAGTTTTCATTGTGTACAAAGGCTGCTCTCTATCTCTGATAATTATACAACGATCAGATATATAGAGATATGCAACTTGATACATTTAATAAAAAGTTTTAAATATTTAATCGAAAGCATTTTACAATAAAATCATTGTGCGAGACATTCAGACATATTATTGTTATAATTATTATAGCTTTACATAACTCTTATATGGCCTTTGCACAAAATATTTAAAAAAATATTATTACATTTTAATTTCATTTCACATAGAGCATTTTGCAGTTGTCACAATAAAAATACTTAGATATTAAATTTTGATACAAAATAGCCATAAGAATTCTAATTTAAAAAAAAAGAAAATATTTTTTTATTGTTATCCATGTTTTATGACCAAAATGGTAAACGCGAGCTTAAACGGTAGAAATAGTCAAACTTATGTCTACGACTCGCGGAACCCGAAGAAAATACTTGAAAAATAATATAAATTTCAATTTTATTTGCAACATGCTTTGAACTTTGAAAAATGAGCAACGAGAGCCAGGGTGGGCTCACTGTTCTTGTATAATATATTATGTTCGCCATAAAGGCTTAAAATTAATTTATATATGTTTTCCGCAGATAGTATACATAATACATCGAACAATGAATATTATACATTCACTAAATTTCCAATTAACGGAAATATAGGTTTCTGTTACTCGTTTGATACTGTATGTGTCTTTGTGTACGTAAGCCAGTCTAGCTCTCGTGAGCTGATGTCCCAAATTAACAAAAAAGTTAAAATTATTAACAGACCAATACTATTGTCAAAATATCACACTAAAATCTACAATATGCATACTGGCCTTTTTTATTTTCAATATTTTGGCAGTATGCATTCTAAAATTCCAAACGAATAATTAATAAAAATCACAAATTAGAATCGTCCAACGGGACATCAGCTCTACTCGCGCAAAACATAAGTCAAAACAATCACGATGCGATCTCAGCATCGCCGTCGTTCTGTTGATCGAAGCCACACGTCAAGATGTCATCGACCTCAAACATCTCCAAACAACACCGCGATTAAAACAAATCGGCAAAGGGAACCTAAAACTAAATGCCGATCTGACGCGCCGACAGCTGGCTCGAAGCATAACAGGGCACCGGGGCGTGCACCCTAGATGCCGCACATGGCCGACAGCCGCGCGCTCAGCTGCACGGGGAACTGATCCGTGAAGCGGCGCCAGTTCTCGTCGCCCACCTGGTTTTTGAAGCCGTGCAGGATCTCCGTGAACATGTCCTTGAGGTCGTCCTTGGGATGCGACCAGGAGGCGACGGCGTCGCAGAAGAACAGAAAGTCGGGCACCACTCCCGCCGGATTCACTTGGATCATCTGACAGATGCCGCGGAACGCAGAGTCCTTCTCATCGTTGTCTCGGATGTTCCGCAGCGACGTGCACCTTGAACATTACAACTCTTCCATTTTAAAAACGACCGCGTTGTGTGTAGGTGATAATTCGAAATTAATCACATTTCTTGTTCTGATTGAATCATATATATAATTTTTTTTTTATATTTAATAAATATATTTTACTCTCGCGTTAAAAACTTATTTATTTAAGAATTCGAAGTATCACCTAATGCACAATATAGAGTGAAAAAATGAAACTATAAGTTGAAAAACAAAGCAAATTCTCATTTAAATAATCTAATCTCATGGTATTTTTCCTTGTAGTGTTGTATGCTCTATATAAATATATGATTAGCCCAAACTGTAAGCCAAGACATAAAGCAACATACTGTTACTGTTGGCACATCAATTAGTCAGGATAAAAAATGAGTAAAGAACGGTGATTCTTAGATTTGTTAAATTTATAGTTAAATTATTATCTCAAATACCCACTGAAGGCATTTAAGATCTAGTGAGTGAAGAACCGCTTTCTTGCTGTAACCGGGTTGTCTTGCAGTTTGGTTAGGTAGTGTTGGATATATTTAGCAACTTATACACATATATATTTATTTATATATATATATTATAGAAAGCGGATGGTGTTCAACGTACACGTATAAGAAACATCACTGTAATCAATACAATAAAGTAATACCACCCAGAAAAGAAGGGAGTAGTAGTAGTATAGACAGATAGTGTGGCCTTTTCATATATTTTTTCTTATGATCAACGTCAAAACATCCATGCTAGGAAAAAAACAAATTAGAACAACGGATATACATAAAATAATAAGTAAAAAGCATGAACAAACACCATCCACAATCGAAATAATATCGGTTAATAACTTATTAATTAAAATTAATAATTTAAAGTAATAATAAAAAAAATGACTACAGACCACTGGCGTACAAATTGATGTAATACGGGTGCGACGTCGTGGGGGCACACATAACCTAGCCGACCGATAGTAATCGCTACACGCCACGACATACCGAGAACAAAACCAAGAAAACAAATCAACAAACCATTCAAAACATACTTAAATTACATAATTTAATAGCAACAAATTAGTGTCACAAATGGAAAAAACGTCAAACAATTTTAAGGCTGTCCAATTCTAATAAACAAAATAAAAAAAAAAGAACATTTAAATATCTAAAGATGGTCTAGTTACTGAAAATATAGAATTATGTTTTTTAAAGAATTTAAAAATAAATCAATATTATTAAGTAAAATTTTTATAGAAAATGAGTATCTTCTAGGCCATCTTCTAGATGAGGCTCACACTTGAGTTTTCGGATCTACATAGGTGGTTGGTTATATATTTACATCATCAAGAAATAAAACTAAATAATTTATAATAGTTATAATATAATAAGGCAATATTCATTAAATATAACACGATATTTTATGTTATTGGTCAGTATTTCTTTTATATTTATATCGAAAAATATAGCTTTGGTTACAGCTCCCAGAGAATATTGTAAGCCTTAATGAACGAAAGCAATGACTGATTGTTGTGAATAATTAAATAAAAACAAATCATATTTAAATTAAATTTGTTTGTTATAATATTTAAATACATACACATAGTATGCCACAGGAGAGTAAATAGATATAAAGCAGTGACTTATTTGTAAACATTTAGGGCCATTACTCAACATACGCAAATAATTTGCAAATAAAATAAATTAAAACATTTCATTTGCTAGCAACCAACAATATATAACGCACTGGGAATGTCTTTCGGGGGCATTGTTATTGTTGTCTATATTATAAATTGAGTATGGGCATCACTTACCTGTGTTTTCGAGGAGAGTTTTTGGTGTGTTAGGCCTATTGATGATTTCAACTAAATGTTTAAGTACTAAGGGAATATACTTCGATGTTTCTTGACCTGAAATATAAAAAAATTAAAAAGAAATTACAAGATGTTGCAAAATATTGATTAAATCTTAAATATATGCAGAAACGATATTGTTGTAAATTAATAAATAAACATTATTTTTATGTCTCTTAAGCGAATAGGTTATCAAAAAATTTGAATAAAAATTATTAACATCAGCCTGATTAGAAAAAAATGTTTGACAACAAAAACAAAGCTATTGTATTTTTTTTTCCTGCAAATAATAACAACATTAAAAAAAATTTAAGAATATGTATAAGCGCATTTTCTTAAATTATTTTATTGCAAAGAAATCTTAATTAATTTATTTTAATTATTTGCATGCCAGTCAATTTAATAAAAGGTACCCACCTAGTTTAATACTAATTTCGCCTATAGCCCAGGTAGCATTATTGCACACAGATATAAGTTCAGGATTGAGATTTGCTCCGAGAATGGGTAAAAATTCTGGTATGTACGGTAGGACGTGTTGGAAACACGCTTTTGTGAGATCACCGAGTAACGCGAATGAAGACTGACGAACCTGTAATACATTTTTGCAATTAAATTTTATTTTTATTGAATATGCTATTTGAACTTCCGTAGAATAGTCCCCTCATAAAAAAAAAAAAATTTTGTTTACAGATTTCACACATTAGTTGTTTATATTTTAAAAATCTACTCTTGGGTAGCCATTGCATAGATTCCGTTTAGTGTCGAAAAGCACTATTCGTCTTTATTGCTAGATCCTACAAACTGTTAGAACTTATAAAAGATAGACAATCCTCTTTTCTAATCACCTAATTACAAGTTATGTGTCTCAGTCTAAAGAGTACTGTGTGGAGTCAATTATAAATTCACTCTCACATCACAGGGTCCACAAAAACCAATGTTAGAGTTCAATAGGATGTCTAAAGTGGAATGGACTTTTCCTGACTCAAACCTCTCATATCTTGAGGGACAAATAAAAAATTTGATTATTACTCATGGAGTTGAACAAAAAATTTTAGCTAATTTCTTTAGCTGATATTTGGATAATACCAAACAATCCAGCCACATTATATTTAAACAGGTATACCTTATACATATATACAGATATATAATAATTACCTCAGGCATAGGGTCTTGCATACACTGATAAAGTAGCTGCATTAAGTTTGAATTTAGAACCAGTCGCTCGATATGTCCATCTAATCCTTCAGCCAAGCCACTCAACAAGTCCAGTGCAACAATCATGAATTCTTTGTCCGGGGCTTCAAACTGCTCAGGACTTTGACTGTTTGCCTGTTTAAAAATAATATTCACTTATACTGCCATTATTCAAAATATTTTTTCAAGATATACCAAAACTTTGTTGAGAAAACTGTGTATTTTGATTAATTTTAAGGAAGAATGAAATATGTAAAGCAAATTACAAAGATTTTTTTCGTTTTTCGCAAGCAAATTTATTTCAACACAGAAAGAAGTATAAGTAGTAACTTACAATGTTTTGATTTAATGTCTGTTCTATTAAGGAAACACATCTCCTGAACACAGGTTCACAGTATGGCAAAAAACCGGACTGTAGAGCTGTAGCTACGGATGATAAACACTGAAAATAAAAAGATCGATATAGTTTTGTTAAATACCACTTATTCATTTAATGATACAAAAGAGGAAGTGTGTGGTGTGTGTGTGCATGTGGGTGTGGGTGTTTGTGCATGCGTGTGGGTGTGGGTGTGTGTGTGTGTGTGTACTAAATCTTATCTACACTGTTAAATGAAGGTGTAAAAATTAAACTGAATATATTTTATTCATCAAATTGAAAAATTACTAATGAAACAGATTGCTTCTAAAAAGGGTTTATGAAATTATTAATATCAAAGTACCTCTAGTAACGGGAATAAGTCTTTATCTTCATCCTTGAGTACATTCCATTTATTTATTAGAGGTGGCATCAAGAGGTTTATATATTCCGGTTTGTTGAGATGGTGACCAACCGAGTCTGCCAAGGTTCCGATTGCGTCGTACAATATGAGCAGGTTCTTGTGTTGGTATTTACTGAAAGCGAACACGAGAGTCTGCAGGATGTAGCCGAGGTATGGCACTAGCTCTGTGCAAGCTTCTTCCTCTAATGTCGCGAAGGCAGAACAAGCAGCCTCTTGGACACGTTTATTGTTGTCGAGTACTCGTTTCAACAGCTGCAAACAATGTACACGAATTATTTTAGAATTTTGGAATAAATTAGTCCATACTTCATCCCAGTGGCATTTGCAAAAACTACGTGTTTTCAGTTTATTTCTATAATCGTAAGTCGGTACATGTACATAACCTAAAGTGCTTTTTAGAATTGTTCACAGTCAGGAACATGTTAGAATGTATTTTTGTTTCAATTGCTGCAGCTTTAGTCACAACTATCCTTCCCAGTAGAAACTAACATTCTTACCCTCTCTTAATCTTCCTCTCACTACATCTCTTACTTTCCAACGCCAGTTTTAAAACTATAAACAACATAACACCCAAAGTCCAACATGGATAGACATCATTGTACCCTATCAATGCTGATAGCCTTGAAAGGCTATTTCAGCTTCTCCTTGACGTGTAGGTGAGCTCACTGGGCTCTAATCGTGAGTGTCGCTAACACTGGCCCTAGTAAGAGCAGTGCTTCGCAGAATCTACCACCGGATCGGAAACGCGACACACTAAGAAGATCCGGCAAGAAACTCAGTGGGCTGTGTCTATGGGTTAATTCACTCGTGGAGCCCTTCGTCGCAAGCGATGGGTTCGACGATGACGGTGACTGTCATGGATCTTCCCGATCCATGACGTGCTAGACGTTATATATACTAACTCCATCTAATGGGATAAAGGCATAAAAAAAGATAAAAGAAACGAATGAGTACCTCTGTGAGGACAGGTCTGAGGTAGAGATCGTGCGACTGCGATACGATCCAGTGCGAGTAGCGTGAGAGGGTCCAACAAGTGATGGCACGCACGAGCGCCTTGCTCTCGGGCAGGCAGCACACCAGATACGGCACCAGGTCCGGCAGGTGCGGCACCATGCCCCCCATGCAGCCGTCCGCTACAGCGCCCAATGCCAAAATACCGCTCTCCTGCCGGCCAGTAGTTATCACTTTGTTAACTTAGTAGATTTTACATTTGATTATTTCAGAACCAAAGTAGAATAAATCTTAAAGTTTCTGTATTCATAACATGTAACCATTTAAGGTAGAGGTTTTATTGCATTCGTTTTTTAATGTTGTTTTGATTATTATACAAATTATAATTATTGTTAATAACTTCATCATCAATCAAGATATTCATCAAATTCGTCTCCCCCAAGGTGACGGGAATAATAATTATATCACAAATTTATATATGAGTATTCACAACATGATATTGATGTCTAAATAGTACAATAACATCTAATATCGATATAATGTCATAAATTTTTGAATTTGTTTATGTTTATGATAGTTCATAATCGAATCACTCATAGTATCTTAGTGTGAATGTTATTAATTAGTACAAAGCATCTGGACGAATATAATTATAACTTGTATAAACATATAAATTGGTGATATTTTCATTTTAACAAGATTAGATATTTATTTTAAGTTATTTATTATGTGAATTAATTAAATAAACATTACTTTGATGACCCAATCGTCATGGAATAAGGTCTCCTTGAGTATCGGGAAGAGCACGGGCAGAAGGTCAGCACCAAAAACGTTGGCGAGAGCGTCTAGTGCGGCTGCGCTACATTTGCGCAAGTTCCAGTCCGAAACGGATCCATCATCAGGGTCGCCACCGCCCTCAGACTCCGTATCAGAATCTCCACCACCTGACATTGTGCTGTCTCCTGCTCCTGTTACATTAGACAATCCTTAAATTTCTTTCTATATCAGAGAACAAGTACTAAAAGTAAATTAAAAATGTTTTTCTAATAAAACTAGTTTTTGCATTTAAAAGATTTAATCAATTTTGCTGAAATTTGAATAATGAAAATTCTTTAAATCTAATATATAAAATTCTCGTGTCACAGTTTTCGTTGCCATACTCCTCCGAAACGGCTTGACCGATTTTGATAAAATTTTTGTGGTTATCCGGTATCTATGAGAATCGGCCAACATCTATTTTTCATCCCCCTAAATGTTAGGGGTAGTCCACCCCTAACATATTTTTTTTTATTTGGACATTTTTTTTTTGTTATAATGAGGTTGAATGAGGTTTTGTTATTTTTATTATATATTCCCTCATCGTTCACAGCACTACATACCTCTTTCACTCATTTACCACATCCTTACACACTTGCAATAAGTTAGTTTTTTTTTCTACACTAGAAAATCCCTAGAAATCTTATATATGGCAAAACAATGTTTGCTGGGTCAGCTAGTAATGTATAATAATAACATTTATATTTTAAGTATTAACACTATATAAAATGTTGGTTTTAAGGTTTTACTTAAATCAATACATTACCATTATGTTTGATGGTATGGGAACGTGGTTTATGAAAGCGGGGTCTGATGTCGGTTTCGCGATCTGGTTCTGCGTCGTCTGCATCATCATCCCGGTCACCACGTAGCAGGATAACATCCATCTCTGAATAGCGCATGCCGCGAACTAACACTGGCAGCAGGGCGGGTAGTCGAGGACCAAGTACCTGTTCATTAAAGATGATGTAAACAAAGCCTGATTTTATGTCACCACAAAAGTCTATGGACACACATCACACCAGAAAGTCATGAAAGATGGGGTATGGGAAGAGCTCTGAGGTATTGTTGAAGACGATTTTGTTATCTCTTGTTTACCACCACATCATTTGCAAGCTGAATATGGCTCAACGCTACTACTTGGCACCACTAACTCCATCTAAATTTCCCCGAATAACATACCACCTGGTTTTAGAGTAAAATTCCAGTGTTTCCTGAGCATCATCACATTTTCTTATTCAAATGAGGTTTAAAGTTATCAGCAGTAGTCAGCCATTTGGCTGTGTCTTTTGCACAGAATACTGCCATGAAGAAATTTGACAGCTCACTATCAGATGGCTCCTCTGTCTTCACAGGCAATAAAAAACATGAGGTTGACACCACAATTGTTGTTTAATGGTTTCCCCAACCTTCAAATCAACTATTGATATCTTTGTACAAATTTCTTAATTCTGGATTCCACTCACAAAACTAATACATACCTCTCGACAAACATTTTGTTCGGCAAGCGCGAGCCAGAATTCACAGGCTTCTAAAGCCACTCCTTCTTTCGGATCTTGTGTTCTCACCAACATATACTGTTGATACATTAAAAACTGATACAACTTTTCTATATATTAGAGGCAAACATTACATGAAAAATAAATTTTTATCAGTTTATAAACAAGCATGGCTACAACTGATCCCTATTACTGAGCATTGAGCTAATCTGTTCAGTACTGTTTTGTGTGGTGAATCATTTTAAACTCGACATGGTGGCTCTTCAAACTGGACTATGTGAATAATAATATGTTTCATGGCAGAAAGAGACCATAAGATGGTACCTATGTGAGCAAACTCACAATTTGCCTGACAAGTATATATAAAAAAAAAAAACTTAAGATACTAAAATATTGAGTTTTGGCTTTCAGATCAATCTAGAGCTAACTCTTTCTTGAAACATCAGAAGTTTACAAGTAAGTAGTAAAAGTAAGTGTCTTTAAAAAGTAAAATTGAAGCGAATCTTATTATAACAGACTTGAAGTAAAACTATATTTTGAAGAAAAAATCTGCGACTTTTATGTACATCTTAAAAAATAATAGATTTTTAAAGATTTTTTTTCACGAATGAAGCTCAGCAGTATAAATTTCGATAGAAAATAAAACATAAATTACCTCTATAATATTGGGCAAATGTGGAATGAGTCTGTCAAGTCGAACTTCCAACAACAGCACAAGTGCATGACAAACATTCTTTCTAACATCTGGATCCTCATCAGCAGCTAAGTGAAATAAATTCTAAAAATAAAATTTATATCTGTTACATAGTCTCTGAATATAATTCGGTTTTACAATAAATTGAGGTTGGTATTACTATATTACATTAAAAATTTAAAAAAATAAACTTTCAAGAACTAGGTTAACAAACACAACAACAGATTATACACAATAGTAACTTGAAAATCACCTCAATAAATGCATCTATGTGCATCATTAGTGCTTGTGTTCTGCCCATGATAAAATAGTTTACACATCCAATAGCATGACATCTGATTTTAGGAGAAGTATGCCTAAAGAATTGCAGAAATTTTGGTATTAAGACATTCAAAGGTCTGTTCATAGCATCACTGTCCAGTAACTCTGCTGTGTCCTCACAAATTTTTTGGAGTGCTCCAAATGCTCCCTATAAATAAGAAAGAAACAATAAATTCACTATCAAAATACAATAATAAAAAACCTAATATCAAAACATTTTTGCTGGCATTGTTAGGTTTATTATTGGATTTACTTATTTACTTACTTCACAAACATTATAGTCCTGTGAATCAAGCATTTGACATAATGACGGTAGGAGTTCAGGCCAGGATGTCAATTCTCCTTTGCTAGCAATAGTTGTGATGATAATACCAACTGTTGCACGAATTAACGGGGATGGATCTCCCACAGCAGATAAACATTCCTGCTTTATAAATTCTGCTACTTCAGGCAAAAAGCTGTTGTAATGAGCTTTGACATTATTTTTCAATATCAAACCACTTAGTGACCTTGTTGGTTCTTCTTCAGTTACCAGTCTAGTTAAAACGAATATCAGATAGTTGTTGAAGTCCGGGTATTTGTTCAGTTCTTCCAATTTCTGTTATTACAATGAAAGGAAACTAAAATTTGTCAATATCTGTCATGTCGGAAAAATCGATTTTATACAAAGCGTCTAGAAAAATGCAACCATCACTAACAAAACTAACCTCTACAATATTCATTTAACTTGTAAAATATTGACCAGAAAGGCTTAGAAACTCGAAAAGTTAATTTGTTAACGATTAAAATTGTATAAAAGATACACGCCGATAACTTTGATCTGTGTAATTTTTTTAAAAGGATACTTGTTGAACTGCTCGTTGTGTAGCTGTGTCGGGTGACTGTGACTCTTTGAGTAGTGTTAAAATTTGCCGTAATCCTTCTTGTTCTGGTTTCCACTCCATTTTCATAATAAAATCCAGAAAACGGTTAATCACTCGGTATAGCAAAGATCAACCATGCCAAAATTTAGAAATTGCCACAAAACAAAAAGCTATGGTGATTATGGTGTTGTCTGTTGCTGAAACTTGAAGTTTAATGCAGGTTCTAAATAATTACGATTTTTGGCTGAAAATGTGAACAGCACAAACCTACCATGGAATTATGTTTTATTTGGTGTTCAAATTTATGGTAAAAATTAAAAAATTGTGAAAATCATACAAGTTTAAGATTTAGGCAGTAGGCCGCACACAGGAGATATTTTTGTAATTCAACAATTGTGGCGGGACATTTGAAACAAAACACATACTATCATGCCGTATTTACACCATATTTACACGCGCATCCGCGGTGGTGTGCTTATTTTTATCAAGTGTTGTTTGTGGTATAAGATCTGCTGAGCTACATAATTTTTTTACTTTGAAATTGAATTTGAATTACTTTGAAAGATGGAACACGTTTGTTTTCATGGCGCGGTAATTTGTAAAATACCACATAAAAATTTTACATTTAAATTATTACAAAAGTTGCAAAAACTCTATATTATTCAAGCACGCCCTCATTATAAAACAGACGATTTTTTTCTGCACCAAATCAAAACGTGTATTAAATTATGGTAAGTTGTAGCCCTTAATAAAAGGGGTTAACTTTTAGTGGGTATTTTTTTCTTCTCAACTGCTACGTCAAGATTGTAGGATGATCATGTAGTCTACATTCTGGAAGCTATGCCACAGTTAACTATATGCCCGATGTTTTAATAGGTAGGGGATTTGCCAGTAACCACTCACTACTCTCTTAGGCCACCCACCTGGGGCCGCATGCTCATCTATCTACAAAGGTAATGAAAAATGATGTGCATGTACTTATACAATACATTTCCTGAGCTCCAAATTGTAGCGCAGTAATTGTGGTGATGTAAATATACGGTGTGAGTAACGTATGGTGCGAGTGTACTGCTTCTTAAGTATGCATTGATATTGTGATTTTTGTAACAAAAGTAATGTTTGTTTTCGAGATTAAATTGGACAGGTTTCAACAGATGAGTTATTGTTTGAATGGAATTTAATTAATGGAATTTTAATTATTTACGGAAATACAATTGCAAATTTTATTACAAAATACAAAATACAAAAATAGTTTATTTTCAAAAGTTTGAATGTTTTTTAGGCCAGGTATCTGGAATAAATTGTTCTACGAAATGTCCGAGTCAAGAGAGCGCGTGACTGTTGTGGGATTGCCGAAGGCCCAAGATGCCAATTAAATGGCAGGCACCAGGAAAACGGGACGACTCGTCGGCGGCTGCGGTCATCGCTGTCATCGCCGGACGTTTTGCAGAAGAGCAACCCAGTCAACGGTGTATCGTGTACCAACCCGGTAGGCTCGTTCTGACCCAAATGGGTATCCCGGAATAACAGTGGCACGTCACAGGCTACCGTATCTTAGTGTAGTATCTGACTGTAGTCGTTAATCGTCGATGATCGTCTCTACGACCCGTCAGTCGAGCTTCCTTGGGTTGGTGCCGTGAGTTTCGATGTAATGTTGACCACGCGAACCCCCCTACTCTACCTGGGTGAAGATCGGAGGTCTATTGAGAGCACAAGAGGAGTCGTTTGGCTAGGGCTGTAAATATATCCTCGCACCCGCGGTCTACTCAAGATTTGCCAACCGTCAAGTCCCACACGACAAATAATTTTTTGAAGTATTATTTTAAATTTTATTTCATTATTCATTTAAAAAGTGGTCTACATTTCAATTGCCAAGCATAATAAAATTTAAGCCGGAAGGCATTACTGCTTCGCCATAGTTGCGAAGTGTGACACACCCGTTCGGGCCTTCAAATGCCTTACCACTAATTAAAACTCTTTTTTTAGAGATGATTCCCATTAAGCGATATTAATCTTTCATCGTGGAAACTATAAACATGTACATAACATGTAAACATATGTTGATTAATATATTTTTCATATTCAATTAAAGTACTTCGGGTGGCATGTGGGCCATGTTTCTTTTGCCCACCCAACTCCAAGTGACAAATCAAACAAATAACAACATATAACTTATATACCTACCCACATAACCTCAACTCGTGTGATTTTCTTCTTTCTATTTTGATAGTATTATACTTATACCATTAACCATTACGTTGTAAATCCATTTATTACTTTGTCAAACTATCGTGTGTCATTAAAAATGCCAAAAATTAAGGCAGAAAAAAAAACGAGAATTCATAAAGAAATTGCTAAACAAGGTACTTACGTTCCTGTAAAATATTTAATTAATTGCCTTAATATAACAACAAAATTAAGTAAAACACAATACTTTTTTTTAAGGTATTCAATTTAACAAGGACTTCGGTCAACACATATTGAAGAATCCACTAATAATAACCTCTATGTTAGACAAATCTGGATTAAGGCCTACTGATGTAGCACTTGAGATTGGTCCTGGTACTGGCAATATGACAGTCAAATTGCTGGACAGAGTAAAAAAGGTATTAGCCTGTGAAATTGATACAAGGTACTTACACCTGTTTCAGTCTGATAATCTTACATCCTTTAATATAAATTGCCATGTATAACAGTAATTTAATTTAGCAGCAATATTCTTAATGCTTTGTTTGTCTTTGAAATAGAACATTCTTTTGTTTTATTGCTTAGGCGTGTGGACGAGTTCACGAGCCACCTGGTGTTAAGTGGTTACCGGAGCCCATAGACATCTACAATGTAAATGCTGCCATCTACAGTGAGATATGATTTTTAAGCCACCCTTAAAACCGAAATGCATTACTGCTTCAAGGCAGGAATAGGCAGGGTGGTGTTACCTACCCGTACAGACTCACAAGTGGTCCTATCATCAGTATTACACAATGTTTTTCACTGTGGAAGGCAATTGAGAACATTTGTTAAGTATGTATTTCATTAGAAAAATTGGTACTTGCCAGCGGGATTTGAAGACCAGTGCATCACTAGATACTAATGCACTGGACGTCTTATCCTTTAGGCCACAACGACTTTAAGTGACACTTCAATGAATTGTTTCAGCATTCAACATTGTATAGATAAATAATTTCAATTTAATACATATCTATAAGCAAATTTTTTTATATTTCAGATTGGTTGCTGAACTTCAAAAACGTGTGCAAGGTACTCCTTATCAAGCAAAATTACAAATTTTGGTTGGAGATGTTTTGAAAACAGAATTACCATTTTTTGATATATGTGTAGCAAATATTCCATATCAAATTAGTTCACCTTTAGTGTTCAAATTGCTGCTACACAGACCTTTCTTTAGGTGTGCAGTGCTCATGTTTCAAAAGGAGTTTGCACAGAGATTAGTTGCAAAGCCTGGTGATAAATTGTACTGCAGACTGTCAATAAATACACAATTATTGGCTAGAGTTGATATGCTGATGAAGGTAATATTATTTATTGTAGACTTCTAATAATAATTGTCTATCAGCTTAAAGCAAACAGATTGGCACAGACTTCAGTCATTTTTGTAGGTGTCTACTGTAATACAGGCTGAGCCTTTCTACCATATTCTAGCTAGTAGAAATAACATAATAATAATCCAAATATGTGTATTGGTCAGTTCATAATATAATATGATGAAAACATTCTCATCAATAATATTTGCTTGATATCATTTTTGTTCAACAGGTTGGCAAGAACAATTTCAGACCACCACCCAAAGTAGAGTCTAGTGTTGTGAGAATAGAACCAAGAAATCCACCTCCGCCTATAAATTTTGTAGAATGGGATGGTTTGACTAGAATAGCATTTGTAAGAAAAAATAAAACACTCTCAGCTGCATTCAAACATGCAACCACAATGGCTGCTTTGGAGAAAAATTACAGGGTCCATTGTTCTTTACACAATAAGGTAAAACTGATTTATGCAGAAAAAAATATTAAATACCTTATTGGATTTATAGTAAATAAAGTAAATAAACTTAAGGTCTGTAAAATAATATACTAATGGAGGAGTAATTTTTGTTTAGTAATATATATGCATATAATAACATATAATAATAATGTATGTATATATAAAATTACCTTACAACACCTAGTAATTGGCACTCTTAATTTAAAATATACCATTTTCTGTTCATATTTTTTTGTAATCTGCTATCAAATTTACAATAATAAATATAATTTTAATATAATTAATTTGAAAAATTGGTTAAATTAATAAGATAATAAAAGTAAAAATTAAGAATTAAAAATAATAATAAAAATATTTCAAAAGTTAAATAAATTAGTATTAAAATATAATCTAATTTGTTCAGATTGTTTATTTGTTTGAACACTTTTTCATTAATGCATTTCTGTTGTTGTTTTTAGGAAATCCCTGAAGATTTTGATATTAAGCAAAAAGTACATGAAATATTGACATCCTGTGAAGCTGATCAAATGAGGGCTAGAACAATGGATATTGATGACTTTATGAAGCTATTACATGCTTTTAATGCTGAAGGGATTCATTTTGCATAAATATTAAAAAGAAATGTTTTCGTAACAGCTATTTATTTAAATAAACAAAACGCATTATACTACAACTTTCATGAAGATAAATTGTTATTGATGTTAAATATGTTTAATTTTCTCGAAAACTACACTGTTTGTCAATTAAATTGTTTTTAAATAACAGAGCTCTTGAATTTCCTTTCAGCGTAATCAGAATCGGTTTTCTCAGATTTGAATGGGAATCCAGGTTGTCCAGGAAGAACCATTGGTTTGGTTTTTAGTACTCTCCAACCACCCTTCTTTGTCCAGTCCTAAAAAAATAACTATTTATAGACAGGTATTGAACACTCATTTTCTTGGATTTCATAATAAAAAACATAACAATTAAAATACAAAGTAATTTTTGTATGAATTGATATACAAAAATTACTTTGTAAAAAAAAATTATAAAATTGATATTGTTGAATAAAATAGTAACTAAAATAAACCACAATTAATTGTAAATAATTGATGTAGCCAAAGCATATTAAAAATAACACTTCATTGCTGGCTTAATCAGTTATTGTTCTTAAACTTCGAATACGAATTGTGAATATTTCAGACTACAAATTCATATTGATAGACATAAAGAAATCAATTTGCACTGATTATCTAAACCAACTTCATTTAAAAGAGATACTTGTGAAATTGACTGTACATTTAAAAGAGATAATTGTGAAATTGACTGTAGTTTGTAGTCATTGTGACATCTATTATAATGTGATATTTGTATAAATGGAAATAAGTGCTTGTGGCCTAACCTTCACTTATCATTGTTACATTGTCACCTTTGGAACCAATACCCTTCAATCCACTGTAGATTTATGTTTATTTCACATGCATCAGTACCTGGTTGATCTGGGTGACCTAATAGATGGCTGTTATGGTACAATGCTTCAAGGATCTCTTTGCTGTTTGAATATGTAAAAATTTTACACTGTTTTACCTATTTAGCTTCTGGTTTTAAGATTTCCACTTTTTTTGCTTAGAATGTGTTATAAGCTGCTAAAGATATATCTAAAATATTCTGTTTCCTAACAATTTCTTTAGCTATTCCATAAATTATTTTATACTAATCAGTTATATAATTGATTTTCAACTGTTTTCAAATGTCTTTTGTATTTTTTGGTGAATTAGATTTCCAACAGAATTTTCATTGGATAGTAGTCAAACTTCCATACAATTCATTGGCAGTTATAATGGAAGTTTTACAACTTGATCTTCACAAAAATTTTAAATAAGATGTTCTGTAATTTGCGCTATTCATAATTATAGTGCTGCCAGGTAGTACAGGGGACCTCTACTATAGGCGTAGGGACTTAAACAATCTATGATAATAAGCTAATAGTTAAATGTGATAAGAAATTTCATACGATGTAATATTTTTACTTACGTTTCCTAAATATTTAAAGTAGTAATGTGTTGATAGCATAGCCACAGCGATTAAACCAAGTTTTCCAGATATATATCTATAATGTGCAGCACGTTGTTCTCCCTAAAATGAAAATATTTGAAAACTGTTGTTTACATCAACACCTGACAGGTTAAGTTATATAACGTTACCAGCATTGGGGTAAGTTTCGCAAAGAGTACGTCCAAGGGTTTCCGGTAAAAACGACGAATAGGATTAGTACGCTCTCTCCAATATTCTTCCACGTGAACTGGCTCGTGAGCGGCTAAAACTTGATCTTTTAACCATTGCTTACGCCAAGCCCTTTCTGCATCAGTCATACCAAGACATCTTTCCCTTTCACTGGCTACGCGACCAACTATCGTCATAGGTTTAACACCCGCTGTTTGTGCCATTTTTTCGAATAATAGCTACACTTGATTCTGGAGAAAAAAATGCCTAATTTGTTTTGATAAAAATAAGGTCTTCGTTTTTTTTCTTTGTCAACCTGGACAGGCAAAAGAAAATAGCCCGTAATGCAACGTTATCATTTTTTCTACCTATTCGTTGGTAGCAAGAGGTTCCGGCTGCGCTCGGCCAGGTGGGTGAGCTCACGGGTTCGACCTGAGAGAATTTGTTAACACTAGCCTTAGCAAGAGCTTAGCAGAATCTACTACCAGATCGGAATCACGACCTACTGAGAAGATCCGGCGAGAAATTCAGTGTGCTTTATCTTTGAGTTAGTTCTGTTGGAGTTTAATTAAATATCTAAGTAGCGGCAGGCAACACTTGTTACATGTGAATTGTAAAGTAGGTAACAGCTTTCGAATATTTGAATGCTTATTTAAATGTTTAAAACAGATGATTGTCTTCTCTTCAGTCATGACGAGGACTTTTCATCTAGACACGGACAGTGCACTATCTCAGGGTTTTATAAAAATAAAATAATGTAATAGTGTAAAAAATGTTTTTAATATATGTTAACCATGACGTAGAGTGTTCTAAAAAAGCCCCTCTCCTCCAGAACCCAATCCCCACAAATTTAACCGTCCAACAGGTTCGCTTGTCGAACTCTTCATCGTAATCGACGAGTTCGACAAGAAGGAGGAAGACCCAGTTATATGGACTTATGATGCCTATAGGTTCCTCTATGAATATAAAACCGGGTGGAGTTTTTCAGCATGTCCAAACTAAAAACTGAATTTAAATGAAATATACGGTAGAAGAGCGGCAAAATAACAGATAGTCACATAATAAAATTTGAAATTTCAAAGATAAAAAATTGGAAATGAAGTATATGTGCTGTAAGATAGTGCTTATGTTTCGGTCCCCAGTTTCGAACTGCAATAATGTACGGTTGTTGATATATTATTGCTGATTTTTTTTTTCTTTTCTTTTATTGCTTGAACGATTGGATGAGTTCACAGCCCACCTGGTGTTAAGTGGTTACTGGAGCCCATAGACATCTATAACGTAAATGCGCCACCCACCTTAAGATATAAGTTCTAAGGTCTCAGTATAGTTACAACGGCTGCCCCACCCTTCAAACCGAAACGCATTACTGCTTCACGGCAGAAGTAGGCAGGGTGGTGGTACCTACCCGTGCGGACTCACAAGAGGCCCTACTACCAGTAATTACGCAAATTATAATTTTGCTGGTTTGATTTTTATTACACGATGTTATTCCTTCACCGTGGAAGTCAATCGTGAACAGTTGTTGGATACGTATTTCATTAGAAAAATTAATACCCGCCTGGGATTCTAACACCGATCATCGCTCAATACGAATGCATCGGACGCCTTACCTTCTAGGGCACGACGACTTCAAAAATTTATGTTGGTAGAGCTCTTTATTTCACTCTTCATAAATTAGACATTGTTACAAAAAAAATGTCTCTATGGGCTACAGTCCCTTTGTCTACTCAATGGATGAACTATGAAATTAAATTCACTGACACAAAATTACAGTCAATTGTCAAATGAATCGAAAGTCGTCTGAAAAAATATTAATAAAATTAATGTAAACCAGAAAATTGAAGTCTAATACATAATTTACATACAGCTAATTTCAAACGAACGACTAAAATGCCTCGTTTCCATAAAGTAGAAATTAATAAAACCGAATGGATAGTCCCGGAGCGATATCAGATGCTTACACCTGTAGGTTCCGGCGCTTACGGTCAGGTTTGGTATGTATTCTATTTGTAAGCACAGTAGGCAGAATGCCAATGTTAAAGTTCATATATTAATTAATTTATTAAATTATCGTACTAACATCGAGCACCATTTATTTGCTTCAGTTCGCAAATTATACTTGTGTGGGCGGAACTAGTTTAGATACGTACGTATCCATCAATTCTTATATCCATTATTTTGTATCTAATTTTAGTTCTGCAATAGATGCCCAACATAGTATGAAAGTGGCTATTAAAAAGTTAGCCAGACCTTTTCAATCAGCTGTTCATGCAAAGAGAACATACAGAGAGTTGCGAATGTTGAAACATATGAACCATGAGAATGTTATTGGTAAGTATTATATTTTCACTTTTCACTTAATGTTCTATCTATAAAATAATCTACACTCCGCAGTAGCTTTTTAAGCTAGAAAAAGCTGTAAAAAGTAATATTTTCACACAATTCTTCAGCTTCATGAGCAATTTGTTTCAACAGAGGGACATGATATGCATTATGTTTTGTGCAAAGTTTATTATTTATTACTATNGGCGGCACGACATGAGAACCCTCTTGTCGTGGCCGCCGGAAACTATATACCCGATCCTGTAGACCGTTTGGTAAACCGTCGACGTCGCCCAAAGCACGTCATCACGGATCCTCCTGATCCATTAACGGTGCTTTTAGGCAATACAAGCACCGGTCACCGTCCTCGCCGAACCCGTCGCTTGCGACGAAGGGCTCGACAAGCGAATTAACCCACAGACACAGCCCACTGAGTTTCTCGCCGGATCTTCTCAGTGGGTCGCGCTTCCGATCCGGTGGTAGATTCTGCGAAGCACGGCTCTTGCTAGGGCGGTGTTAGCAATTCTCCGGTTTGAGCCCCGCGAGCTCACCTACACAAGCTAGGGTACGCTGAAATAGCCTCTCAAGGCTATCAGCATAGGTAGGAAAAAAAAAAAAGAGGGACATGATATGCATTATGTTTTGTGCAAAGTTTATTATTTATTACTATGAAACCTACGAACCTGTATAAAACAATGGCCTTCAAAGTGTCCTCTCAAAAATTGTTGATATTTGTTGTGTTGAATTATTGAGTTGCATTGGTAATATTTTCTACTAATTAGAAAGAGGCAGAGACATATAACTTTATTTTTTAAACCTTATCTGTATAGTCTTATCATGAGCACGAGGCTGGCAAATATTGGGAACACAATAAAATTGAAATTTGTTTAAGAATCCATCAAATAAAAGTATTTCTTATTAAAAAATTTTGTTGTTGCTTTTGATGGGTGGATGAGCTCACGACCTTCGTGGTGTTAAGTGGTGACCAGAACCCGTAGACATCTAAAATGTTAATGCGACGACGCATCTTGGGATGTGAGTTCTAGTCTTTGATTTTACAGTACAACAGCTGCCGCAACCTTCAAATCGAAAGAATTGTGCATTGGGCTTCGAACACTGTTGTATTGCTTGAAACAAAGGCACCTGTGCGTCTTATCCTTTCAGTTACAATGAGTTTACATGCAATTGCTTCAGGGACTACCATGCTAGAGACAAATACCAAAATTTACCTAGCTTACTGATTTAATTTTTACACAATGTTTTTACTTTTAAGTTTATGTAAATGTAAATCTTGTTTAACATTTTCATAAACTTAAAAGTGTAAATGTAAATTTTGTTTTACATTTTCATAAACTAAAAATTAAAACATTGTGTAAAAATTGTAAAATTAAAATTAGTAACATTAATTTTGTGTTAGTCCCATTATTGGCACCATTATTATTGCCAAAATTGGATACTTTTCATAATATAAAGTGTGTTTAAATAGCTCGACAATGTTCCATGTGTAGCCATAACACGACACTGGCAGAAATTGCTGAAAGTATCGGCAGATTGCCATTAAAAAATATATATATTTTGTTTTATTTTTCATAGTACATGATTTTGTATGGCTCATGGCTATTAGTGGCCCTCTTGTGAAGATCAAATCAAAGGCATGTGCTTCATTAAAATCTGCTAAAGAATTACCTATCAGCAGATTTGGGCAGGTCTTAATATTGGTATGAGTCAAGTACAAAAACCTGAGCGAGCATTATATAGCATAGCATAGGATATAAAGATTTGATCATTTATATGGATTTTTTAATATCATTGTTGCTAAACCAATATTTTCTGTGTGCACTCCTTGGAGATTTTGACATTTTGTTTAATTAACCATATTTTGCTATAAAGGAAAAAATGTAAATTACTTTCTACAAATAAAAAAATTGGTTTGACAACAATGTGCCTTTATCATTATACTTGCTGTAGAAAAAAATAGCTTTGACTATCACTGTGCATTCATGTTATCAGTAGATCAGTATTTATCGGTTGTAATCTTTGAGTACCGAAAATATGACATCTGCTTTAATAAATTTGGGTATGTTTATGTGCATACATTAATAAAGGTACCTAAGTGTAAACCAAGCGGGCAGTGAAGTTTTTCACCTATGAAAACTGAACTGAAGCTGCGGTGGTAAACATGATGATGAAAAGAAATGACGGGTAAATCACTGACAATCCCTCAGGATGTTCCTCTGGGACATACCGCACAGAACAAAAACAGATTCTTTCTGTAGACTCGGGCTACAAACATTCCGTGTCAGTAGAATTAAGGAGAAGTGAGATTTATCTTAAATTTGAATGGCACAACGGAAGTTTTCTTAAAGTCCTAATAAACAGTTAGATGAACGATCGTAACGGAAATCGCATTGTCACTTGTTGATAATTTGGTTGGTAAAGTAAAAAAGATATAAGAACTTAGGACAGGTAGGAGGAGCGGTCGTCGCCAATATAAACGTCGGTGTAAACTACCTGGATCGTCGGAGTCATTGGCCAGTAAGCCGCTCAGGTGGTGCTATTATTATGCTTCGGGATAACCAATGGATTGGAACCATTCTGGCGGGTCTAAATGTGACCCATCGTTTAACGGTTGCTCTTTAATACAACTTAGCGGCACGCTGGTACTGTTGGCACGGCGCATGACCTTAATCTTTCCTCCTGTCGTTTCAAACCGTCACCGAAAGATCTTCTTTAGAGCCTGAAGGTGGGCGTAAGCCTTCTTCCTAGAAACATATAATTGCGGACTTGCAGTAGTTGAGCGTCGCCTTTAGGTTCCTACTAAGCGCTCTTGGAAATGAGTCCTAAAAATTTGTCTTAAGCTGATACTGCTCAAGCACGTCACCTGTACATCATAATAAAATTGTGGTAAAGCGTTACCGCCTTTAAAAAAAATATTAATTCCGCCCTAAAACCACCAATTCCAATTTAACAGTAAATCTAAGCACAAAGTAATCTTTACGGGGCATCGTGTTATAACATGTAGGCGTGGTATTCCAAGTGTCTGTTTTTTTATCTATTTCATTAAACGGCAGAAGAAGTAACAGTACACCTGCGTGCTAAGCGGTTTTCGGAGCCCGAAGATATTTCAACTTTATGATTTGTTTTAAACATTCGCGGTTATGTACATTATAAATACTATTATTTAATGGGCTCTGACCACAATTTTTTTTATTTTTCACGTCGGAGACAATATCGACATATGCCAGGAATAACATTATAAATGATATTTAGAAAAGACCTAGTTACAATGTTATTCCTTGCACCTGTTGGTATATCCGTGATCATGGCACCTACAACATAAAAAGTCTCTGCAAGACAAATAAAAATAAATGAAATACGTACTTAACAAATGTTCACGTTTGACTTCCACTGTGAAGGAATTATAACATCGTGTAGTAAAAATTGATTTCCATTTCCAACCTTTTCTAGAATATCATAAAAAGCTTAAAATGGTAATGCTCATAAAATATGTTCTTAGGATTGCTGGATGTGTTCACACCGGAGAAAACATTAGAAGATTTTCAGCAAGTATACTTAGTGACCCATCTAATGGGTGCTGATCTGAATAACATCGTACGGACACAGAAGCTTTCCGATGACCACGTTCAGTTTCTGGTATACCAGATTTTACGTGGACTCAAATACATACATTCGGCTGGCATCATTCATAGGGTAATGTGTTTCATAGAACATAAATAAATCTCACTCCGTTGTGCTGTCACTAGATGAAATACACCTATTTGTTTAAACGAATTATGCACCACAGCTGAATAAATCCACAATTACTAATCCGATTCATGATTATGTTGAAAAATTACAAGTTGAGAAACACTTATCAATGTTTAAGTTGTCAATGTTACAATTCAAAAATTGTATTAAAAATGTATATAATATCAAAAGTAGGTACACACCCTAAGACTTTATTTTTTATGTACCTACTAAACATTTCAAAGTAACTATATATTAAAAACTCATGTGAATAGTCATGGTATTACTTCACTAATTCAGATTCGCCAACACTCGGTGCGAAGTTTTAAATTGGGCCATTAAGGCATAATTATTAATTTGTACTATATAGTGCCGTAAGTGCCAAGTCTGTATTTATACAGATTTATTTATAGCTGAATAGTGACAAAGCGTATTGCACTGGAATAACTCATGTTTTCTTTTCAAAAGCATCTCAACTCTATTTTGTGGGCTAACCAGAAATATGAGTTACCCCTGTAGCAGTTAAGTTTCCGAGGTTACACATAAAATAACTTTTAGGTCTTTATAGTTACCGTAACAAGTTAAATCTTAATAAAGGCAGCTTAACTTTATTCCATTTAACAACCAGTATTTAAATTGATATTAGGATGTAATTATTGCTAATAACATTAACATTATTGCATTTATAGGATTTAAAACCCTCTAACATAGCTGTGAATGAGGACTGTGAGTTAAAAATCTTAGATTTTGGCTTGGCGAGACCCACTGAGACTGAAATGACAGGTTATGTGGCAACAAGGTGAGTCTTTAACTATTCAATGAAATGAAATTAATTTTAATTATTTATCAAAATCACTATTTTATTATTTACCAATGGTCCCCACACTACGATTAGTTCGATGACCATTGCCACAAAAATAATTAAAGAAAGCCTACATATTTCAATATGTAGTATCTTCATAAATTTCAATAGTTCAAAATAAACATGAAATTCATACGTAAAAGGTCGATAAATGGTTGTTGTTAGATTCGGATTTGTTATTGTTATCAATTGCAGATGGTATCGTGCACCAGAGATAATGCTCAATTGGATGCATTATAACCAAACTGTGGACATTTGGTCTGTGGGTTGTATTATGGCTGAGTTGCTGACAGGAAGAACTTTGTTCCCCGGTACTGACCGTATCCTTTTAATCTCATAAAATCACACATGTAGCATAACATTTTAGATTGATGTTTTGTTATTATATCACTTCCATTGTATGTATTAGAACCATATATGTATGTATATATGTATGTTTTTAGTCAAAAGGCAGACAATATTTAGTAGCTTAATGCATACATACACACAAAGCTATTATCATTCCATTACCATTACCAAACAGTTTGTTCGGAAAATGAAATTCTGGTTTAAAATGAATTAAGAGAAGAGATCGTTTGTTCGCATTGATGACATATAATTATTTTTCAACCCATTTTCTTATTACATAACACTTTTATGGTGAATGTAAAAATGTAGGTGTCAGTGAATATGAATTTCGATCATTAGAACATCGCTAGTACGAGTAGAACGTTTTTATAAGTCAGTGACGGATTTAGGCTTGATGCCGCCCTGAGCCCTGATTAAACACAAGGCTATAAAAATATATTATGTTTAAAAAAATGGCTCTTTGAATTAATTTCAATTGTGTGTTATCTATATTTGGCTCTTTTAGTCGAGACAATGTTGCCAACCACCAGCCTAAGGGCAGTGATGGATTTAGGGTTGATGCCGTATTAGGCCCTGTTTATCGCGCTGCCCTTAATGTTACATTATATTTTATTAATTTTGATGCAATACATATTTTTTTTTAATTTAAAGTAACTATATTTTGATTTTTTATAAAAAATAATCTGATCTTAATTTCAAAGGAGACTGTCTGTACTTATTTTCTTTAAAATTTTGACATTTCAAAAACTTTGCCACCCCTCAAGTCATCCCGCCCTTAAGGCCCGGGCCTAGGCGTATATCCATCGCGGCCAGGTGTGTTTATTCTCGCAATACCGCAATTACTAGCTTACCAAATATTTTGTACTTATTAATTTGGCTCGACGACCTAAAATCGGAACGTAATCCTTATGTTCTTCTCGATATTGCGCTATCTCTTGTCAGCCGGCACTGCCTTATATCAGAGACAGTCCGCCGGCCAACGCTCTATTGGCCCAGATTCGTTTGTCCTGTGTATTCGACAAGATCTAACCACTGGTACCGGGGTCTAGTCTTCCCTAAATATAATAATATATTTTTAAATATAAATAAACTAGCGACCCGCCCTCGCTTCGCTTCGGAAACTGTAATTTATTATTGATTTCTCCAATATTTATACATACATATAAACCTCCTCTTTAATCACTCTATCTATTAAACCGCATTAAAATCCGTTGCGCAGCTTTAAAGATTTTAGCATACATAGGGATATAGAGACAGAGAAAGCGACTTTGTTTTATACTATGTAGTGATTATTTCGACAACTTTATTTATTTGTTTGTAAAACAATTTAAGGCCAATGTCAAATAATTTACACAGGATTACTGCAAACTGAGTTATCACTAAATCTATCGGTCGTATTTATTATACGTCAAATAATAATTAAAAGACTTAAATGAAAGGTGATGTAATATATTAATAATGTGCAATCGCTACATTTTAGCTAGATTACTGCTTTTCAATGCCATATTAATTCATACGATTTTTCAAAGTAAATTCGTATATTTAAAACTCAAATAATATAGACTGCGTTTCCATGATTGGTATTAATTTTTTTATATGATGGCGCAACGTATAGAGCCCGTAGGGGTATTTGTAATTCTGTCCTGCCTTATTTTATCGCGGCTTTTTTCGTGTAAAAGATGTGACAATTATAACATGACAATATAGACAGAATATCTGGTATTATAATACCAGATATTCGACCAGATAGATCGTATGCCTATTTAATATTTTTTTACTGGTGGTATGAAGTCTTGTGAGTCCACACAGGTAGATACCACCTCCCTGCCTATTTCTGCCGTGAAGCAGTAATGCTTTCGGTTCGAAGAGGGGGCAGCGGTTGCACTGTTGAAACTAAGACCTTATACAACTTATGTTTCAAGGTGGGTGGCCGCATTTACGTTCTAGATGTCTATGGGCTCCAGTAACCACTTAACACCAGGCGGGCCGTGAGCTCTTCCACCCATCTAAGAAATAACAAAATAAAGTTCGGGAAAACCTCTTCATGATGCTCCATATAAATCAGATTTAAGGAGGACTATTGGTATTGTTTTGTTTTAATTTGCATATATAAATGAGCTCACGGTTAATCTGGTAATAATTAGTTGTCAATGACCGCGGCGACTTGATAAAACTGGGTGGGTGATCTGGTTAAGCAAGCCTAACAATTATTCAGTTTGGTCACTTTTATTCTCACTCTGTGAATAATGTTTAGATAAGCCTTGCAGCTACAAGCATCAATAATATGTTTACAAAATACATGTATCGCAAAAGTTTGTAGGCATCTATATAATATAGCTATTGTATAAATGCGTTTTTTTTTCCTACCTATGCTAATAGCCTTGAGAGGCTATTTCAGCTTCGCCCTAATATGTAGGTGAGCTCACGGGGCTCAAATCGGAGTGTTGCTAAGACTGGCCCTAGCAAGAGCAGTGCTTCGCAGAATCTACCACCGTAAATAGGCGTTAATAATATTTAGCTTCGCTTTTACCGATTACATAAGTTAACTGTGTGGTATAGGTATAGGTCGGTTAAGTTTTTTTGTGTTAAATGAAATCGTTACCGAGCCGCATTGCGTGAGAACCCTTAATGGAGAAGACAGATATTCATCAATTGAATTTAATCATGGAGATACTCGGCACGCCCGCTCAGGAGTTTATGCAGAAAATATCGTCCGAGTCTGTAAGTAAACATTATACGCACGACAACTAGAATACTGACATTATACATATAACTTATTGAAGTATCAAAATTGATATTGTAAATATATGTATATTTCGCGTTATATTAGTGTCATTTAACGCGACATCTGTGAATTTAAAATTGTATTCTGTCGGTTTTTTGTGAAGTGCGATTAGGTCACACGGTGTCAGAATGTTTGAAACATATTGTACAATCTTCTTTGTTATAATGGGTGAGAGCCGCCTGCGCTGGATTTTACACGTAACAGCTTTGCTTTAACATGCTTTTACTGTATGTATCAGTTTTAATGTCGCTTGTGTAAGTTTGGTGCTTGTAACCTTAACATTCTTGCAACCAGATATGGACCATTTAATGAGGATACTGTTTTTGTGTGGGAAACCAGAGCAGGAGACATTTGACAAAATTATTAGTGAAGAGGTAAGGATTAACACAATGACATATCCGCATAAAATATTATCTATTCACACTTTCTCGAGGCAACATAGAATAATAATTTTCACATAATAATATAACAAAGTAACCTGACCTAACCGTTTTTGCATATATACGAATTAAAAGAAAAAGTAACGTTAATACATATAACATAATAACTATATACATATATAGGAGAATGAAATATTTTGTTTGACCTGAAAAGCTACATCTTTAAAACATCGGGTAAAACAACATTCAGGGAATTTATGTATCAAATAGTTTCCAATAATATGGCCGTCGAAAAATTCACGTGTACAATAAAAAAAAGCGGTACTCAATAAATTTTATTATATTTCTTTATTTTTATTTATTTATTATTAACATAGAAGTAGTAACACAATCATAATGTGCATCTGTGCTTGAACTAGGTGATAAAACCTGTATCTCAAGCAGCAGTGCTCCTCGTACAAAGAATACAACAGCTTTACTTCAGATACACAAAAATAGAAAGTTAATAGACAAGAAATAACTGGAATTCACGGATTGTACATGAGTAATAAAACGAGTGCAGTGTCTTTATGTGGAAGTGCGTCTCGATTTGTTTGCGGTTTTGTGATTGTGCAGTCACGCATTTGTGTCCGTTTGATGTTCTATGTCTAATGGAAACGTTTGTGTAAATTTAAATACTAAAACTGTGTTTTTCAAGCGATATAACTGTTAAAACGTATGATTCACATGAATTTAATGTATCGGTGATCAAAACTCGGTCACCTCAAAGACCTATAGGAATTTTGGTTTAGATATATAAGGTTCAACATCCAAACGATCATTTCGAAATGATAAAAATATACGTACTATCTCAATTAAGCCGTCAATTAGACAGCTATTAATATTTTTATGAATCCGCAATGTATATCAAAACCAGCTAACGGAAGCATCTACTGCATCTTGAGAGGTCATTAACCGTGCGTCAACTGATTTTTTATTCAACTATTATTAAAAACTCTCGCAAAGCTTTTCTCGAGCATATACTAAGACCAGTTGTACAGAATACAACTAATTCTATACTTTTAATAAAGTAATAACCATTCTGATTACTGTACCGCGGAGTTTATGTTAAACTCACAGTCATTATAGGTGTAATTGTTCTTGTTTCGTGTGTTTTCGCTACCCATAGGACTAACTTAGCTTGGGGCCGTTGAGTGCCACGTTTTAATCTCATATAGCTCTCATATAACAATGACAAATTGCTCAATCAATTAAATAATAGTCGTCTCATTATCTATAGGCACGTAACTACATCCAGTCTCTGCCGGCTTTGAAGAGACGCGACTTCCGCGAGGTGTTCCGCGGCGCGAACCCACTCGCCATCAACCTGCTGGAACTGATGCTCGAACTGGATGCCGATAAGTACGCGATGTCTGATGCAATTTTGTCACACAATCAATTCGTTTCAAAGGAGATAACAAATTTAAAATAATAAATTTGCTAATTTTATCGAAAACGTCATTCGCCTTGTAGACCTTGCTAACTTCATATGAATTTCAAAAAGTTTCTCGATTGCTTTGCCCGTTTAGATCAGTTAATCTCACCCCTCCTGGCTGAGCCTTTGCTCGCCCACTTGTCCTGGTGAAACTGGAAAGGCCTCCGGGCCACCAGTAATACTTTAAACATAAAAAACAATCAGTATAGCTAAAACAAACAGTTGCTTTCAAGATTAGATTAGATTTTTTTTTCCTTTGATTTTCATCGTCGTCCATGAAGTTCTGTATGGGACGCAATCAAGCCGCTGCCTAACTCAGAAATGTTCTCGAACCTCGTTTGTACAAGACCATATTCTAGAGCTCAAGAAACATAGTAGAAGGAATTTAATTTCACAATAGAGTTGTGGAAGGTGGAAAAAATTAATGTATGAAGAGATGAGGCAATCGTAAAATGTAGATAGTCCTGAACAATTTCTCAAAGCTCTAGAACATGTGAAATAAAATAGAAAGAAAACCGTCGCCCAGTCCACCCAGCCCATCGAGTGGTTCCCAACGAGCTTGCGAAATGTAAGTTTGGATATGAATAGACTATCTAAGTCGCTTATTTTCAGACGCATAACGGCAGAACAAGCGCTCGCGCACGAGTACTTGGCCCAGTACGCGGACCCGACCGACGAGCCGGTTTCTGCGCCCTACGACCAGAGCTTCGAAGACATGGAGCTGCCTGTAGACAAGTGGAAAGGTGATTTTTTTTTATTGCACATATAGGTGGACGAGCTCTCACTGCCCGTAAATGCCGCCACCCACTTGATATATGAGTTCTAAGGTCTCAGTATAGTTACAACGGCAGCCCCACCCTCGAACCGAAAAGAATTACTGCTTCACGGCAGAAATAGGCAGAGTGATGGTACCTACCCGTACGGACTCACAACAGGTCCTACCACCAGTAAAAATATTTCTTTTAAATTGACATGTCTTTTAAAGCTGATAAGCCGACCTCGTAAGATTATTGGTGTCTTGCGTATTACATTCACGAGGGCTTAGAGTTGCTAGTCGATGAATGCCTCGATATTGTTACTAACTAGCCTATTCCGTTTTTCGCCGGATCTTCTCAGTGGGTCGCGTTTCCAATCCGGTGGTAGATTCAGCGAAGCACGGCTCTTGTTAGGGCCTGTTAGCAAACTACCTCAGATCAAGCCCGTGATCTCACCTAACAGCCCGAGCCTAGCTGAAATAGCCATTCAGGCTACCAGCGAATAGGCATAAAATGAAGAAACTGTTTTTCAGCTGCAAAATTAATTACAGAATTCTTAAAAGAATAGATATTGATTAGGTTTATACTTATAGTCGTTTATAATTTACAACACAGATATTAATTAATTAAATTATTAAAAGTAATACATATCGTATTAAAATTAATAATGATTAATGAGTTATTTATCTTCGATAACGCAAGGTTCTGAATATTTTAATACTTTAACGATATTTCTGTAACGTCATTATGAAAATTTATAGAAGTTATTGAATTAAAAATACTGTCAAATTGTATTGTCTGTGAAATATAGACTAGTTTTTTGTTAATAAATTAAGTTGAGAGTTTTGGTCAATACATACATATGAGTCGTCTATTGTCAAAGGTGGCAATCTGTGCATTTGGACAAAAAAATGTTATTGATATGTCAATACAGATTGATTTGAATATAATCGTCTCCTTCAAAGAATACGGTTCAAAAACTGCATTAAATGAAGGTTAATACTTAACCTGTTATTTATCTAAGATTTCGTTCAGAAGAGTTTTGTGACTGCCAATGGAATACAAAGTCAATAATTCGTTTTTCTGATTTACCAATAATTGTCGAAAAGTCAAATTGCCGGCTTTGATAATAGTCGACTCATATATGAGGAATGATGTTTTATTAATATTATTATTAATTTTTTTATTGTCCTTGTAGGCAGACCAGCATACGGCCCATTTGATAGTGAGCGGTTACCGTCGCCCATGGACTTCAGCAATGCCAGGAGCAAAGCCGAGCCGTTGCCTACCTTTAGAAATTTAATTAATTCCTTTTTATATTCCAATTCACAGAGCTGGTGTGGAAAGAAGTAGTGGAGTTTAAGCCGCATCCGCAGCACATGAACACCGTGGTCGAGGTGAACCCATCGTAATTTGCAACAGTATTGTAAATAATAATTGCCTTATTACATTCATGCCGTCACGCTGTAGCCGGAGTGTTTATGGCCAGTGTCTTAATGTAATTAATAAAACCATAATTGTGTTGTTTACGAGATTTACAAGATATGAATTTCGATCAGTTTAAAACAAACGAATGTTTTAGCATCGTTCCCTGTTGGAAAGGAGAAAAAACTTATGCTTATTGACGTAAGCGCTATATTAGTTTCTGAACACGACTTCACTTGAAATGAGATTTCACTGCGATCACGATAGTAGTAATTCACTTATTTTGTAGTATAGTAGTTCACTTATTTTGAAAGGGCGTAAGCATACAAAATCTAAACACAGTTTCCTTTTAAAAAAGCGTATTGAAAAGAGTTCAGATTTACTGGTGGTAGGACCTCTTGTGAGTCAACAATTTAATTAAGTACGTATTTCATTAGAAAAATTGGTATCTTCCTACGGGATCGTTCGATACGAGCACACTATGGAATCCGAACCTCTAGGTATACGGAGGGATTTCGGTTCTCTTTGTGTTTTGTACCGCTTATTCCATGGGGAGTGCTCTGAGGAATTTTTCGAGATGATCCCTCCAACTTTTTTTTACCATCACCCCTCTCGCCACCGGAGCAGAGTGCTTCCATACTATCTGGAACCACTACCTTAATCGACAACGCGTTTTCAGAAAAAACCACGTACCATCCGGCTCTAGAATGAACTCCCTTGCACGGTGTTTCCCAAGCGTTATTACATGTCCTTCTTCAAACGAGGCTTACGGAGAGTACTCAGCGGTAGGCAGCGACTTAGCTGTGCCTCTCGCATTACTGACGTCTGTGAGCGACGGTAACTAAACACCATCAGTGTGCTTAGTGCGAGTTTATTAACGTTCTCGATAGCGTCAAAGTTAACTTAAATTTATATGCAGTTGGAACAGCGCCCCTAGCGGCAAACGTAGGCAAACCTTCCAACTGAAGTCGTCGTGGCCTAAAGGATAAGACGTCCGGTGCATTCGTGTTGGGCGATGCACCGGTGTTCGAATCACAGACGGGTACCAATTTTTCTAATGATAATACGTACTCAACAAATGTTCACGATTGACTTCAACGGTGAAGCAATAACATTGTGTAATAAAATCAAACCCGCAAAATTATAATTTTCGTAATTACTGGTGGTAGGACCTCTTGTGAGTCCGCGCGGGTGGGTACCAACACCCCGCCTATTTCTGCCGTGAAGCAGTAATGGGTTTCGGTTTGAAGGGTGGGGCAGCCGTTGTAACTATACTGAGACCTTAGAACTGATATCTCAAGGTGGGTGGCGCATTTACGTTGTAGATGTCTATGGGCTCCAGTAACCACTTAACACAAGGTGGGCTGTGAGCTCGTCCGCCCATCTAAGCAATAAAAAAATAAAATAAAAGAAGAACCGTTATTCTTTTTTTTTTTTTTTCACTTTCAAGAATTTGTCATCAAATCAACTCGTTGGTATTTATTGTATTGGTTTCATGTTGACAGCAATAATATTTGTAGTAAATATTTGGTAGTTAAATTTAAAGATTTAAATTATTGTGCTGCTTTTTTTGGCGTTCAGAATTATATACATTTTAGCTGTACAGCATACTATATAATATGTACATTACGCCACTGGCTCTAAAGTTGATGTAAAATTTAGCATCGCAAACTGTTTATATCACTGTATATTTTGTAAATATTAATGTCAGAAAATATTTTAGAAAAAAAGGGATACATATTCGAAGCAATACGGTTTATAATTTAATCATTTGGTTCGGTTGTCATAAAACTAGGTGCTATAAAATGCTTACGTAATTTTAGAGTAAGACGTAAAATATAAATTAATTAAATTAATATTCAATGAAGTGAAAACTAACCTAAATATTAAGTTTTATAATTCGTGAATTGATTCACAGAAGAGTTTGCAGGTCTAATTTTAATAGCATATGGTGGCCAACTTCAATGTTGGATGTTAGAGGGCAGTTTCGGTGGCTGCTACACAACACTTTTCTTGAATATGTGTAGAATAAAGTATCTGATATGATAGCTAAGAATTTCGCCACTTGAAAGTAGTATCTTTTATTGAAAGTTTACTTCAATACTAATCTATAAAAAAGGAATTTAAACGGAATTTCTTCATTGTCGTCACAATAAAGCTCATTATATTTTAAATATAAAGTCCTACGTATTTTATCTTAAGACGAAATTAACGAAATAAATTTAATTGTAATTTGGTGAAGGGAAGGGATGTGAGTAGGATAGAAGTAAGCATTGACGGCTTGTCCAGGAATGTGGATCTGTATTAAGCGAACTATTCTTATTGAGTATTAAAATCAGTTCACTGTGTAGGTGGTAAAGGAAATTAAGAAAGTATAGAACAATTAAAAAAACAAAACAAATTCGGGATGTAAGATTACCGTTTATTGAATTGCTAAGCACAAATAATTGTTAAGTGTATTCATTACGGCTTATAAAGCGAAAACAGATCGCCGTGTCTCATGTGACGTGTTATTTACGAGCAGAAGGGCAATCTAATTATATTACATTACGGGCATTTTAAAAATATGTATTACTAAAGCCGTAATAAATAAAAAAGAAAACATTCACAAAATTTCGGATCGCGATTTTTTGTTTTCGTCTTAGGGGGTGTTTAATCCCCTCTATTGGTAACGGTTACCCTACATCCTGTGTAGTCTTCATGTTTGGAGTAATTATAGCAATAATGATCATCATCAACGTTAAGGCAGAAGGGTTTTTTTAAAGCAATATCATTATTTTGCTTGTTTCATGAATTTGTAGCTTATTAATTTAATTTTGTGTATTGATAAATTCAAACGAATGTAAATTAAGTTCGAATGCTTATTGGCAATTATTATTTTTGAATACAAATGATTTATGACCTTTTTTGTTAAATGGAACTTAAAATCATATACATTGTTATGTTGTAAGAGTTTTAGATTTTGATTAAACACGATAAATAAATATATACCCGTTTTATTTACCACAGCCGTTTTGTTTATAAAAAGATAACTGCAAGAAGGTGATTAGTTAAAGGGGCCAATCAACTACTGGATTTTCTTCGACCAGACATCAAAAATTTGGTATGTAGATATCGAAATCTCGTTAAGAAAAATGTATTTAAATAACCAACCAACCGAATAATACGAATATCTCATGGGGTTAAAGTGCGACCAACCCTTATAATACCTATGACAGGACGTCAAAATAAAAATCAATCTGAAAAAAATCTCGTATCGTCTGTAAGTTTAACTCGAAAAGTGGACGTACCTAATTGTTCAATTGAAATATATAAACGTGTTAACGAATTGCCCCATGAGTTTTTCCTTAAGTAAGGACGCTAATTCTATGTATGACAAAACTAAACTAAGTCTAACAGGTTTCGGGTATAGTTTCGTGCGATAACCTGCAAGTCAACTGCTAAATTATCTTCTTCTTTTTCTTCACCTTAACCTGCTACTAAGTTTAGATGCATTAATTAAAATAAACCAAATGACGTAATCACTGTTTTTGTGTTATATTACTTTTTTAGGAAATGTTATAAACTCGCGGATATCTGCCAAACATTATTATGTAACGGATTCCTACTACAATTTTAGTATAATGCATCTAACAACTTACCCTGAGTTAACAGTCTTCCGTCTACTTGTGATCACTGCTGTCGCAACAGTGTCTAATGATCAGGAACTCATTATATATGAAAATCGTGTTAAGAACCCGTAAAATATTAGAGTTTATAATTGCTATTTTCATTTGATTTTCGAATGCCCTCACATGCCACCTGGTTAATAAGTTACTGAGGCTTTAGACAATTCTGCATGAATACTTATGGGTATATCTAAGGGAATATCTAAGGGGGGCAATGTTGAAATGTCAATGTTTTAACGGCTATCCCCCCCTTCAAACAGCAATTAAACAAAGCCCACCGTTGCACTGGACGTAACTTAAATTTTCCGAAACTATATTTAATTTTATTAAAAAAAAACCTCTATTCAATTCTACGAGCGCTGAAAAATATTAAACTCAGGAATGTCACGAGGCACTAACGAGGGTTTATCGTTTAAACGCAATCACCCTAGTGGATTAAGAGGAACACGAGTGAGTAACACATATTACTCAGATTTATAGGAAATGCATACTGGGAATCATATGCTATATTATGCTGTATATTAATACCAAAACGGTAGAACACGAAAAACCTGGTAATACACAACTACACATTCAAAGAAGTNCTCAGGAATGTCACGAGGCACTAACGAGGGTTTATCGTTTAAACGCAATCACCCTAGTGGATTAAGAGGAACACGAGTGAGTAACACATATTACTCAGATTTATAGGAAATGCATACTGGGAATCATATGCTATATTATGCTGTATATTAATACCAAAACGGTAGAACACGAAAAACCTGGTAATACACAACTACACATTCAAAGAAGTGTTCAGTGCAAGTACATACTAACTCAGGTGTGTATTTTTTATTTTTTTGTACAGTTTTCTTATAAACAAAATGGATTAAGTATTTTATTCTTTTCTATTATTATGTTTCACAACTCTTCTTAAATGATCAGCACAAATAGAATTGATAAATATTTTCTGCCAATATTCACATAAATTAGGTATGAGCGAGAATTCGACAAAACGATTTATATACAATTTTAACAATCCACATAATAGAAAACTAATTGCATATGTATGCCTGAAGAAATGTTGTTTTTTAAACATATATATACACAAAAAACTATGGTGATCTCATAACTCAGGTTTAATCCTCCTCAATCCATCTTTTGGGTTGTAATTCATTTGAAATTGACACTACAAATTATAGGTCAAAACACAATGCAGCCACAAATTGTGCAAACTATATCATCGCCACCGTCTACAATTGTAGTTTCATTCGGGCACAGTCGTAGTTCCATGATGTTCTCTTACCAAAATATCACAACACCGACTGGGGTATTTTTTAATATGAGTAACTTCGCAATATTATACAAGTCTATCATATAAATTATGATTCACTTCACACACGTGAGCCAACAGTCTATCCCTAGGAGGGAGGTTGCTTTTTCTGTACAGTGAGATTAAGAGGCAGGTCGTCGTCCGAGTCAGAGATGCTGGACCTCCTGTCGGGGCCGGCGGTCCGGCCGCGCATGACGGTGACGACGCTCCTCAACTTCCGTCCCGCGGATTCCGTCGGCCGAGCTTCTGGAGGAGGCTCCTCGAGACGTCTAGAACATTTCACTCCTTTTCCTGAATGTGACTTCTTTTTACTTCGTCGGTCTCGATCCGGATGACTCGAGTCGGTATTTACTTTGTTATCGCGTCGTTGACCGGGCGACGAACGTCTTCCACTTCCATTTCTTTCCCGGCGAAATGTTGCGCCTTCCCTGCTGCTTCTCTTTCTGATCTTCTTTCTGGTGGCACCGGTTTTTCTGTCGTCAGATAGTGACGTGTCTGTTGACGACTGATCGGCGTCGGACGAGGCGGAGGTGGAGGAGGCAGGTTCGGGCGTGGTGCGGCGCGTGTCTGCCGTCGTGGCGGAGTCGGAGGAGCGCGGCCGCCGGCGACGACGCCTTAGCGGACGGTACGAGTCGTCAGAGTCCGAACCAGACCAATTCGACCCTTCAGGACGGTCTCTTTTCAAAGTAAGCTTCACAAAAGGGC